CCTGGTCGTAAGACTTGTTGTTGTAAGAAGTCCTGGGTGTAAGACCCCTGGTTGTAAGAACCCCTGGTCGTAAGACTTGTTGTTGTAAGAAGTCCTGGTTGTAAGACCATTGGTTCTAAGAACCCCTGGTCGTAAGACCCCTGGTTGTAAGAACCCCTGGTTGTAAGATTCCCTGGTTGTAAGATTCCCTGGTTGTAAGAACCCCTGGTTGTAAGACCCCTCGTTGTCAGAACCCCTGGTTGTAAGAACCCCTGGTTGTAAGACTCCTGGTTGTAAGAACCTCTGGTTGTAAGACCCCTGGTTGTAAGAACGCCTGGTTGTAAAACCCCTGGTTGTAAGATCCCTTGTTGTCAGAACCCCTGGTTGGAAGACCCCTGGATGTAAGAAGCCCTGGTTAAAAGACCACTGGATGTAAGAAGCCCTGGTTAAAAGACCCCTTGTTTTTAGAACCCCTTGTTGTAAGACCTTTGGATGTAAGAACCCCTTGTGTTAAGAACCCTTGTTGTAAGAACCTTTGGTTGTAAGACGCCTTGTTGTAAGAGTTTTGCTTGCTTAGAGACAAGTTTTGTCGTCATAGGCGCTGGTTTTATTATGCTATTTTTGTTTTGGAACACAAAACGAGTCTTAAGGTAAGTACTCAAAACTTTAAAAAATGCAAGGATAGACAGGCCGCACATTTTAGCCTCACACCGGTGTGAAACCTTTCAAAAACTTTTACATATTGATATTGCTCAAGTGAGGAGAACTTTTTTAGGGATTTTACTCTCAAAAAATGAACGATGATTTTTATCAGTATAATATTTATAGCTCCTATGAAGCGGACGAAGATATGGGTTGGTACGGCTTTTGTTCAACACAGGAAATATGTGTAAGTTTAGCAGAACCCACCTTTTACAACAAAGAAATTCAGTTCGCGCGTATTCCTGCTGAATTTGTTGTTCGTTTTAAAACATATCAAAATCACGTGAATGTAATTATATTTCCCATAGCTGCTCAGTATCTGCTTTTAATATCTTCGCATAGTTGATGTTTACGCTATCTCAGAGAATAATGCTGAGAGCTGTACACAGCATGCATTTTATCACAGTATCACTTGGATAAAGCGTTTCATTTTCCAGGAAAATTTCACTTTCTCGTCAAAACAATCACTGGAACGGTCAGACTCGGAGTAGTTTACTTAAATATAGAGCTCAGTAGAGGGAACAGGGTGTTGTTCTGTGAAATTTATTTTGTGAAATTTATTTGTCTACAGTCTGTGACCCACAATGACATCACCACGATCCACGATTTATTTATTTCATTTGAATTTTTTTAACCGATCCTCGATCCTCGATCCTAGTTTTCCAGTAAACCTCGAAGTTAAGCTCATAACATTGTACTTTTTTTCGGCCACTGAAGTAATCAGTTGTTCCAAAGTAATCAACGCTTTCAAGCGATAGAATTCGCGGACCGAGCTCGACCTGTTCCGGAAAAGCTCGATGTGGGATTTCTATTCTATGGACACGAAGTGCTGCAAGTGGAGTGCATGATAGTCAAGTACAAAGCTACCCGTATAAATACATCCGTGACACATACGTAACGTCAGCTGGGTAGTTGAAGTTGCTTCCAGTAGTAGTCGCAGGATAAATCATTGATATCTCAAATATTTATAAAGTGCAACGCAACTTCACGTCTTGACAACTGCGAAAATCTATCTATAAAATACGTACTTTCTAACAAAGTGAATCTATTTAACCGTAGAGTTCCAGTAATTGCGAACATATTCTGAGAAACGTAACGCTTCAATACACCACAAAACAGGATTTCGCCGCTTCAATATTTTCTCATCCTACTAGGGGTATTTACTTTTTAATACGCCTGCATGATTACACGAAAATCAAGGGCCTCGAATCGGGGAATATTACGTCATTGCCAAAAAGCGAAAACGTGGTCAACTTACATGCGTCATTCGGCCATCGCCGAAAATAAGCCGCATGATCATCACGAGACTCATTTGCATAAAATGAAAGTCGTCATGATTCTTATCCCCAGTTTCCACAGTCTCCGCTAAGAACGCCTGGGAGCATGGCCTCCTAATTGGTGCCCACGCACAAAGAAAAAAAAGGAAAACGAAGCGCCTGCATTTTTAGAGTCTCGCTCTGCTAAGCAATTTTGACTAATAATAACGTCCGAACATTATTCTAAAACCACCAACATTAGCTATGCAACGAAATGTTGTCTGGATGTGTTCAGGTAAACGCATGTCACGAGGGAACATATCACTGTGACGTCACCTTCCCGACCTAGGGATTGACATGGAGGCCCTTCCCACCCCATGACAAGTTAGCTCAGGGACTGAGCTTGACGATAAGATCGACCAAGACAGCAAGCCTTTTTGAGGCACGTATTCAAAAATTCGGCTAGGTTTGATAATCAACAAAATACGTTCTAAATTCTGCATTTTCAAATGATTCGAAACAAAAATGACTCACCGTGTGTTGACTATCGTGTGTTTGTGTTGTGTTAATATTTTCCCGTCCCTTTTATCGATTTCTTTGACGACAGAGAAGGTATAGTTGGTGTCTCATGTAGAAGAGGAACTGACAAAGGGTAAGAGTAACGGTTGGTAGCGATAGTCTCTCGCTTTCCCTCACTTTCTAGGAACAACGGACGGCAACAGAAACAAACCACTATTTCTGAAACAAAACTACTTATTTATACGCAGTATATGTCTCGCTCAATGTAGCAGACTGTGTCACTTTGGTGACGTTTATATTACGAAATATTTTCAAAAGACAGAAATGATCTAATCCATCGTACGCTATGCCTCCTTTACTTTAAGGTATCAATGTTTCTTCGCTTGTACGAGCCAGTTTGAACTGCCTTCAGTTAAGTTCTTATGAGTTTTTTCCTGGAATTTTTGTTGTGACCTATGAAAAGAAGAAAGAAGGGTCAACAAAGCTGCAAAAGCAAGCACTCCGTAAAAAGAACTTTACGGTCAACGCCCATAAGCGGATTTAGGGGTGGTCCGAGGGCACAGATATCCTCCCTCCCTCGATCAGAATTTTGTACTATTTAAAGAGTTCTTAGCAGAATAAAATAGTATCTATATAGCTGGCAAGTGCCCCGGCGCCCCCTTTCAATAACATTTCTGGACCCGCTCTGACGCTAGTTCTACTGAGGGAAAAATATAGAAAGATACGATGACGACTTACTGTTTTGACCTCCAAGTAGGGCAGAAGGCCTTGTTCACCCCTAAAAAGCAAAGGAAGGGTACTTACAGATAGGGTAGGTAAAACAAACCAGTATGGAGCCGAGCTTGAGGCATCTTAGCACAAATAATGAAGCTTTGTGAATGGTTTATTTCAACAAGGGCTGAAATCATCTACGGTTTAACCATTCGAATAAAAATTTTTTGAAGTATCTTCGCAAGCTAATCTTATTTAACAACAGCATGTTTTTGAAGATTTTCACAAGTCTCAACTTGAATTCTAATTTGAGCACAATCGTAAAAAGCAAATCGACAACAATTATCCATGCTCTCGTCCAACATATAGCTTGACCAATAAGCGCGCGAGAAGTCGCTCACACTGAGTAATTATAGAAGAGCTACTCGCGCGCGCGAAGCACACGCGCGAGCAGAGTCCCATAGCCAAGAAAATTTGGTAAACCATCCATCCTAGACTTTCTTAAAGTCCTTCGCTTCTCATCTCCGGTTTCGGTAGTTGGCCCCAGCTCCCGATCTCTCCTCGCTTTCGCCGCAGAAAAGATTAAAAAATTTACCGCTCCCGCTTCGCGCCCGTGAAAAAAATTTGAGCCCACTTGTAGGCAAGTCTACATGCATCCGAGAAATTTTGGTTGTGACGTCAGCGTACGCCCGCCCGTACACTCTTTGGGGGGAGGGAAGGGAATCAGGTGTCAGCCAGTCGGGGGTGGGGGCGAATGTTACATTTTCTTGGTGGGAAATCTTGCGATGCATTTCTGCAACCCGCGGATTTTCTTGGCGGAAAATCGCGCAAGAAATGGCGTGGTCATTGTCGTCGCATTCAAAAACTTATTTACTTTAGGTACTTTTTTTCAAGTCGTTTTCAAGTATTTGATAGCATAAGGATTTTCTGATCGTAGCGCTCAGTTTTTGTAGCGGATTGAATTAAGCCTATTTGCTTATAAGTGAAGAGCGACGAGAAAGAGAAAGTTAGAAGAGAAAGGCAAGAGCAAGAATTAACAGGCAAGGAGCTAGCGAAGAGGATTCATGTGGAAAATTTATGCAGCATCTAGAGACTTGCTTCCTGAAAGCTGAAGCTCACAGAGTTTTGAGTCATTTTATTATGGTTTAACGGTCTTTTGCACTGGATCTACAAAATGAAATACAGCTGCTATCAAGATTATTTTGTTATTCTTGGCTGGCTTGTTTATTGGGTTTTTGGTTGTGAAATGCGCCGCTTGACAAAAAGTCATCGGAAATCATCGTTTTCAAAAATAAGCTACTCTTGGTACTTCGCCTTGCTGGATGGTCCTGGATGCGTAAGAGGGTTGGAAAATCTTAAGCAATTCTGGCCTTACTTGATGGATTTCACGAGCTGCATTTCGACTGGTAAGCTTGAATAATCATATTGCATTTGATGTTTTTTTTTCTGGTTTCATAAGTCGAGCATTGTTAAGCCTAATCATGCCGTCACTTTACGCACTTTTGTAAGATTTGAGACAATGATCTGACCTTAGTAGTAGTACAGAACTTAAAAAGTCTTTAGACTTTTTCCTGACAGCGACTAGAAAGAAAACGTTCTGAAGAATGTAAAAAGAAAAGTTTGAGCGATATTCTTGTCTCGAGTTCAGGTCTTGAAAAATGGCAGACACGGCGAAGCCGGATTAAAAATTAAGCTTAAATCTGCAAGGTTTTATTCACCGATTTTCATTTCACTCTCAATACATGTCTTCGTGAATAAAAATTGTTGTCCTTTTAAATGTTTCATTGAATTATATTTCTTGTCTTGATTGTTTGTCAAAATCACTTTCTTATCGTGCTTATCGCTTTGCTGGCTGTTGTTTTCAGTAACACATGAACATCGCATGCAAGAGTACTAAAAAATACCGCGTGTATCAAATTTATATGTTTCTTTAGAAGTAAAATGCAAACGAAAATGATTCTGAGACCTCTTTCTACTAATGTTCATTCACCCAACAGCTCGCACTGCAAGTTTGGCGCTTGGCAAAATTCAGAAGTGGCTGGGCGAACGGATGACTGTAGAAATTGAATTAAAATATACTTTTTCGAAAGTTATTGCCCAAATCCCATTATTACCCTGCGTACTGCGTACTGTTTGGGAAGAATTTGTTTTCCACGCCTAATCTACTATGGTCAAAGGTGATTGCTATTTATTGGGTGTACATATAAGACTATTTACTCGATATAATATTTTAGATGTTGTTTCATTCTTGCACTGTTTGCAAATTATTTTTTCTCTAAAATCACCCAGCACCACCTTTAAAAGTCATTTGAATCTCCCCAGTTAACTGATTTATTAACTGGAGCTACGCTTTTAGCCCTGGCTAAATCTCTATATTTAAACGTGTATTTGAACTAGACTGACTTACCATTCTCTGCCTTGCCCAGACATTTTAAAACCTCCAAAAGGTGACTGAGGTATACCGGCCATAAAGCAGTTCACCCTAAAGATAGTAAAAGTGTTGAAAGCTCCATCACACAGTACCTCCAAACTCAGGGTGGGGATTAGTTACCGTTTTGTGTTTTTTCTATAGTTCCAATACACAAGCTACTGATCACGCAACGGTAGGTCAACATTATTGTGTGTTGTCACATGACGTCATGGCGGCCATGTTTGTGTCCCAAAACAATGAAACGGCGGCCATGTTTGTGTCCCAAACCAGTCCTGTGGCAGCTGAACTATTTTCTTATGTAAACGCTTTCTCTTGTTCCAATAAATTTGCATAGATGCTGGCCACGTGAGTGAAAACACAGAATAAGACAACATTACTTAATTAACCTGTCGAGCAATTAGTTTTACGTCAGCTGGAACAATTTTGGTCAATTCTGTAACAAAACCAACCTCTCTGTTAACAATACGCTGTGGGAGCGTATATTTGGGCGTCGATGTACTTATGTTGGAAGCTTCCTGACCATGCACAATCATTTGTGTTTTGTTCCCAAATTGTGTGACTGAATAAATTAATGCGATGTTTCTACTAGTCAGTAAGTTCAAAATGATACGAATACTACTGAACGTTCTGCAAGGTCAGGTTCAAAAAAGCTAGCAAAAACATATAACAAGCGTTTAACGGGTTTCATAACCATTCCACTTCAATTCGTCGCGGAGTGTCCCCACCAAGAGGTTTATAATCTCGTCGCGCGCGAAGCGCGTGAGCCGCACGTGGTCTTAGGGAACTGCAAAATCGGATGGCCCATAAATCTTACTATGAATATATCTTTTGGTGTCCGCCCTGACGTCATGCAAATGATGTCACGGAACGTTGTGGTCTCCGGTACATGGCACTATCATGTTTTATTCATAAACAGCTTATTGCGAAGGTTTACTCAATTACTGGTAGTGAATCACGAGCAATTTTTTTATGCAAATGACACACAAAAGCAAGCATAACAACGCTGGATTCACTAAGTGGCTGGAAATCCTCGCCGGGGAAGATTTTCCACAGAAATTCCTCTGAAGCGAGAACGTCGACTTGAAATCCAGTGCAAGCAACGTCTACGACAGCGAAGATAACGCTGTCAACCGAGAGACAGAGGCTACAGCGACTACAAACATTTACAGAGGCAGCGACAAAATACTACAATTACACTGAAAACGAAACGGATGAAGAGAGGGATCACCAACTGCCGATAATTCAAGACAATAGAATTCGCAACGAAAGCGATGGGGAGAGGCAACGCTTGAAGTTTACATTCAAACTTATCTTCTTCGATACAACGATAGGCAGCAAAAATTTACAACTACACGAGGAAAAAAAATGCACACGAGGAATATCTTTCCAGCGGACTGAGGACAGCCGATCAGCCTTTTGACCATAATTAAAGCGAGGTTCTGCGATACACGTATTTCTAGTAACTATGATCAGTGAAACTGGTTTCTCGTAGAATTTAAAATGAAGTAACAAAAAATAATGCTAGTGAAGTAGTTGTTGGAGTGCTAATTTGGTTATGAAGGGATAGTGTAGTTTAAGTCCGTTGAAATGAAGAAGTGGTCGAAAACATACTTGTACTTATTTTAAACGTTGTTAGGCTTTCTGTTTAGGATTGTTTTTCGGTTATTTTTGATAATATTTTTATGGAGAGAACGCGGATAAGGGAAACTTCAATTAATATAGAGAAGTGGATATGATTTCGAGGGGGGCTGAAATTTTGTGTTTGCTCGGGGGGCTTTGAAAAATCGGTGAGGTTAAGAGGGAGGACGTAAAATCTGGATATAGAACTAAGGCCCTGATCACATGAGCCAGGCTGGCTCGCTTTAAAGAGATCTCGGCACCTTGACTGAACGCAACAAAAATCAACTTTGCGATTATATGACAACCGAGCCAGTCAACCAGACCGGTTAGCTGGGATCCTAGTATTGTGATGCCGGGATCTCGGGATTCCAAGTAATCACGCTTGCCGGGCGGCCCGGCGAATGAACAAAGCGAGAAACAGGACAGCGGTTAACACACTGTTCATGCGCATTGCTTCCAATCTCTATATAAAAATGGCGGCTCCGGGCCAGCCCTTTTCGAAGGAAAAAACATTCTCGCCTTGACAGGGAAACTTTAAATTATTTAATAGTCTGTTTCATTCAGTGTACGAGGATAAATTCTGTGTCGTGACACATCGCGCGGTAGACATTCGCGTCGCTTGGCTTGTTTACTTGGTTTGTTTAGGTTCGCATGTTTTGCCTGCCTATTGCAACTTTGAATCAAAACAGCGAACTCGATTACTCTATTTGGGCGACGCCCAAATAATAATAAATGCAGTTAACACTCTTTGTTATCCAACTTTATATTACCAATATTTAGTAAACATCCATGAACTGACAATGGGTACTGCTGTATCCGAAATATTTTTTTAAAACTTAAACGTTGTGTTTTTAGATGTTTTAATAATACATATTAATAGGAAGCTTTAGAATCGACGGCGGAATTTTCGTTTTTTTTTTTTAAATAGTCGCTTTAGGCTCCTATTCGCTGGAAATATCAAATGTAGTCGAATATCCCTGGAGTTTATTTCTTGGGTACCGCACTTAAGTTTTGAAAGATAAAGGCGGGTTCCTCGATTCAACCAATCATAAACCTTTTATTCTTAGGCTTTCCACTCACAAGGAATACTAAAACTTACAGAAAACAAAGAGAGCGCGTTATAAGTGTTATTACTAACCATACTGTTCCAGCCTGTAAACTGTGAGAAATGGTCGTTGCTTTATCGATGTCTTTGGTGATTACTGCTGCTGCCAGCCCATAAGTTGTGTTGTTTGCCCTCTCAATAACCTCGCTTATATCACTGAATTTTATTATCTGCTGTACTGGGCCAAATATCTTGTAGAAGGAAGAGCAAGATAATAAATTTAATCACTTACAAGTACACTTTATTACACAACACGTAAACAGCAAAGTTTTGTATTTTACACGTTCCACGTAAAAGTAGCATGATTTAACGGCTGGGTTTCAATAGCAGAAAGTTTCCATTTTTTTCTGACTTAGTGTATATCTGTCTGGATTTGCAAAAACATGGCTACAGAAATCTCTCTTATATACCCTCTGACTGAGCCTTGCAGTGGCCACAGTAGATAGACTTTGATAAGTTTCTCGCTGGCTATTAACCTATTACCCACCCCTCCCCCCCCCACCCCCACCAAAAATGTTTTTCATCACTTCCCATAATTCTCTCTGTAGGTCAGTTTGAAATCAGCGCGCGTAATAGACTGAACTCGGCCTCATAGTGGGTTGTCTCAGAGTTTTTTTGGCTGCCTTGAGCAAAGTTTTCCGGAAAGCATCATTAAGCCTTATGAAGGAACAATTCTCACGTCTGGCAAAGTCTGCTGCGTCCAATATCTTCTAGTATTTCGTCTCATTTCGGGCTACACGGGTGAAAGACTGATCCCGGGCTTGAGACGGAGAGATTGGATATTGCGAGCTTTGTTGTTGGCAGTAACAAGTCTTTGGCCTCACAAAGTAGGTTCTAGGGTTGAAATCTATTACGTAAAGTGGAAATTCATGCTGATTTCTGAGCAGGCCAAAGACTTCATAAAAAAATTGTGTGGAAGGCGGGGGCTGTATGTCTCCTTTTCAACCGCTGGTTTACATCTGGGATCTTGAATAAATCGACTGTCAGTGAGTCGAGAAAAGTTCCATGTGACGATTTATGTGGAGAAAGCGAGAGTTTTACGGAGTAATTTGACGATGTTTCGCCCGTGTTAAGTGTGGAAATATTATGAGTGGTTTTGGGAAGTGTTGTGATTGCCGCGAAAGTCATTTATTGTGTGATTTACCGAAAGTGTTGACAGACAAATCTCAGGTATGTGCGGTTGAGCTCGTGTTACCAGAATACTTTGTGTCAAGCATAAAAACGCTTCGTGAGTGTTTAGTTTAGGTGATTTTGTGTTAGAAAGCCTATTCTGTGCTCAAAGATTGTGGATTCTTAATATGTTTCCGGCCGACACTGAGCTGTGGGCCTCACGGTTTGACTGACTAAAAGATTACAATTTCTGGACGTTTCAAATGTTGTTTATTTCAGCGCAAAATCCTGTTATTTCTGCGAGAGAACTTTACCGTCTATTGCCAGCAATAATGCTGTCATTGTTTAGCTTCAGCTAGTGACTTTTAACTGCTTCCCATTCCACTTATATGTCAAATAGTTAAAATGCACTTGAAGTTTCTTTAGCCACGTTTTAACAAATCCAGACAGATATGAACACGAAGAAATGATCGTCGCAGTGAACGCAATTTATGCAATTGCGTAAGAAGCCTGAAAAAAATTCAGGACTTCAACGGGGTTTGAACCCGAGACCTCGCGATACCGGTGCGATGCTCAACCAACTGAGCTATGAAGCCACTGACGTTTGGAGAAGGTCAATTGTGGGTTCATATGTTCCCGTGAAAAAAATGAGTGTTAATGATATATGAAATAAATCATATATGAACTGCGGAAATGAAATGAACATGAAGAAATAATCGTCGCAGTGAACGCAATTTATGCAATTGCGTATAGAAGCCTGAAAAAAATTCAGGACTTCAACGGGATTTGAACCCGTAACCTGGCGATACCGGTGCGATGCTCTACCAACTGAGCTAAGAAGCCACTGACGTTGGGACCTGCTCCCAACGTCAGTGGCTTCATAGTTCACTGCGACGATCATTTCTTCATGTTAATTTCATTTCCGCAGTTCATATATGATTTATTTCATATATCATTAACACTTAGTGTATATGCTTGGCATTTCTGTAAATTTCTGTGAATTTCATAGCAGAAATTTGTATAAGTCATTCATTGCTGCGAACAAACCAAATAGGAGTTTGATTTTATACTTCTCTACGGATCAAGGGAGCAAGTACCTCTTCCTTGGCAATTCTCATGTCATCTTTGACGTCGGAGAAAACAGTGGGCTGTATGAAGTATCCCTTGTCTCCATGACGACCACCACCACATTCCAGCTTTGCACCTTCTTTCTTTCCACTTTCAATCAAATCCAGAATTTTATCAAACTGTTCTTTATCCACCTACAGTCAAAAAAAAATATAGAAGGTACAAAGTTGGTCCAGCGGTCATACACCAATTTTGGGCTTCTTCACAGGGAGGCCACGCAAAAGGTACTAGTTACATGCTAAAGTTTCAACTGCTATGGAGGAAACATGGAACTGAAGTTATTTTAAGTAAATAGTCCGAGGTCTGGTTAAAATGTCAGTGAATGTAATGTCGTACCCAGCAGTGAATGAGCAATGTCATAATATAAGCTGGACAACAGTCGGTAAAGTTAATTTACATTTATGGTCAAATGATCATTGTTCAGATGGTAACTCATGGTCACGCGCCAAGACTGTTAAAATGTCCAAATTCGAGGGGGCTCAATCTGGAATCATATGGCAATCGAAATCCTGGGGAGATTAGAAGTTGATCATTGAGAGGGCTTGTGCAACAGGCGTTATTTTAGCCTGTGTAAAGACGCTCACTTCGACTCAAACAAAATCAGGGCCAGAGACACGCTCCCCGATTTTTTTTGAGGGGAGGGGGGGTGGTCCAACGTTATTTAGGTTCCCTCTCGTGTACTGTCTCGTGCTTTGTGCTCAAGTCAAAAAGCACTCCTGAGAGCTATTGATAAAACCTGTTTTGCAGGCTAAAAGTGAATGGTGATACCAGAAATGTTTAATACATTCACCTGCGGACCCTGCTCAACGTTCTCGCCAAACGGATCTCCAACAGTACGCTTTTTAGCTCTTTCCACGCTTCTCTTCACAAACTCATCATAAATGGTGTCTTGTACAAATGTACGGCTTCCTGCATTGCAGCACTGTCCTTGGTTGAAGAACAGCGCACGGTGGGCAGTCTGCACAGCAAAGTCCATATCACTGTCCGCAAATACTATGACAGGGCTTTTTCCTCCGAGTTCTAGGGTCACACGCTTCAAATTGGATTTCGCAGCTGCAGCCTGGATGATCTGTCCAACCTTTGTAACCATCATTGTAAAAGAAAGTCAATGTTCATGTAAGACTAAAACTTGCCAATGCATAAGGATTTGTGCCAAAAAAATTTATTGTTATTATAACGACAATTCATCTAACAAAGCAATATAAGACCTTAGTTGGTAAGCTATGTACATAACAATGACTCATTACACCCAAATTGAGGGGCGCCTGAAAAATAGCCTTAAGTAGATTTTGATTAACTGCTAGTTTCAGCGAGATTTCCCTTAAAATCACCTTACGTTTTCTTGGGAAAAAAGAAAGAGTTGGACATAAGATCAAGATTGACCTAGAGCCTAATTCTCCAAGCCATGGGTGTTTCATTACGTTTTTACAGTCTGTAGATAATCATTAAATCATTAGTAAAGTAGTCTGTTTTTTGATTAAGTGATTATTTAGTGTAATAGGACTGTTCAACTCATTCAACAGTTGGGCAGGGGTGAGATGCTTGACACATTTGGCTGCTGAAAAAAAGAGGGTGACTTATTACAAAGATAATTTTAAAACGGGATCTGAATAGCTTGTTTACAGACTTTCTGATTCCCTCTTTGGATAAGGTCAAGCGCATGTATGACGATTAAGCCTGTGGAGGATTTATTGACTGCTAGCGCAAGGGGTGATATCAGGAGTTCCTTGGTTTTCCCCTTCCCTCTTTCCCCCAGAAACGCCTGATACTCAAGCTAAAGCGGTAGGGGGTGGGTAAATGAGAACAAGATGACACTTGCCAAATTATGCGCTTGATGTTAAATTATTTGAAAAAAAAGTCTGTAGACAGGTTAGTATTGGTAAAGTTACATGAACATTTAGCTTCATGTACCTCTGTTGACCCTGTGAATGAGACTTTGTTGATGTCCATGTGTTCAGATATGGCAGCACCTGCAGTGGGACCATAACCAGGGATGATATTCACCACACCAGGGGGGAAGCCAGCCTGCAGACACAACAAGATATTCAGAAGACATCACAGTTCACAACATAATCCCCTCAAACAAAATTAAGACAAACCTGTTAAATTAGACTTGCAAATTTGCATTCCCAGTAAAAGGGTGTTAAACAGTTGAACCTCTTCCTCCGCTGCCACCCTCAGATCAATTTAGGTTTCTGGGAAACTGCCCACCTACCCCTCCCCTAACTCTACGTTAACATTTGCGTCTCACTTGGAGCAAAATGTTGGGTTAGGGGAGGGGTAGGTGGGCAGTTTCCCAGAAGCCTAAGATTATCCCCACCCTCGAGTCACCGGCAAGTGGCCGCTTGCTGGAGGTTGCCTGCTTAATAATGGTTTTTCATTTCAACCGGATAATATCAGCATAATCATTAGCATATTGCTTTATTTTGAACCAAACATGCGACAGCAGTGGCATTAATGGTCCAAAATCAGTTGTCACCTTCGTCATCTTAAACTGTCTTCGTTCATCATAATTTTTTAAGAATAAAGCCGAACCTAAGTGTATCAAGCAAGTGATGGCTGCTTAACAGAGGTGACACCAATAGGAGAACTCTCATTGGGTTGCATGGCTGCTACGATTATTTTGAAACTTTACTTACTTAGACTGCATAATAACGGAGCTCCACGCGCGCGACCGTGGCCCCATACCTAAGAAAATGTGGTCATCTACCCTTCCGAGAAATTTGGGTAATCACGTGACCGTAAGAAAGAGAAATAGAAACTAGCAACATCATGGAGCCTTTTGTCCTCTTTTGATAATCGTTGGTTTATATATTTTATTTTGGCGGGTTTCGAACATTTTCAAAACTATTTCTTTAAATGTATCTGCCTAAAATTGGAAATTAATATTGTAACCTGGAACAAAGGAATCTAAAATTCACTATAAAATTCAGCTGAATAACCCATACTTTACCTCCTTCACAAGAGAGCCAAGGTAAAGAGCTGTTAAAGGAGTCTGCTCTGGAGGTTTAAGCACAACAACATTGCCACAAGCCAAGGCAGGACCAAGCTTTAAGCTACACAAGGGCAAAGGGAAATTCCAAGGTGTAATAGCACCCACAATGCCAACTGGTTCACGCCGGGTGTACACAAAAAAAGGACCATCTGCAAATTCGGAAATAACATTTGTACTCTTTAACACCTGAGAGTGACCAACATTAAATTTTTCCAGCCTATCGCAACCTTAATGGCTGAATCGAAAATACAGGTCATGAGAAAATAAATCAAAGTAAAGACTGTGGTGAACTCGTCATGTGCCTGTCCACGTCAAAACACCCTTCGCGTATTCACGAGGTTCATTTTCGTTAAAACGAAATAGCCACTCCGGAGTCAGGGCGCGACAAAAGCGGTGTCCACTTGTCCCAGACAAGTGGTTTTGATCAGTGGCGTTTTTTGTTTGTAGTTCGTAAAGCAAGATATACAGATGAGCGAAACAAAGGTTTTCTGCCTTCCTCCCCCCACCCCCTCCCTAATTGTTCAACTCAGTTCAGCTTTCGCGTAACCTGAGATCAGGCTCAATTTTCGTTTCACTCAGTAAATAAAATTCCAATGCATGGAGAGACATGTTAGAGAAAGAAAAAAGAGAGGTTACAGAATGAAATAAGAGCTGTTAGAGAATGGAAGCTGTTAAAATTGGGTCTGATCTCAGGTTTACCCTCAGTAGTTTTTATATCACTGATGCTAGTAGGGCCTAGCAAATGTCTCAAAACAAATAATTTAAATCAAATTTAACAGGGTTAAGAATCCCAAGTGGCCGGAGGCAAACCAGCTGGTTATTTACAAGCATTTGCGAGGATTTGAACTCGGGACTAACAAGAACAAGTCCAGCTAGCGGTCAGGGCAGGACTTGAACTCGGGCCTCTGAAATACAAGTCCAACGCTCTAACTGCCCGACCATTACTATTGCAAATAAGCGTTCAGTGGAAAACGAGTGAAAAATAACATGATATTATGCAAAACAATAATTTTAATTTAATTTTGCAGCCAAAGCTCGGTAACACGTAAGGGGATAATCTTGATAAAAAAAAGATGACAAACAGAGAAATACACCTTGAGGTGTGATGATCAACTTGTCACTCTTTCTCGTTGACAGTAAAAATTAAGACCACGGTGACAAAGGTGACAACAGAGAAAATAGTGACTACGGTGACAACAGCGACAACAGTGACAACAGTGACAAGAGTGACAACATCGACAACAGTGACAACGATGACAACAGTGACAAAAGTGACAACAGTGACAACGGTGACAACAGTGGCAACAGTGACAACAGTGATAACAGCGACATTAGTGACAACGGTGACAAGAGTGACAACAGAGAAAACGGTGACAACAGTGACAACGGTAAGAACACTGAAAACGGTGACAACCGTGACAACGGTGACAACAGTGACAACGGTTACAACAGCGAAAACAGTGACAACGGTGAAAACGGTGACAACAGCAACAACAAAACGGTAAAAACGGTGACAACAGTGACAACGGCGACAACGGTGACAATGCTGACAACAGTGACAACGGAGAAAACAGTGACAACAATGCTAACAGCGACAACGGTGACAACCGTGACAACAGCGACAAAGGTGACAACAGCGACAACACTGACAACGCTGACAACAGTGACAATGGTGAAAACAGTGAGAATGGTGACAACAGCAACAACAAAACGGTGAAAACGGTGACAATGCTGACGACGGTGACAACAGTGACAACAGCGAAAACGGTGACAACAGCGACAATGGTGACAACCGTGACAAAAGCGACAACTGTGACAATGGTGACAACAATGACAGCAGTGGCAACGGTGACAACAGTGAAAACAGTGACAACAGCGACAACAGTGACAACGGTGAAAACACCAACAACAGTGAAAACGGTGACAGCAAGGCAACGATGACAAAAGTGACAACGGTGACAGCAGTGACAACAGAGACGATGGTGACAACTGTGACAACCATGAAAACAGTGACAACAGTGACAGTGGTGACAACGGTGACAACCGTGATAACGGTGACAACGGTGACAACAGTTACATCTGTAACAACAGTGACAACCGTGACAACAGTGACAACGGTGACAAGAGTGACAACAGTGACAATAGTGACAACAGTGAAAATGGTGACAACAGTGACAATGGTGACATTGGTGACCTTAGTGACAACTGTGACAACAGTGACAACCGTGACAACGGTGACAAGAGTGACAACAGTGACGACGGTGACAACAGCGACAACGGTGACAGCAAGGCGACGATGACAAAAGTGACAACGGTGACAGCAGTGACAACACAGACAACGGTGACAACAGCCACAACAGTGACAACGGTGACAACAGTGACAATGCTGACAATGGTGAAAACAGTGACAACAGTGACAACGGTGACATCAGAGACAACGGTGACAACAGTGACAAAAGTGACAACGGTGACAACAGTGACAACAGTGACAGCGGTGACAACGGTGACCACAGTGAAAACCGTGACAACAGTGACAACGATGACAATGGTGACATTAGTGACAACCGTGACAACAGTGACAACGGTGACAACAGTGACAACGGTGACAACAGTGACAACGGTGACAACGGTGACAACAGTGACAACAATGACATCAGTGACAACGGTGACAACAGTGACATCCGTGACAACAGTGCCAATAGTGACAATGGTGACATAAGTGACAACTGTAATTACGGTGACATCATTACAACGGTGACAACAGTGAGAATGGTGACAAGAGTGATAATGTTGACGACAGAAACATAAGTGACAACAGTAATTACTGTGACAACGGTACAACGGTAAAAACAAAGACAACGGTGACAACAGTGACCACGGTGACAACTGTGACAACGACGACGATGACAATGGTGACATTAGTGACAACGGTGACAACAGTGACAAAAGTGACAATGGTGACCAGTGACAGCGGTGACAACGGTGACCACAGTGATAACTGTGACAACAGTGACAACGATGACAATGGTGACATTAGTGACAACCGTGACAACAGTGACAACGGTGACAACAGTGACAACGGTGACAAGGGTGACCACAGTGACAACAGTGACAACAATGACATCAGTGACAACGGTGACAACAGTGACATCCGTGACAACAGTGACAATAGTGACAATGGTGACATAAGTGACAACTGTAATTACGGTGACTTCATTGCAACGGTGACAACAGTGAGAACAGTGAGAATGGTGACAAGAGTGATAATGTTGACGACAGAAACATAAGTGACAACAGTACAACGGTGACAACAAAGACAACGGTGACAACAGTGACCACGGTGACAACTGTAACAACGACGACAACAGTGACAACGATGACAATGGTGACATCAGTGACAATGGTGACAAGGTGACAATGTTGACAACAGTAACAACATTGAAAATGGTGACATTGGTGACAACAGTAATAACGGTGACAGCAGTGACAAGAGTGACAATGGTGACAACAGTGACAAAAGTGACAACGGTGATAACAGTGACAACCGTAAAAACAGTGACAACAGTGACAATGGTGACAACAGCGACAACAGAGAAAACGTTGACATCAGCGACAACGGTGACACTAGGCAACGATGACAAAAGTGACAACGGTGAAAGGAGTGACAACAGAGACAACGGTGACAAGAGCCACAACAGTGACAACGGTGACAACAGTGACAACGGTGACATCAGTGAAAACGGTGACAACAGTGACAAAAGTGACAACGGTGACAACTGTGACAACAATCCCTGACAATGCTGACAACGGTGACAACAGTGACAACGGTGACAAGGGTGACAACAGTGACAACATTGACATCAGTGACAACGGTGACAGCAGTGACATCCGTGACAACAGTGAAAATGGTGACAACAGTGACAACGGTGACGATGGTGACATCATTGACAACAGTGACAAAAGTGACAATTGTGACAACAGTGACAACAGTGACAATGGTGACAACGGTGACATGATGGACAACAGTGACGATGGTGACAACTGTGACAACGATGACAACAGTGACAACAGCGACAATGGTGACAACAGTGACAATGGTGACAACAGTGACAACAGTAACAACGGTGACAAGACTGACAACAGTGACGATGGTGACAACTGTGACAACGATGACAACAGTGACAATGGTGACTACGGTGACAACAATAACAACCGTGACAACAGTGACAACGGTGACAACAGTGACAACAGTGACGATGGTGACAAATGTGACAACAATGACAAGAGTGACAACCGTGACGATAGTGACAACAGTGACAATGGTGACAACAGTGACAACGTTGACAACAGCGACAACAGTGACAGCAAGGCAACGATGAATAAAGTGACAACGGTGACAGCAGTGACAACGGTGACATCGTTGATAATGGTGACAACGGTGACAACACTGACAACGGTGACATCACTGACAACGGTGACAACGGTGATCTACCTGACAATGCTGACAACGGTGAAAACAGTGACAATGGTGACATTGGTGACCTTAGTGACAACTGTGACAACAGTGACAACCGTGACAGCGGTGACAAGAGTGACAACAGTGACGACGGTGACAACAGCGACAACGGTGAGAGCAAGGCAACGATGACAAAAGTGACAACGGTGACAACAGTGACAGCGGTGACAATGGTGAACTCCCTGACAATGCTGACAACGGTGACAAGGGTGACGACAGTGACAACAGTGACAACATTGACATCAGTGACAACGATGACGACAGTGACATCCGTGACAACGGTGACAATGGTGACAACAGTGACAACGGTGACGATGGTGACAACAGTGACAACAGTGACAACGGTGACCACAGTGATAACCGTGAGAACAGTGACAACGATGACAATGGTGAGATTAATGACAACCGTGACAACAGTGACAACAGTGACAACAGTGACAAAGGTGACAACAGTGACAACGGTGAACTCCCTGACAATGCTGACAACGGTGACAACAGTGAACACGGTGTCAAGGGTGACGACAGTGATAACAGTGACAACAATGACAGCAGTGACAACGGTGACATCCGTAACACCAGTGACAATACTGACAACGGTGACGATGGTGACATCATTGACAACGGTGATGACGTTGACGACGGTTACAACTGTGAAAACGATGACAAAAGTGACAATGGTGACAACAGTGACAACGGTGGCAATGGTGACAACAGTGACAAAGGTGACAATTGTGACAATGGTGACAACGGTGACAATATGGACAACAGTGACGATGGTGACAACTGTGACAACGATGACAACAGTGACAATGGTGACAACAGTGACAACAGTGACAACAGTGACAACAGTGAACAACGGTGAGAAAAGTGACAAAACTGACAATGGTGACAACAGTGACAACAGTGATAATGGTGACAACGGTGACAACAGTGACATTTATAACAACAGTGACAACCGTGACAAGAGTGACAACAGTGACAAGGGTAACAACAGTGACAACAGTGACAACGGAGACATCAGTGACAACGGTGACAACAGTGACAAAAGTGACAACGGTGACAACAGTGACAACAGTGACAGCGGTGACAACGGTGAACTCTCTGACAATGCTGACAATGGTGACAAGAGTGACAACGGTGACAAGGGTGACGACAGTGACAAAAGTGACAAAATTGACATCAGCGACAAAGGTGACAATGGAGACAACAGTGACAACGGTGACGATGGTGACATCATTGACAACAGTGACGACGGTTACAACTGTGAAAACGATGACAACAGGGACAATGGTGACATCAGTGACAATAGTAACAATGGTGACAACAGTGACAACCGTGAGAACAGTGACAACGGTTGCAAGAGTGACAACAGTGACGATGGTGAAAACTGTGACAACGATGACAACAGTGACAACAGTGACAATGGTGACAACCGTTACAACAGTGACAACAGTAACAACGGTGACAACAGTGAGAAAACTGACAATGGTGACAACAATGACAACAGTAATAACGGTGACAACAGTGACATCTGTAACAACAGTGACAACCGTGACAACAGTGACAACGGTGACAACGGTGACAAGAGTGACAACCGTGACAATAGTGACAATGGTGACAACAGTGACAATGGTGATATTGGTGACCTTAGTGACAACTGTGTCAACAGTGACAACAGTGACAACCGTAACAATGGTGACAACCGTGACGACGGTGACAACAGCGGCGACGGTGATAGCAAGGCAACGACGACAAAAGTCACAACGGTGACAACAGTGACAACAGTAACAACTCCCTGACAATGCTGACAACTGTGACAACAGTGACAAGGGTGACGACAGTGACAACAGTGATAACATTGACATCAGTGACAACGATGAAAACAGTGACATCCGTGACAACAGTGACCACAGTGACAATAGTGACAACAGCGACGATGGTGACATCATTGACAACAGTGACAACGGTTACAACTGTGAAAACGATGACAACAGTGAGAATGTTGACAACAGTGACAACAGTGACAACAGTGACAAAAGTGACAATTTTGACAACAGTGACAACAGTGACAATGATGACAACGGTGACAACAGTGACAACGGTGACAACAGTGACAATGGTGACAAGAGCGACAACAGTGACGATGGTGACAACTGTGACAACCATGAAAACAGTGACAACAGTGACAGTGGTGACAACGGTCACAACAGTGACAAAACTGACAATGGTGACAACAGTGACAACAGTGATAACGGTGACAACGGTGACAACAGTGACAACCTTGACAACGGTGACAATGGTGACAACAGTGACAATGGTGACATTGGTGACCTTAGTGACAACTGTGAAAACAGTGACAACCGTGACAATGGTGACAAGAGTAACAACAGTGATGACGGTGACAACAGCGACAACCGTGAAAGCAAGGCAACGTTGACAAAAGTGACAACGGTGACAGCAGTCACAACAGAGACTACAGTGACAACAGCCACAATAGTGACAACGGTGAACACCGTGACAATGCTGACAATGGTGACAACAGTGACAACAGTGACAACAATGACAACAGTGACAATGGTGACAACAGTGACAACGGTGACCACAGTGATAACCGTGACAACAGTGACAACGATGACAATGGTGAGATTAGTGACAACCGTGACAACAGTGACAACGATGACAATGGTGACAAAAGTGACAATGGTAACAAGGTGACAATGTTGACAACCGTAACAACATTGAAAATGGTGACATTGGTGACAACCGTAATAACGGTGACAGCAGTGACAAGAGTGACAATGGTGACAACAGTCACAAAAGTGACAATGGTGACAACAGTGACAACGGTGATAACAGTGACAACCGTAACAACAGTGACAACAGTGACAACTTTTACAACCGTGACAACAGTGACAACCGTGACGATAGTGACAACAGTGACAACAGTGACAATGGTGAGAACAGCGACAACAGTGACAACGTTGACATCAGCGACAACGGTGACAGCAAGGCAACGATGACAAAAGTGACAACGGTGACAGCAGTGACAACAGAGACAACGGTGACAAGAGCCACAACAGTGACAACGGTGACAACAGTGACAAAAGTGACAACGGTGACAACAGTGACAGCGGTGAACTCCCTGACAATGCTGACAACGGTGACAACAGTGACAACGGTGACAGGGGTGACGACAGTGACAACGGTGACAACAGTGACAAGGGTGACAGGGGTGACGACAGTGACAACGGTGACAACAGTGACATCAGTGACAACGGTGACAACAGTGACATCCGTGACAACAGTGACGACAGTGACGACGGTTAGAACTGTGAAAACGATGACAACAATGACAATGGTGACTACAGTGACAATAGTGACAACGGTCACAACACTGACAAAAGAGACAATTGTGACAACAGTGACAATGGTGACAACGGTGACGACGGTGACAACAGTGACAACCGTGACAACAGTGAGAACGGTTGCAAGAGTGGCAACAGTGACGATGGTGACAACTGTGACAACGATGACAACAGTGACAATGGCGACAACGGTGACAACAGTGACAACAGTAACAACGGTGACAACAGTGACAAAAGTGACAATGGTGACAACAATGATAACGGTGACAACGATGAACACAGTGACATCTGTAACAACAGTGACAACCGTGACAACAGTGACAATGGTGACAACGGTGACAAGAGTGACAACCGTGACAATAGTGACAATGGTGACAACAGTGACAATGGTGACATTGGCGACCTTAGTGACAACTGTGACAACAGTGACAACCGGGAAAACGGTGACAAGAGTGACAACAATGACGACAGCGACAACGGTGACAGCAAGGCAACGGTGACAAAAGTGACAACGGTGACAGCAGTGAGAACAGAGACAACGGTGACAACGTTGACAATGGTGACAATGGTGACAACAGTGACAACGGTGACAACGTCAGTGACAATGGTGACAACAGTGACAAAAGTGACAACGGTGACAACAGTGACAACAGTGACATTGGTGACAACCGTGACAACAGTGACAATGATGACAATGGTGACAAAAGTGAAAACGGTGAGAACGGTGACATCAGTGACAACGGTGACAAGAGTGACAACAGTGACGATGGTGACAACTGTGACAACGATGACAACAGTGACAACAGTGACAATGGTGACAACGGTGACAACAGTGACAACAGTAACAACGGTTACAACAGTGACAAAACTGACAATGGTGACAACAGTGACAACGGTGACATCTGTCAGAACAGTGACAACCGTGACAACAGTGACAACGGTGACAACGGTGACAAGAGTGACAACCGTGACAATAGTGACAATGGTGACAACAGTGACAATGGTGACATTGTTGACCTTAGTGACAACTGTGACAACAGTGACAACCGTGACAACGGTGACAAGAGTGACAACAGTGACGAGGGTGACAATAGCAACAATGGTGACAGCAAGGCAACGATGACGAAAGTGACAACGGTGACAGCAGTGAGAACAGAGAGACCGGTGACAACAGCCACAACAGTGACAACGGTGACAATGTTGACAATGGTGACAATGTTGACAAAAGTGACAACGGTGACAACGGTGATATCAGTGACAATGGTGACAACAGTGACAAAAGTGACAACGGTGACAACAGTGACAGTGGTGACAACGGTGATTACAGTGACAACCATGACAACAGTGACAACGATGACAATGGTGACATTAGTGACAACCGTGACAACAGTGATAACGGTGACAACCGTAACAACAGTGACAACCGTGACAACAGTGACAACAGTGACAAGAGTGACAACCGTGACAATAGTGACAACAGTGACAATGGTGACAGTCACAATGGTGACAATAGTGACATTAGTGACAACTGTGACAACAGTGACCACAGTGACCACTGTGACAACGGTGACAAGAGTGACAACAGTGACGACGGTGACAACTGTGACAACGATGGCAACAGTGACAACAGTGACAACAGTGACAACGATGACAACAGTGACAACAGTGACAACGGTGACGACAGTGACAACGGTGACAACAGTGACAACGGTGAAGACAGTGACAACAGTGACAACAGTGACAACGGAGACAACCGTGACAACAGTGACAACCGTGACAACAGTAACAACGGTGACAACAGTGACAGCGGTGACAACGGTGAACTCCCTGACAATGCTGACAACGGTGACAAGCGTGACCACAGTGACAACAGTGACAACAATGACATCAGTGACAACGGGGACAACAGTGACATGCGTGACAATGGTGACAACAGTGACAACGGTGACGATGGTGACATCATTGACAACAGTGACAATAGTGACAGGAGTGACAACCGTGACAATAGTGATAATGGTGACAACAGCGACAATGGTGACATTGGTGACCTTAGTGACAACTGTGACAACTGTGACAACAGTGACAACCGTGACAACGGTGACAAGAGTGACAACAGTGACGACGGTGACAACAGTGACAACGGTGACAGCAAGGCAACGGTGACAAAAGTGACAACGGTGACAGCAGTGAGAACAGAGACAACGGTGACAACAACAACAGTGACAACGGTGACAACAGTGACAATGCTGACAATGGTGAAAACAGTGACAACAGTGACAACGGTGACATCAGTGACAACGGTGACAACAGTGACAAAAGTGACAATGGTGACAACAGTGACAACAGTGACAGCCGTGACAACGGTGACCACAGTGATAACCGTGACAACAGTGACAACGATGACAATGGTGACAACGGTGACAACCGTGACAACAGTGACAACAACAAAAAGTGACAACGGTGACAACAGGTGACAACAGTGACAACGGTGACAACAGTGACAACAGTGACAACAGTGACAACAATGACATCAGTGACAACGGTGACAACAGTGACATCCGTGACAACAGTGACAATAGTGACAATGGACAACACAACAGTGACAACTGTGACAACGGTGTGACAATGGTGACAACGGTGACAACAGTGACAATGGTGACAAGAGTGATAATGTTGACAACAGAAACAACAGTGACAACAGTAATTACAGTGACAACGGTGACAACGGTGACAATGTTGACAACAGTGACAACGGTGACATCAGTGAAAACGCTGACAACAGTAACAATGGTGACAACAGTGACAACGGTGACAACAGTGACAAAAGTGACAATTGTGACAACAGTGACAACAGTGACAACGGTGACAACGGTGACAACAGTGACAACAGTGACAACAGTGACAACGGTGACAATAGTGACAACGGTGACAACGGTGACAAAAGTGACAATAGTGACAACAGTGACAACGGTGACAACGGTGACAACGGTGACAACAGTGACAACAGTGACAACAGTGACAACAGTGACAACAGTGACAACGGTGACAACAGTGACAACGGTGACAACGGTGACAACAGTGACAATGGTGACAACAGTGACAACTGTGACAACAGTGACAACAGTGACAACGGTGACAACAGTGACAACAGTGACAACGGTGACAACAGTGATAATGTTGACAACAGAAACAAAGTGACAACAGTGACAACGGTGACAACAAAGACAACGGTGACAACAGTGACAACGGTGACAACTGTAACAACGACGACAACAGTGACAACAGTGACAATGGTGACATCAGTGACAATGGTGACAACAGTGACATGTTGACAACAGTAACAACATTGAAAACGGTGACATTGGCGACAACAATGATAACGGTGACAACGGTGACAAGAGTGACAATGGTGACAACAGTGACAAAAGTGACAACGGTGACAACAGTGACAACCGTGAAAAACAGTGACAACAGTGACAATGGTGACAACAGTGACAACAGAGAAAACGGTGACATCAGTGACAACGGTGACACAACAGTGACAACGGTGACAAAAGTGACAACGGTGAAAGGGTGACAACAGAGACAACGGTGACAAGAGCCACAACAGTGACAATGGTGACAACAGTGACAACGGTGACATCAGTGTGAAAACGGTGACAACAGTGACAAAAGTGACAACGGTGACAACAGTGACAACAATGACAACAGACAATGCTGACAACGGTGACAACAGTGACAACGGTGACAAGGGTGACAACAGTGACAACATTGACAACAGTGACAACGGTGACAACAGTGACAACAGACAACAGTGAAAATGGTGACAACAGTGACAACGGTGACAACGGATGGTGACAACATTGACAACAGTGACAAAAGTGACAACAGTGACAACAGTGACAACAGTGACAATGGTGACAACGGTGACATGATGGACAACAGTGACAATGGTGACAACTGTGACAACGGTGACAACAGTGACAACAGCGACAATGGTGACAACAGTGACAATGGTGACAACAGTGACAACAGTGACAACCGTGACAAGACTGACAACAGTGACAACGGTGACAACTGTGACAACGATGACAACAGTGACAATGGTGACTACGGTGACAACAATAACAAATGACAACAACAGTGACAACAGTGACAAGGGTGAAAACAGTGATGACGGTGACAACAGTGACAACTGTGAAAACAATGACAAAAGTGACAACAGTGACAATTGTGACAACAGTGACAATCGTGACAACAGTGACAACGTTGACAACAGCGACAACAGTGACAGCAAGGCAACGATGAATAAAGTGACAACGGTGACAGCAGTGACAACGGTGACATCGTTGATAATGGTGACAACGGTGACAACACTGACAACGGTGACATCACTGACAACGGTGACAACGGTGATCTACCTGACAATGCTGACAACGGTCAACTCCCTGACAATGCTGACAACGGTGAAAACAGTGACAATGGTGACATTGGTGACCTTAGTGACAACTGTGACAGCGGTGACAAGAGTGACAACAGTGACGACGGTGACAACAGCGACAACGGTGAGAGCAAGGCAACGATGACAAAAGTGACAACGGTGACAACAGTGACAGCGGTGACAATGGTGAACTCCCTGACAATGCTGACAACGGTGACAAGGGTGACGACAGTGACAACATTGACATCAGTGACAACGATGACGACAGTGACATCCGTGACAACGGTGACGACAATGGTGACAACAGTGACAACGGCGACGATGGTGACAACAGTGACAACAGTGACAACGGTGTCCACAGTGATAACCATGAGAACAGTGACAACGATGACAATGGTGAGATTAATGACAACCGTGACAACAGTGACAACAGTGACAAAGGTGACAACAGTGACAACGGTGAACTCCCTGACAATGCTGACAACGGTGACACCAGTGAACACGGTGTCAAGGGTGACGACAGTGATAACAGTGACAACAATGACATCAGTGACAACGGTGACATCTGTAACACCAGTGAAAATAGTGACAGTGGTGACAATACTGACAACGGTGACGATGGTGACATCATTGACAACGGTGATGACGTTGACGACGGTTACAACTGTGAAAACGATGACAACAGTGACAATGGTGACAACAGTGACAACGGTGGCAATGGTGACAACAGTGACAAAGGTGACAATTGTGACAACAGTGACAAGAGTGACAATGGTGACAACGGTGACAATATGGACAACAGTGACGATGGTGACAACTGTGACAACGATGACAACAGTGACAATGGTGACAACAGTGACAACAGTGACAACAGTGACAACAGTAACAACGGTGAGAAAAGTGACAAAACTGACAATGGTGACAACAGTGACAACAGTGATAATGGTGACAACGGGGACAACAGTGACATTTATAACAACAGTGACAACCTTGACAAGAGTGACAACAGTGACAAGGGTAACAACAGTGACAACAGTGACAACGGAGACATCAGTGACAACGGTGACAACAGTGACAAAAGTGACAACGGTGACAACAGTGACAACAGTGACAGCGGTGACAACGGTGAACTCTCTGACAATGCTGACAATGGTGACAAGAGTGACAACGGTGACAAGGGTGACGACAGTGACAAAAGTGACAAAATTGACATCAGCGACAACGGTGACAATGGAGACAACAGTGACAACGGTGACGATGGTGACATCATTGACAACAGTGACGACGGTTACAACTGTGAAAACGATGACAACAGTGACAATGTTGACAACAGTGACAACAGTGACAACGGTGACAACAGTGACAACCGTTGCAACAGTGACAACTGTGACACCGGTGACAGGAGTGACAACAGTGACGATGGTGACAACTGTGACAACAATGACAACAATGACAACTGGTGACAAGGTGACAACAGTGACAACAGTGACAACGGTGACAACAGTGACAAAACTGACAATGGTGACAACAGTGACAACAGTGATAACGGTGACAACAGTGACAACTGTAACAACAGTGACAACCGTGACAAGAGTGACAACGGTGACAACCGTGACAAGAGTGACAACCGTGACAATAGTGACAATGGTGACAACAGTGACAACGGTGACAACAGTGACAACAGTGACAACAGTGACAACGGTGACAACAGTGACAACCGTGACAATGGTGACAATGGTGGCAAGAGTGACAACAGTGACGACGGTGATAACAAGGCAACAGACGACAAAAGTGACAACGGTGACAACAGTGAACAACCTGACAATGACAACCTGACAACAACTGTGACAACAGTGACAGCGGTGACCAGGGTGACGACAGTGACAACAGTGACAACATTGACATTAGTGACAACGATAAAAACAGTGACATCCATGACAACAGTGACCGTAGTCACAATAGTGACAACGGCGACGATGGTGACATCATTGACAACAGTGACGACGGTTACATTTGTGAAAACGATGACAACAGTGACAATGTTGACAACAGTGACAACAGTGAGAACAGTGACAAAAGTGACAATTTTGACAACAGTGACAACAGTGATGGTGACAACGGTGACAACAGTGACAACAGTAAGAACTGTGACAACGGTGACAAGAGTGACAACAGTGACGATGGTGACAACTGTGACAACCATGAAAACAGTGACAACAGTGACAGTGGTGACAACGGTCACAACAGTGACAAAACTGACAATGGTGACAACAGTGACAACAGTGATAACGGTGACAACGGTGACAAGAGTGACATCTGTAACAACAGTGACAACCTTGACAACGGTGACAATGGTGACAACAGTGACAATGGTGACATTGGTGACCTTAGTGACAACTGTGAAAACAGTGACAACCGTGACAATGGTGACAAGAGTGACAACAGTGATGACGGTGACAACAGCGACAACCGTGAAAGCAAGGCAACGTTGAGAAAAGTGACAACGGTGACAGCAGTCACAACAGAGACTACAGTGACAACAGCCACAATAGTGACAACGGTGAACACCGTGACAATGCTGACAATGGCGACAACAGTGACAACAGTGACAACAATGACAACAGTGACAATGGTGACAACAGTGACAACGGTGACAACGGTGACCACAGTGATAACCGTGACAACAGTGACAACGATGACAATGGTGACATTAGTGACAACCGTGACAACAGTGACAACGATGACAATGGTGACAAAAGTGACAATGGTAACAAGGTGACAATGTTGACAACCGTAACAACATTGAAAATGGTGACATTGGTGACAACCGTAATAACGGTGACAGCAGTGACAAGAGTGACAATGGTGACAACAGTCAAAAAAGTGACAATGGTGACAACAGTGACAACGGTGATAACAGTGACAACCGTAACAACAGTGACAACTTTTACAACCGTGACAACAGTGACAACCGTGACGATAGTGACAACAGTGACAATGGTGACAACAGTGACAACAGTGACAACGTTGACAACAGCGACAACGGTGACAGCAAGGCAACGATGACAAAAGTGACAACGGTGACAGCAGTGACAACAGAGACAACGGTGACAAGAGCCAAAACAGTGACAACGGTGACAACGTTGACAATGGTGACAACGGTGACAACAGTGACAACGGTGAACTCCCTGACAATGCTGACAACGGTGACAACAGTGACAACGATGACAGGGGTGACGACAGTGACAACGGTGACAACAGTGACAAGGGTGACAACAGGACAACACAGTGACAACGGTGACAACAGTGACATCAGTGACAACGGTGACAACAGTGACATCCGTGACAACAGTGACGACAGTGACGACGGTTAGAACTGTGAAAACGATGACAACAATGACAATGGTGACTACAGTGACAATAGTGACAACGGTCACAACACTGACAAAAGAGACAATTGTGAAAACAGTGACAATGGTGACAACGGTGATGACGGTGACAACAGTGACAACCGTGACAACAGTGAGAACGGTTGCAAGAGTGGCAACAGTGACGATGGTGACAACTGTGACAACGATGACAACAGTGACAATGGCGACAACGGTGACAACAGTGACAACAGTAACAACGGTGACAACAGTGACAAAAGTGACAATGGTGACAACAATGATAACGGTGACAACGGTGAACACAGTGACATCTGTAACAACAGTGACAACCGTGACAACAGTGACAATGGTGACAACGGTGACAAGAGTGACAACCGTGACAATAGTGACAATGGTGACAACAGTGACAATGGTGACATTGACAACAACTGTGACAACAGTGACAACCGGACAACGGTGACAAGAGTGACAACAATGACGACAGCGACAACGGTGACAGCAAGGCAACGGTGACAAAAGTGACAACGGTGACAGCAGTGAGAACAGAGACAACGGTGACAACGTTGACAATGGTGACAATGGTGACAACAGTGACAACGGTGACATCAGTGACAATGGTGACAACAGTGACAAAAGTGACAACGGTGACAACAGTGACAACAGTGACATTGGTGACAACAGTGACCAGAGTGACAACCGTGACAATGATGACAATGGTGACAAAAGTGAAAACGGTGACAACGGTGACACCAGTGACAACGGTGACAAGAGTGACAACAGTGACGATGGTGACAACTGTGACAACGATGACAACAGTGACAACAGTGACAATGGTGACAACGGTGACAACAGTGACAACAGTAACAACGGTTACAACAGTGACAAAACTGACAATGGTGACAACAGTGACAACGGTGACATCTGTCAGAACAGTGACAACCGTGACAACAGTGACAACCGTGACAACAGTGACAACGGTGACAACGGTGACAACGGTGACAAGAGTGACAACCGTGACAATAGTGACAATGGTGACAACAGTGACAATGGTGACATTGTTGACCTTAGTGACAACTGTGACAACAGTGACAACCGTGATAACGGTGACAAGAGTGACAACAGTGACGAGGGTGACAATAGCAACAATGGTGACAGCAAGGCAACGATGACGAAAGTGACAACGGTGACAGCAGTGAGAACAGAGAGACCGGTGACAACAGCCACAACAGTGACAACGGTGACAATGTTGACAATGGTGACAATGTTGACAAAAGTGACAACGGTGACAACGGTGATATCAGTGACAATGGTGACAACAGTGACAAAAGTGACAACGGTGACAACAGTGACAGTGGTGACAACGGTGATTACAGTGACAACCATGACAACAGTGACAACGATGACAATGGTGACATTAGTGACAACCGTGACAACAGTGATAACGGTGACAACCGTAACAACAGTGACAACCGTGACAACAGTGAAAAGAGTGACAACCGTGACAATAGTGACAACAGTGACAATGGTGACAGTCACAATGGTGACAATAGTGACATTAGTGACAACTGTGACAACAGTGACCAGTGACCACTGTGACAACGGTGACAAGAGTGACAACAGTGACGACGGTGACAACTGTGACAACGATGACAACCGTGACAACGGTGACAACAGTGACATCTGTAAGAACAGTGACAACCGTGACAACAGTGACAACGGTGACAAGAGTGGCAACAGTGACATCTGTAAGAACAGTGACAACCGTGACAACAGTGACAACGGTGAAGACAGTGACAACCGTGACAATAGTGACAGTGACAACAGTGACAACAGTGACAACACAACAGTGACAACACAACAGTGACAACGGTGACAACAGTGACAACAACAGTAAACGGTGACAATAGTGACAACAAACAGTGACAACGGTGACAACAGTGACAACGGTGAACTCCCTGACAATGCTGACAACGGTGAAAAGGGTGACAACAGTGAGAACAGTGACAACATTGACAACATCAGTGACAACAGTGACAACAGTGACAACAACAATGGTGACAACAAGTGACAACAGTGACAATGGTGACATCATTGACAACAGTGACAATGACAACGACAACAGTGACAACAGTGACAATGGTGACAATAGTGACAATAGTGATAATGGTGACAACAGCGACAATGGTGACATTGGTGACCTTAGTGACAACTGTGACAACTGTGACAACAGTGACAACCGTGACAACGGTGACAAGAGTGACAACAGTGACGACGGTGACAACAGTGACAACGGTGACAGCAAGGCAACGGTGACAAAAGTGACAACGGTGACAGCAGTGAGAACAGAGACAACGGTGACAACAGTGACAACAATGACAACGGTGAAAACCGTGACAACAGTGACAACTGTGACAACAGTGACAACGGTGACAACAGTGACAACAGTGACAACGGTGACAACAGTGACAAAACTGACAATGGTGACAACAATGATAACGGTGACAACGGTGAACACATTGACATCTGTAACAACAGTGACAACCGTGACAACAGTGACAAGGGTGACAACAGTGACAAGAGTGACAACAGTGACAATAGAGACAATGGTGACAACAGTGACAATGGTGACATTGGTGACCTTAGTGACAACTGTGACAACAGTGACAACAGAGACAACCGGGACATCGGTGACAAGAGTGACAACAGTGACGACAGCGACAACGGTGACAGCAAGGCAACGGTGACAAAAGTGACAATGGTGACAGCAGTGAGAACAGAGACAACGGTGACAACGTTGACAATGGTGACAATGGTGACAAAAGTGACAACGGTGACATCAGTGACAACGGTGACAACAGTGACAAAAGTGACAACGGTGACAACAGTGACAACAGTGACATTGGTGACAACGGTGACCAGAGTGACAACCGTGACAACAGTGACAATGATGACAATGGTGACAACAGTGACAACGGTGAGAACGGTGACATCAGTGACAACGGTGACAAGAGTGACAACAGTGACGAAGGTGACAACTGTCACAACGATGACAACAGTGACAACAGTGACAAAACTGACAATGGTGACAACAATGATAACGGTGACAACGGTGAACACAGTGACATCTGTAACAACAGTGACAACCGTGACAATGGTGACAACCGTAACAATGGTGACAACAGTGACAATGGTGACATTGGTGACCTTAGTGACAACTGTGACAACAGTGACAACCGTGACAACGGTGGCAAGAGTGACAACAGTGACGAGGGTGACAACAGCGACAACGGTGACAGCAAGGCAACGATGACAAAAGTGACAACGGTGACAGCAGTGAGAACAGAGAGAACGGTGACAACAGCCACAGCAGTGACAACGGTGACAACGTTGACAATGGTGACAATGTTGACAAAAGTGATAACGGTGACAGCGGTGATATCAGTGACAATGGTGATATCAGTGACAATGGTGACAACAGTGACAAAAGTGACAACGGTGATTACAGTGACAACCATGACAACAGTGACAACGATGACAATGGTGACATTAGTGACAACCGTGACAACAGTGACAACAGTGACATTGGTGACAACGGTGACCAGAGTGACAACCGTGACAACAATGACAATGATGGCAATGGTGACAACGGTGACAACGGTGACAACGGTGACATCAGTGACAACAGTGACAAGAGTGACAAGAGTGACGAGGGTGACAACAGCGACAACGGTGACAGCAAGGCAACGATGACAAAAGTGACAACGGTGACAGCAGTGAGAACAGAGAGAACGGTGACAACAGCCACAACAGTGACAACGGTGACAACGTTGACAATGGTGACAATGTTCACAAAAGTGACAACGGTGACAGCGGTGATATCAGTGACAATGGTGACAACAGTGACAAAAGTGACAACGGTGACAACAGTGACAGTGGTGACAACGGTGATTACAGTGACAACCATGACAACAGTGACAACGATGCCAATGGTGAAATTAGTGACAACCGTGACAACAGTGATAACGGTGACAACGGTGACAACCGTAACAACAGTGACAACGGTGACAACAGTGACAACAGTGAGAAGAGTGATAACCGTGACAATAGTGACAACAGTGACAACAGTGGCCACTGTGACAACGGTGACAAGAGTGACAACAGTGCCGACGGTGACAACTGTGACAACGATGACAACAGTGACAACAGTGACAACGATGACAACAGTGACAACAGTGACAACAGTGACGACAGTGACAACGGTGACAACAGTGACAACGGTGAAGACAGTGACAACAGTGACAACGATGACCACAACGACAACAGTCACTACGGTGACTGCGAGACAACAGTAACAACAGTGACAACGGTGACAACCGTGACAACGGTGACAACCGTGACAACAGTGACAACCGTGACAACGGTAACAACGGTGACAACAGTGAAAACAGTGAGAACAATGACATCAGTGACAACGGTGACAACAGTGACAGCCGTGACAATGGTGACAACAGTGACAACGGTGACGATGGTGACATCATTGACAACAGTGACAACGGTGACAACAGTGACAAGAGTGACAATAGTGACAATGGTGACATTGGTGACCTTAGTGACAACTGTGACAACTGTGACAACAGTGACAGCTGTGACAACGGTGACAAGAGTGACAACAATGACGACGGTGACAACAGTGACAACGGTGACAGCAAGGCAACGGTGACAAAAGTGACAACGGTGACAGCAGTGAGAACAGAGACAACGGTGACAACAGCCACAACAGTGACAACGGTGACAACGTTGAAAATGGTGACAAAAGTGACAACGGTGACATCAGTGACAATGGTGACAACAGTGACAAAAGTGACAATGGTGACAACAGTGACAACAGTGACAGTGGTGACAACGGTGATTACAGTGACAACCGTGACAGTGGTGACTACGGTGATTCCAGTGACAACCGTGACAACAGTGACAACGATGACAATGGTGACATTAGTGACAACCGTGACAAAAGTGATAACGGTGACAACGGTGACAACCGTAACAACAGTGAACCCCGGGACAACAGTGACAACAGTGACAAGAGTGACAACCGTGACAATAGTGACAACAGTGACAATGGTGACAGTGACAATGGTGACAATGGTGACATTATTGACAACTGTGACAACAGTGACAACTGGGACAACAGTGACAAGTGTGACAACATTGTCGACGGTGACAACTGTGACAACGATGACAACAGTGACAACGATGACAACAGTAACAACAGTGAAAACGGTGACAATGGTGACGACAGTGACAACGGTGAGAACAGTGACAACGGTGAAGACAGTGACAACGGTGACCACAGCGACAATAGTCACTACGGTGACAGCGAGAGAACAGTGACAACAGTGATAACAGTGACAACGGTGACAACCGTGACAACAGTGACAACCGTGACAACAGTGACAAAAGTGACAATGGTGACAACAATGATAACGGTGACAACGGTGAACACAGTGACATCTGTAACAACAGTGACAACCGTGACAACAGTGACAATGGTGACAACGATGACAAGAGTGACAACGGTGACAATAGTGACAACCGTGACAACAGTGACAACAGTGAAAACAGTGACAAAAGTGACAACGGTGACAACAGTCACAGTGGTGACAACGGTGATTACAGTGACAACCATGACAACAGTGACATTAGTGACAACCGTGACAACAGTGAAAACGGTGACAACGTTGACAACCGTAACAACAGTGACAACCGTGACAACAGTGACAACAGTGACAAGAGTGACAACAGTGACAATAGTGACAACAGTGACAATGGTGACAGTGACAATGGTGACAATGGTGACATTAGTGACAACTGTGACAACCGTGACAAGAGTGACAAGAGTGACGACGGTGACAACTGTGACAACGATGACAACAGCGACAACAATCACTACGACGACTGCGAGACAACAGTGACAACCGTGAGAACCGTGACAACAGTGACAACCGTGACAACCGTGACAACAGTGACAAAAGTGACAGCGGTGACAACGGTGAACTCCCTGACAATGCTGAGAACGGTGACAACGGTGACAAGGGTGACGACAGTGACAAAAGTGACAACAATGGCATCAGTGACAACGGTTACAACAGTGACATCCGTGACAACAGTGACAATGGTGACAACAGTGACAACGGTGACGATGGTGATATCATTGACAACAGTGACAACGGTGACAACGGTGACAAGAGTGACAACCGTGATAATAGTGACAATGGTGACAACAATGACAATGGTGACATTGGTGACCTTAGTGACAACTGTGACAACAGTGACAACAGTGATAGCCGTGACAACGGTGACAAGAGTGACAACAGTGACGACGGTGACAACAGCGACAACGGTGACAGCAAGGCAACGATGACAAAAGTGACCATGGTGACAGCAGTGAGAACAGAGCCAACGGTGACAACAGCCACAACAGTGACAACGGTGACAACGTTGACAATGGTGACAATGGTGACAAAAGAGACAACGGTGACATCAGTGACAATGGTGACAACAGTGACAAAAGTGACAACGGTGACAACAGTGACAACAGTGACAGTGACAACGATGACAATGGTGACATTAGTGACAACGGTGACAACAGTGATAAGGGTGACAACGGTGACAACCGTAACAACAGTGACAACCGTGACAACAGTGACAACAGTGACAACAGTGACAAGAGTGACAACCGTGACAATAGTGACAACAGAGACAATGGTGACAGTGACAATGGCGACAATCGTGACATTAGTGACAACTGTGACAACAGTGACAACAGTGACAACGGTGACAAGAGTGACAACAGTGACGACGGTGACAACTGTGACAACGATGACAACAGTGACAACAGTGACAATGATGACAACAGTGACAACGGTGACAACACACAGTGACAACGGTGACGACAGTGACAACAGTGACAACAGTGACAACGGTGAAGACAGTGAAAACAATGACAACGGTGACCACAACGACAACAGTCACTACGGTGACAGCGAGACAACAGTGACAACAGTGACAACAGTGAGAACCGTGACAACAGTGACAACCGTGACAACAGTGACAACAGTGACAACGGTGACAACAGTGACAACAGTGACAGCGGTGACAACGGTGAACTCCCTGACAATGCTGAGAAGGGTGACAACGGTGACAAGGGTGACGACAGTGACACCTGTGACAACAATGACATCAGTGACAACGGTGACAACAGTGACATCCGTGACAACAGTGACAATGGTGACAACAGTGACAACGGAGACGATGGTGACATCATTGACAACAGTGACGACAGTGACAACTGTGAAAACGATGACAACAGTGACAATGGTGACAACAGTGACAACAGTGACAACGGTGACAACGGTGACAACAGTGACAACGGTGACAACGGTGACAACAGTGACAACAGTGACAATGGTGACAACAGTGACAACAGTGACAACGTTGACAACAGTGACAACAGTGACAACAGTGACAACAGTGACAACAGTGACAACGGTGACAACAGTGACAACAGTGACAACAGTGACAACGGTGACAACAGTGACAATGGTGACAACAGTGACAACAGTGACAACAGTGACAACAGTGACAACAGTGACAACGGTGACAACAGTGACAACAGTGACAACAGTGACAACGGTGACAACAGTGACAACAGTGACAACGGTGACAACAGTGACAACAGTGACAACAGTGAAAACAATGACAACGGTGACAACAGTGACAACAGTGACAACAGTGACAAGGGTGACAACAGTGACAACGGTGACAACAGTGACAACAGTGACAACGGTGACAACAGTGACAATAGTGACAACAGTGACAAGAGTGACAACAGTGACAACGGTGACAACAGTGACAAAAGTGACAACGGTGAACAACGACACAAAGTGACAACGGTGACAGCAGTGAGAACAGAGAGAACGGTGACAACAGCCACAACAGTGACAACGGTGACAACGTTGACAATGGTGACAATGTTGACAAAAGTGTCAACGGTGACAGCGGTGATATCAGTGACAATGGTGACAACACTGACAAAAGTGACAACGGTGACAACAGTGACAGTGGTGACAACGGTGATTACAGTGACAACGATGACAATGGTGACATTAGTGACAACCGTGACAACAGTGATAACGGTGACAACGGTGACAACCGTAACAACAGTGACAACCGTGACAACGGTGACAACGGTGACAACAGTGACAACGGTGACGACAGTGACAACGGTTACAACAGTGACAACGGTGACAACAGTGACAACAGTGACAACGGTGACAACAGTGACAGCGGTGACAACGGTGACAACAGTGACAACAGTTACACACTGACAACGATGACAACGGTGACAACAGTGACAAGAGTGAAAACAGTGACAACAGTGACAACGGTGACAACAGTGACAACGGTGACAACGGTGACAACAGTGACAACGGTGACAACGGTGACAACGGTGAAAACGTGACAACAGTGAGAAATGTGACAACAGTGACAACAGTGACAACAGTGACAACGGTGACAACAAAGACAACGGTGACAACAGTGACAATGGTGACAACAGTGACAACAGTGACAACAGTGACAATAGTGACAACAGTGACAATGGTGACAATGGTGACATTAGTGACAACGGTGACAACAGTGACAACAGTGACAACGGTGACAACAGTGACAACAGTGACAACGGTGACAACAGTGACAACAGTGACAAAAGTGTCAACAGTGACAAAAGTGACAACGGTGACAACAGTGACAACGGTGACAGCAGTGACAACGGTGAAAAGAGTGACAACGGTCACAACAGTTAAACCAGTGACAGCAATAACAGCAGTGACAACGGTGACAACAGTGACAAAAGTGACAACGGTGACAACAGTGACAACAGTGACAACGGTGACAAGAGTGACAACAGTGACAAGAGAGACAACAGTGACAACGGTGACACTAGTGACAACTGTGACAGAAGTGACAGCAGTGACAACGGTGACAACAGTGACAACGGTGCCAACAGTAAGAACGGTGAAAACAGTGACAACGGTGACAACAGTGACAACAGCGACAACAGTGACAACAGTGACAACGGTGACAACAGTGACAACAGTGACAACAGTGACAACGGTGACAACAGTGACAACGGTGACAACAGTGACAACAGTGACAACAGTGACAACGGTGACAACAGTGACAACAGTGATAACGGTGACAATGGTGACAACAGTGACAACGGTGACAAAAGTGACAATGGCGACAACAGTGACAACGGTGACAATAGTGACAACAGCGACAAAAGTGACAACAGTGAGAACTGTGACAACAGTGACAACAGCGACAACAGTGACAACAGTGACAAGAGCGACAACAGTAGCAACCGTGACAACAGAGAGAACGGTGACAACAGTGACAACAGTGACAACAGTGACAACGGTGAAAACAGTGACAATGGTGACAACAGTGACAACAGTGACAACGGTGACAACAGTGACAACAGTGACAACAGTGACAACGGTGACAACGGTGACAACAGTGACAATGGTGACAACAGTGACAAGCGTGACAACTGTGACAATCGTGACAACAGTGACAACGGTGACAACAGTGACAACAGGTGACAACGATGACAACAGTGACAACGGTGACAACAGTGACAACAGTGACAACGGTGACAACCGTGACAACAGTGACAACGGTGACAACAGTGACAACAGTGACAACGGTGACAACAGTGACAACAGTGACAACGGTGACAAGAGTGACAACGGTGACAACAGTGACAACGGTGACAACAGTGACAATGGTGACAACAGTGACAACGGTGACAACAGTGACAACAGTGACAACGGTGACAACAGTGACAACGGTGACAACAGTGACAACGGTGACAACAGTGACAACAGTGAAAACGGTGACAACAGTGACAACAGTGACAACAGTGACAATGTGACAATGGTGACAAATGGTGACAAACAGTGACAACAGTGACAACAGTGACAACAGTGACAACAGTGACAACAGTGACAACAGTGACAACGGTGACAACAGTGACAACAGTGACAACGGTGACAACAGTGACAACAGTGACAACGGTGACAACAGTGACAACAGTGACAACAGTGACAACAGTGACAACAGTGACAACAGTGACAACAGTGACAACAGTGACAACAGTGACAACAGTGACAACAGTGACAACAGTGACAACAGTGACAACAGTGACAACAGTGACAACGGTGACAACAGTGACAACGGTGACAACAGTGACAACAGTGACAACAGTGACAACAGTGACAACAGTGACAATGGTGACAACAGTGACAACAGTGACAACAGTGACAACAGTGACAACAGTGACAACCGTGACAACCGTGACAACAGTGACAACAATGACAACAGTGACAACTGTGACAACGGCGACAACAGTGACAATGGTGACAACAGTGACAAGCGTGACAACTGTGACAATCGTGACAACAGTGACAACGGTGATAACAGTGACAACAGTGACAATGGTGACAACAGTGACAAACGTGACAACTGTGACAATCGTGACAACAGTGACAACGGTGATAACAGTGACAACGGTGACAACGGTGACAACAGTGACAAGCGTGACAACAGTGACAATCGTGACAACAGTGACAACAGTGACAACAGTGACAACCGTGACAACAGTGACAACAGTGACAACAGTGACAACGGTGACAACAGTGACAAAACTGACAATGGTGACAACAGTGACAACAGTGACAACAGTGACAACAGTGACAACAGTGACAACAGTGACAACAGTGACAACAGTGATAAGAGTGACAACAGTGACAACGGTGACAACGGTGACAACAGTGACAACTGTGACAACAGTGACAACGGTGACAACAGTGACAACAGTGACAACGGTGACAACAATGATAACAGTGGCAACGGTGACAATGGTGAAAACAGTGACGATGGTGACAATGGTGACAACAGTGACTACAGTGACAATGGTGACACAGTGACAACATTGACAACAGTGACAACACTGACAATGGTGACAACAGTGACAACCGTGACAACAGTGACAACCGTGACAACAGTGACAACGGTGACAACTGTGACAACAGTGACAACAATGACAACGGTGACAACAGTGACAAAAGTGACACCAATGACAACAGTGACAACAGTGAAAACAGTGACAATGGTGACAACAGTGACAAAAGTGACAACAGTGACAAGAGTGACAATGGTGACAACAGTGACAACGGTGAGCAACAGTGACAACAGTGACAACGGTGACAACAGTGAAAACAGTGACAACGGTGACATCAGTGACAACGGTGACAACAGTGACAACGGTGACAACGGTGACAACAGTGACAACAGTGACAACAGTGACAACGGTGACAACAGTGACAACGGTGACAACGGTGACAAAAGTGACAACAGTGACAATGGTGACAACAATGGTGACAACAGTGACAACAGTGACAACAGTGACAACAGCGACAACAGTGACAACAGTGACAACAGTGACAACAGTGACAATGGTGACAACAGTGACAACGGTGACAACAGTGACAACAGTGACAACAGTGACAACGGTGACAACAGTGACAACAGTGACAACAGTGACAACAGTGACAACAGTGACAACAGTGACAACAGTGACAACAGTGACAACAGTGACAACGGTGACAACAGTGACAACGGTGACAACAGTGACAACAGTGACAACGGTGACAACGGTGACAACAGTGACAACTGTGACAACAGTGACAATGGTGACAACAGTGACAAGCGTGACAACTGTGACAACCGTCACAACAGTGACAACAGTGACAACAGCGACAACCGTGACAAGGGCGACAACAGTGACAACGGTGACAACAGTGACAATGGTGACAACAGTGACAACCGTGACAACTGTGACAATCGTGACAACAGTGACAACGGTGATAACAGTGACAACAGTGACAACGGTGACAACAGTGACAACGGTGACAACAGTGACAACAGTGACAACTGTGACAACAGTGACAACGGTGACAACAGTGACAACCGTGACAACAGTGACAACAGTGACAACGGTGACAATGGTGACAACAGTGACAACAGTGACAACAGTGACAACAGTGACAACGGTGACAACAGTGACAACAGTGACAACAGTGACAACAGTGACAACAGTGACAACAGTGACAACAGTGACAACGGTGACAACAGTGACAACAGTGACAACGGTGACAATGGTGACAACAGTGACAACAGTGACAACAGTGACAACAGTGACAACAGTGACAACGGTGACAACGGTGACAACAGTGACAACGGTGACAACAGTGACAACGGTGACAACAGTGACAACGGTGACAACAGTGACAACAGTGACAACGGTGACAACAGTGACAACAGTGACAACGGTGACAACAGTGACAACAGTGACAACGGTGACAACAGTGACAACAGTGACAACAGTGACAACAGTGACAACGGTGACAACAGTGTTAACAGTGACAACGCTGACAACGGTGACAACGGTGACAATGGTAACAACGGTGACAACAGTGACAACAGTGACAACGGTGACAACAGTGACAACAGTGACAACGGTGACAACGGTGACAACAGTGACAACAGTGACAACAGTGACAACGGTGACAACAGTGACAACAGTGACAACAGTGACAACGGTGACAACAGTGACAATAGTGACAACAGTGACAACAGTGACAACGGTGACAACAGTGACAACGGTGACAACAGTGACAACAGTGACAACAGTGACAACAGTGACAATGGTGACAACAGTGACAACGGTGACAACAGTGACAACAGTGACAACGGTGACAACAGTGACGACAGTGACAACAGTGACAACGGTGACAACAGTGACAACAGTGACAACAGTGACAACAGTGACAACAGTGACAACAGTGACAACGGTGACAACAGTGACAACAGTGACAACGGTGACAACAGTGACAACAGTGACAACAGTGACAACAGTGACAACGGTGACAACACGTGACAACAGTGACAACAGTGACAACAGTGACAACGGTGACAACAGTGACAACGGTGAGAACAGTGACAACGGTGACAACAGTGGCAACAGAGACAACGGTAACAACAGTGACAACGGTGACAACAGGTGACAACAGTGACAACGGTGACAACAGTGACAACAGTGACAACAGTGACAACAGTGACAGTGACAAAGGAGTGACAACAGTGACAAGGGTGACAACAGTGACAACAGTGACAACGGTGACAAAAGTGACAACAGTGACAACAGTGACAACAGTGACAACACTGACAACAGACAACAGTGACAACAGTGACAACGGTGACAACAGTGACAACAGTGACAACAGTGACAACGGTGACAACGGTGAATAGTGACAACGGTGACAACGGTGACAACAGTGACAACGGTGACAACAGTGACAACGGTGACAACAGTGACAACAGTGACAACGGTGACAACGGTGACAACAGTGACAACAGTGACAACAGTGACAACGGTGACAACAGTGACAACAGTGACAACGGTGACAACAGTGACAACAGTGACAACAGTGACAACGGTGACAACAGTGACAACAGTGACAACAGTGACAACAGTGACAACAGTGACAAAAGTGACAACAGTGACAACAGTGACAACAGTGACAACGGTGACAACAGTGACAACAGTGACAACAGTGACAACGGTGACAACAGTGACAACAACAGTGACAACGGTGACAACAGTGACAATGGTGACAACAGAGACAACGGTGACAACAGTGACAATGGTGACAACAGTGACAACGGTGACAGCAGTGACAAAAGTGACAACTGGGACACCAGTGACAAGAGTAACAACGGTGACAAGAGTGACAACGGTGACAGCAGTGACAACAGTGACAACTGGGACACCAGTGACAAGAGTAACAACGGTGACAAGAGTGACAACAGTGACAACGGTGACAACGGTGACAACGGTGACAATGGTGACAACAGTGACAACAGTGACAACAGTGACAACGGTGACAACGGTGACAACAGTGACAATAGTGACAATGGTGACAACAGTGACAACAGTGACAACGGTGACAACAGTGACAACAGTGACAACAGTGACAACGGTGACAATAGTGACAACGGTGACAACGGTGACAACAGTGACAACAGTGACAACAGTGACAACGGTGACAACGGTGACAACAGTGACAATGGTGACAACAGTGACAACGGTGACAACAGTGACAACAGTGACAACAGTGACAACAGTGACAACAGTGACAACGGTGACAACGGTGACAACAGTGACAACAGTGACAATGGTGACAACAGTGACAACGTGACAACGGTGACAACAGTGACAACGGTGACAACAATGACAACAGTGACAACGGTGACAACAGTGACAATGGTGACAACAGTGACAACGGTGACAACAGTGACAAGGTGACAACAGTGACAACAGTGACAACGGTGACAACGGTGACAAGGTGTGACAACTGTGACAACAGACAACAGTGACAACAGTGACAACGGTGACAAGAGTGACAACAGTGACAACGGTGACAACAGTGACAATGGTGACAACAACAAGAGTGACAACAAAGTGACAACGGTGACAACAGTGACAACAGTGACAAAGTGAACAGTGACAACAGTGACAACGGTGACAACGGTGACAACGGTGACAATGGTGACAAAAATGACAAAAAGTGACAACAGTGACAACAGTGACAATGGTGACAAAAGTGACAACGGTGACAACAGTGACAACAGTGACAGTGGTGACAACAGTGATTACAGTGACAACCGTGACAACAGTGACAACGATGACAATGGTGACATTAGTGACAACGGTGACAACAGTGATAAGGGTGACAACGGTGACAACCGTAACAACAGTGACAACCGTGACAACAGTGACAACAGTGACAAGAGTGACAACCGTGACAATAGTGACAACAATGACAATGGTGACAACAGTGACAACAGTGACAACGGTGACAAGAGTGACAACTGTGACGACGGTGACAACTGTGACAACGATGACAACAGTGACAACAGTGACAATGATGACAACAGTGACAACGGTGACAACAGTGACAACGGTGACGACAGTGACAACAGTGACAACAGTGACAACGGTGAAGACAGTGACAAGAATGACAACGGTGACCACAACGACAACAGTCACTACGGTGACAGCGAGACAACAGTGACAACAGTGACAACAGTGACAACGGTGAGAACCGTGACAACAGTGACAACCGTGACAACAGTGACAACAGTGACAACGGTGACAACAGTGACAACAGTGACAACAGTGACAACAGTGACAAGAGTGACAACCGTGACAATAGTGACAACAATGACAATGGTGACAACAGTGACAACAGTGACAACGGTGACAAGAGTGACAACTGTGACGACGGTGACAACTGTGACAACGATGACAACAGTGACAACAGTGACAACGGTGACAACAGTGACAACAGTGACAACGGTGACAACGGTGACAACAGTGACAACTGTGACAACAGTGACAACGGTGACAACAGTGACAAAAGTGACAACGGTGACAACAGTGACAACAGTGACAGCAGTGACAACGGTGAACTCCCTGACAATGCTGACAACGGGGACAAGGGTGACGACAGTGACAACAGTGACAACATTGAGATCAGTGACAATGGTGACAACAGTGACAACAGTGACAACAGTGACAACGGTGACAACAGTGACAACGGTGACTAAAGCGACAACGGTGACAACAGCGAAAACAGTGACAACAGAGAAAACGGTTACAATGGTGAGAAAAGCGACAACAGTGACAAGAGTGACAACAGCGACAACGGTGAGAACGGTGACATCAGTGACAACGGTGACAAGAGTGACAACAGTGACGAGGGTGACAACAGCGACAACGGTGACAGCAAGGCAACGATGACAAAAGTGACAACGGTGACAGCAGTGAGAACAGAGAGAACGGTGACAACAGCCACAACAGTGACAACGGTGACAACGTTGACAATGGTGACAATGTTGACAAAAGTGACAACGGTGACAGCGGTGATATCAGTGACAATGGTGACAACAGTGACAACGGTGACAACCGTAACAACAGTGACAACCGTGACAACAGTGACAACAGTGACAACCGTGACAATAGTGACAACAGTGACAATGGTGACAGTGACAATGGTGACAATGGTGACATTAGTGACAACTGTGACAACAGTGACAACAGTGACAACTGTGACAACGGTGACAAGAGTGACAACAGTGACGACGGTGACAACTGTGACAACGATGACAACAGTGACAACAGTGACAACGATGACAACAGTGACAACGGTGACAACGGTGACAACAGTGAAAACGGTGACGACAGTGACAACAGTGACAACAGTGACAACGGTGAAGACAGTGAAAACAATGACAACGGTGACCACAACGACAACAGTCACTACGGTGACAGCGAGACAACAGTGACAACAGTGACAACAGTGACAACGGTGACAACCGTGACAACAGTGACAACAGTGACAACGGTGACAACAGTGAGAACAGTGACAGCGGTGACAACGGTGAACTCCCTGACAATGCTGACAACGGTAAAAAACGGTGACAAGGGTGACGACAGTGACAACAGTGACATCAGTGACAACGGTGACAACAGTGACATCCGTGACAACAGTGACAATGGTGACAACAGTGACAACGGTGACGATGGTGATATTATTGACAACAGTGACAACGGTGACAACGGTGACAAGAGTGACAACCGTGACAATAGTGACAATGGTGACAACAGTGACAATGGTGACATTGGTGACCTTAGTGACAACTGTGACAACAGTGACAGCCGTGACAACGGTGACAAGAGTGACAACAGTGACGACGGTGACAACAGTGACAACGGTGACAGCAAGGCAACGGTGACAAAGTGACAACGGTGACAGCAGTGAGAACAGAGACAACGGTGACAACAGCCACAACAGTGACAAGGGTGACAACGTTGACAATGGTGACAAAAGTGACAACGGTGACATCAGTGACAATGGTGACAACAGTGACAAAAGTGACAATGGTGACAACAGTGACAACAGTGACAGTGGTGACAACGGTGATTACAGTGACAACCGTGACAGTGGTGACAACGGTGATTACAGTGACAACCGTGACAACAGTGACAACGATGACAATGGTGACATTAGTGACAACCGTGACAACAGTGATAACGGTGACAACGGTGACAACCGTAAGAACAGTGACAACCGTGACAACAGTGACAACAGTGACAAGAGTGACAACCGTGACAATAGTGACAACAGTGACAATGGTGACAGTGACAATGGTGACAATGGGGACATTATTGACCACTGTGACAACAGTGACAACTGGGACAACGGTGACAAGCGTGACAACAGTGACGACGGTGACAACTGTGACAACGATGACAACAGTGACAACAGTGACAACGATGACAACAGTGACAACAGTGACAACGGTGACAACGGTGACAACAGTGACAACGGTGACGACAGTGACAACGGTTAGAACAGTGACAACGGTGAAGACAGTGACAACAGTGACAACGGTGACCACAGCGACATTAGTCACTACGGTGACAGCGAGACAACAGTGACAACAGTGACAACAGTGACAACGGTGACAACCGTGACAACAGTGACAACAGTGACAACGGTGACAACAGTGACAACAGTGACAGCGGTGACAACGGTGAACTCCCTGACAATGCTGACAACGGTAAAAAACGGTGACAAGGGTGACGACAGTGAAAACAGTGACATCAGTGACAACGTTGACAACAGTGACATCCGTGACAACAGTGACAACAGTGACAAAAGTGACAACGGTGACAACAGTCACAGTGGTGACAACGGTGATTACAGTGACAACCATGACAACAGTGACATTAGTGACAACCGTGACAACAGTGATAACAGTGACAACGTTGACAACCGTAACAACAGTGACAACCGTGACAACAGTGACAACAGTGACAAGAGTGAGAACCGTGACAATAGTGACAACAGTGACAATGGTGACAGTGACAATGGTGACAATGGTGACATTAGTGACATCTGTGACAACAGTGACAACAGTGACAACTGTGACAACGGTGACAAGAGTGACAACAGTGACGACGGTGACAACTGTGACAACGATGACAACAGTGACAACAATGACAACAGTGACAACAGTGACAATGGTGACAACGGTGACAACGGTGACAACCGTGACAACGGTGACAAAGACAGTGACAACAGTGACAACGGTGACCACAGCGACAACAGTCACTACGGTGACTGCGAGACAACAGTGACAACGGTGAGAACCGTGACAACAGTGACAACCGTGACAACAGTGAGAACGGTGACAATGGTGACAACAGTGACAGCGGTGACAACGGTGAACTCCCTGACAATGGTGACAACGGTGAGAACGCTGACAAGGGTTACGACAGTGACAACAGTGACAACAATGACATCAGTGACAACGGTGACAACAGTGACATCCGTGACAATGGTGACAACAGTGACAACGGTTACGATGGTGATATCATTGACAACAGTGACAAGGGTGACAACGGTGACAAGAATGACAACCGTGACAATAGTGACAATGGTGACAACAGCGACAATGGTCAGTGATAGCTGTGACAACGGTGACAAGAGTGACAACAGTGACGACGGTGACAACAGCGACAACGGTGACAGCAAGGCAACGATGACATAAGTGACCACGGTGACAACAGCCACAACAGTGACAACGGTGACAACGTTGACAATGGTGACAATGGTGACAAAAGTGACAACGGTGACATCAGTGACAATGGTGACAACAGTGACAAAAGTGACAACGGTGACAACAGTGACAACAGTGACAGTGGTGACAACAGTGATTACAGTGACAACCGTGACAACAGTGACAACGATGACAATGGTGACATTAGTGACAACCGTGACAACAGTGATAACGGTGACAACGGTGACAACCGTAACAACAGTGACAACCGTGACAACAGTGACAACGGTGACAACCGTGACAATAGTGACAACAGTGACAATGGTGACAGTGACAATGGTGACAATGGTGACATTAGTGACAACTGTGACAACAGTGACAACGGTGACAAGAGTGACAACAGTGACAACAGTGACAATGGTGACAACAGTGACAACGGTGACTAAAGCGACAACGGTGACAACAGCGAAAACAGTGACAACAGAGAAAACGGTTACAATGGTGAGAACAGCGACAACAGTGACAAGAGTGATAACAGCGACAACGGTGAGAACGGTGACATCAGTGACAACGGTGACAAGAGTGACAACAGTGACGAGGGTGACAACAGCGACAACGGTGACAGCAAGGCAACGATGACAAAAGTGACAACGGTGACAGCAGTGAGAACAGAGAGAACGGTGACAACAGCCACAACAGTGACAACGGTGACAACGTTGACAATGGTGACAATGTTGACAAAAGTGACAACGGTGACAACGGTGGCAACGTAACAGCGACAAAGGTGACAACAGTGACAACAGTGACAACGGTGACAACAGTGACAACAGAGAAAATGGTGACAACGGTGATAACAGCGACAAGAGTGACAAGAGTGACAACAGCGACAACGGTGATGATGATGACAACAGTGACAATGGTGACAACGGTGACAACAGCGACAACAGCGACAATGGTGACAACAGTGACAAGAGCGACAAAAGGCGACAACAGTTACAACAGTGACAACGGTGACAACGGTGGCCGGGAGAACAGTGACAACAGTTTATGTGGTAACAACAATCAGAACTTTGACAATGGTGACAACAGCGACAACAAACCTTTTGATTTTTTAATGGAAAGCCCTGGATAGGTTTTTTTTAAGGAGTACTTAACAAGTGCAGAAAAATCTTTCACCACATTACTGTAAAGAACAACCTGACACTCCAACCTTCAATGATCCTTCTTTGTGTGATCAATCGTGATAAGCTGACCATGGAATGCAAGAACTACTTTCAAAGTGACATGGCATTTAGGAATGAAGAAGAATGAACAAGTAAAATAGGTCTTTATTGCTAAACTCTCCCCATCCTTATTATTTAAAATGAATTTTAGAGCAGACTTTGGCTCAAGAAATGTAAGAATAGTGATATTATTACGGTTTAAAGGGTTCAAATGATCAGGAAACCTTGCCAGATCACTCTGAATAAAAGTTATTTAAATTTTTGGCGTTTCTGAAGTGCCTTTTATTTAAGGTCAGCAAGTTTATTTCAAAATCATATTTTTAACATCACTGACAGCAGCAATGACATAAATCGTTAATATTCCATTTTATCCCTTTTACTGACCTGCTGAGATGGTCTGTCCTGTGATCTTATCAGCCCAACCAGCATAATATCTCAAGCACCTCACCACAATGCCAATATCCCCCAAAGCATCAGGAAAAACTTTTCCATTATCCAGTGTCTCCAAAGACTGTTGAATTACAGAAATAACACATATAAGTTTATAAGAAACAAGACCTGTTGTACAATTTACTCATAGAAACTAAATAAAGAGCACTTGTTGGATACAGGGGTTCCAAACACCACCGATGGCTGACGAAACGTGTCGGTTACTTTGCTCAGAGAAGTCAGCTACTTTTCTCCCCAAAAGAAGTGCTTACAATGTTGTGAACAAAACACACATCATAAAATCTGAATGAAAACGTAAAGTCCCACTGGTTTTGAGTTATGCTTTAGTTATGCAAAAGTTGTATTTCAGACAGTTCGATCTTCACATGTTTCTTTTGAGGTTTACACAAAATTTGTTTCCATTCAAAAACGTTTGTTCATTGCTTGTAAGTTGTGTGGCTAACAAATCGGAACCTGAAAGAAAGCTACATTTTCTTGAATAAAAACACACTCTTTTGTACTCAATTTAGTTCCTAGAACGCTGGAAATCACATTCTAGGGCTTTGAGATTTCAAAATTTTCAGAGGGAGCATGCCCCAGACCCCCCTAGAGACACAGGATTAATGGCCCCATGTTGACAGCTGTGTTGATATAGTCAGGTACTCTATTCAAACCTGCTGGCTACTTCAATTATTATTGAAACCCCTGTGGATGTATATTAAGTTGGCAAGGCAGGACCATGTGTGTCAGAAGAGGCTAAAGTACTTAACAGAGGGGCCTGCTTGTATTCAGAGGCTCCTTACTATTTTACCATGTTTGACAGAAAAGGTACCCCTTTCGTATACCTTCTATTTGCTGATGGTAGTACCCCTTTTACATACCCAGAGACAGGGTTGCCATGGATACCTCCTCTCTGCTTATTGCATTTGGCCCCCCACCAACCTTTAAGGTACCTGCTCCCAAGCTCATCATTAGCGATGAGTTTAAATCAAGGAGCATCCAACGAGAATATAGTTCAAAACCACTTAAACATAGCATTGTTAAACATATTTTAGTATTTAAACGGTAGATATAGGCATATTTTTATCCCCTAAAAATTTTTCATCTGTTCGGATTTCCTAGCTGAAAGTCTAGTGATCTGAAAATTATAGGGTTCAAAACTTGCCTTTTCGAAAATTTCAGCCAGAAAAAAGGCTCCCGAAATTCCAGGTGACCTTTTTAGGGTAAAAATACGTTAAAAATAGGCAATTATACCATTTTTTAGATGTTCGAAAATCCTAGGAGAGGCAGGCAAGCAAGAAATTTTACAACAAATGTTTCGAAAATTCTAGTTCTCAAATCGTCTTCCGAACAGATTTGCGGATACTTGCTTCCTGTCGTCCCTCCCTGCCCAGTGGAAAACCCACGCCTTCCAGCCATGAGGCCCCACAATAATAGAACCAGGCACTTGCCACACTGATATATCAAGGGGAGAGAAGGGGTGGGAAAAAGGCACAATCCAATGCTGAACGAAGCGAATGGCCACCATGAAAGTGCTGTACTTAGCACATGGAGCTAATGCAAGCAAGGCCGCTGACTAGCTTGCGCCGCGCTGACCACTGACCAACAACAAGAGACCACGCTCCTTGTTGTTAATTGTGTGCCCTTGTTTATGAAACTTGAAAACAGTGCCAGTGAAAAATGAGGACACTCACTAGTAAACAAAATCTGGGAGAAAAATTTGTGCCATTTCAAACCTCATTTAATTGCCTTCCTTGATTTTAATGTCCTTGAATCTTGGGGGAGTTGTAAATTGGGATTGTCAGGTTTTTTAAAAAAATTATCAAGTGGTTTTTAAAGGGACACAGACAGCTGATGTACATGCGCATTAGATACCATTCCTTAGCTGATTTACATGTCACAAGATGCGTGTGAAACAAAAGGGTATCCGGAATACTCCAAACAAACCTTGATGAGTTGAAATAGTTACAAGCCGAAATCATCTTTATAGGCCCTACGCCATATCAGAGCACTCATTGTTTATATACCATAAGGATTGAGAATTTACCCATGAATTTTTTCAGGGAAAGCCAAACATCGACGAATACGTCCAAATTCAAACATCAGTACAGGAGAGAAATTGCATGAAGTCTGAATCATTGTCGAAGGTTCACAGTTGAGAAAGCTTGATTTTCCAAATATGTAACCTTTTCCATCGATTTTCGAAATATATATATATAACGATTATTTGCTCGCCAATATGTTGCTGATTCATTTCTCTTGTTATTTTGGTAAACAAAGGTGATTTCTCCCACCTAGGCACCTACACGTTTCTCACCTCTTCTGTTCATGTTCCTTTGAATACTGTTTTTAACCAAATATGATAAAATAATGTAATGGGACAAGTAAAAGTTTGCTCAAAAAGAGATTTTCAGTAAAAGATCAAGGATCAAATGGAACACTACCTAGGCAGAATTAAAGCGGATTTCTAGATGTATCTGACGTGCAGATTTTATTTTGGGTTGAGGTAAAGTTTTCAAGGCGGCAACAGTAGTGTGCAGGTCAGCGCGGTCCAATAGCTGACTGTGTCCCTTTAAATTAATGTGAAATTTGTGGGCGTGGACCAAATTACATAGTACAAAAATGGTAAAGAAACCAACCGAATGTAGGTTAATCAAATTCTTCTTTCTCGCAATCGGCTGAAACAATCTTGTCCTTTTTTGTACAAAGATGAAACTGCATTTTCAGACCTCATCATTTTCCTAAGATGTTAGCTAATTATGTCGATAACATGTTTATTCAGTGTTTTTATGACCCTTGAGGCTGTGTTTCAAAATATTTCAAAAACGCTCTCATAGATTTTGTTCAAACTTTTGCATAATCAATCCAACTAAGGAAATTTCAAACTCCCTTAAGTAATTTCTGAAAAAAAACCCTATAGTGCCTAGAAACACAAAGGCAAGTAAAAAATGTAATGAGATCATTACATTGCCATGGCAACTCTAATGTCTTGATACAACATGGATCATAACAAGTTTTCATCTTTATACAGTACAGCTGTGGTAACCTTTTTCCGATATCAATGCTGACATAGTAAACACTCAAATTGTGAAAGTATATTCCCCTAAAAAATACAGTTGATATACCTTAACTTCATTATACCTATCGACATATGCTTGCACTGGTGTTGTTCTCTCTATATTTTTCGTTTCCAACCCAGTCTATATCCTGGCCAAGCTGATAAGGAGTTATATTTCAGTGTTCTCAATTAGCACGCTAAGAAATAAATGAGATGCAAATTAATGCACTTACAGCCAAATAATGCAAATCTCGCTCTACCAGGTCGGCAAGTTTGTACAGCAATCGACCCCTCTGAGAAGCATCCATTGTTCTCCAAGGACTTCCAAGTTTAAAAGCTGAAGCAGCTGCCTGCACAGCCTTGTCAACATCAGCCTGGAGTAGGAAAAACATTGATTCATCTAATTCAGTTAATAAACCAACAAAGTGTGGCATGTAAGCTGGTCTGTAAAAGTTCAATGTAGACAGCACATCATCAGTCTTGGAGGTAAATATTTAGCTAATTCTAATATAACCCGTGAGATTCTTAGAAAAAAATAATTAATTGTGACTTTGAAGAGATTTAATTGCAGAAGACACTTCTTGACAAAGCAAAGGGAAAGTCAATGTGGTTGATGCCATATGTGGGTTGAGTTTGTTGTTGGTTCTCTCCTTTGCTCAGAGAGGTTTTTCTCTGGTTTTCCCTTCTCCTCAAAAACCAGCATTTCAAAATTCCAATTCGACCACGAATCAGGTAGACAAAGAACCACTTTGTGGATGTACTACCTCCTACTCATAATTTATTTATATTTATTTATTCATTTTATATTTTATTTCCATCAGTTATTAAAGGGGCAAAAAGTCCCAATGCAAAGTTCACAATGACAGTCAACAGAAACCGAAAGAGAACCACCTAATTTAATTTTACAACACTACAAAATATTATAATTCATTTTTAAAACTTCTTTATTTTTTTATAAACTATTTTTCCTTACACCCAACTTTTCTTTCCTTGTTATCAACAGTTAGGTAGCAAGTAAGCTAGCCAATCAGAATGTAAGATTAGCCAAAGAATACCAGTATATCAAGATAATTTGACAAAATTTTAATGAAGTGTTTACTCATAACTTACCTTGTCACCCTCAGCCACATCACAGATCTTTTCCTCTGTCACTGGATTTATAGTAGGAAATGTCTTTCCACTAACAGAGTCCACAAATTCATTATTGATGAAAAGCTGTTTGGGGAGAAGTTTTTTTTTAGTTTTAAATAAGAGGTCTTTAGCCTTATCCTAATAAAGTAAACGAAAGAAACACTTGAAAGTGCACCAATACAGGCCTAGGTTACGGTAGTCACACTGTGGATACAGACAGTAAGAGAATTAGTAGCCATTAAGTACGTTTCGTACATACATATGTAAAGCAGTTGGCTAATCTGAATATTCTATCCTCTGCTCTTTAACATTTAAAAATTCCTATTTCTTGAACAGCCATTGTAACAAAAATACTTTACAAACAACATTAAAAATTTGGCAATATTAAGTTTATGCCAGAGCCCTAGTATCTTATTTTAGAAAATGGAGAGATTTTGAAAGCATTTAGTTATTTTGCTTCCTCTGTTAATGTTCTTTTGTCTTGCCAAAATGCTGTCATTTGTTACTGTGTCATGTGTACAGTATGCCACTAGTCAGAATTTTTCCCTAATAGGGCCACAATGGGGATATAGATGTGGCAAAATTTTATACAGTAGTTTTTACTGTATTTCCTCGAATGATAGCCAATTTAAAAGCCAGTGTTTGGTCTATTTGATGTGACGATTTTTTGATTTAATGGCTTAATAAAACAAAATATTTAGGGTGCAACTTTCAGTGAGCAATATTTCAAATAATCGCCTCCCTTGACTGAATAATCATTCCCTTTTGATGCAAAAAAGAAATAATCGTCCCGGCTATTATTTGAGGAAATATGGTCCCTTCAATTAATAAGCTTAAATTTTGAACATCTTTGAGAGGAGAATGTGGCATTTCAGTATGGCATCATGACTACCTTTATCATCTTAAAACAGAGCAGAATTGTTTTAATTGTGGAATACGCCCCTTGCACATCTCCCATAATGTACTTCATTTGCCCCCCCAACCTTTATAACCTTTGTTTTTCATTTCTCCTGGGTCTACACAGGAAAAAATAACGGACTCCCATTTTTGGATATTTTAGGGTATTTAAAGAATACCCACAAAAATCCCAATCAGGGAACTTGGTTGGGAATTCCCTGGTTGGGACTTGTCTCACTTTGCCAAATTTGGGATTTTTATGGGTATTCTTTAAATACCCTAAAATATCCAAAAATGGGAATCAATGTGTTACAGCCGTCCCAAGAAAAATTGAAAACAATGCTTATGCAAAATTTTGGGGGCAAATAAAGTGCATTATGGGTGCAAGTTGCGTATGAGGCACAATTTTGCCTTTCTGTAGTCTCCTTCGTGATATATTAGTGTATTAAAAGTGATGGAAGCAATGAAGTTAATTTAAGTTAAAGTTGAGCCTTTGACGAGGGTCGACTCTTGTGGAGTGTTTTCTCTACATGTTTATTAGTTCGAAATTGCTGCTACATGGCTTGTTGGGTGAAGCCATAAAGCATAATACTCGATTTACGAGCACTTATTGTCTTGGTTCTACACGGATCAAGCATAGATCCATGTCATACTCAGTAGTCGTGATAAGACCCAATTACAAGTGTATGAACAGTTACAAAGTACCGTAATTTACATGTATAGTCCTGAAATTAACCCAGATGACACACCTTTGTGAACTTGATTTCCGGAGTCCGTATGGCCGTCGACATTGTGAGGTTTTTTCCTTGGTAAAATCTTTGTGAATAAGGATGACAAACTCACGAAGAGGGAGAAACACTTACACAGTCATATGATTACCCGTCTGCACGAAGAGGGCAGGAGAGCATACAAGACGTGTAGCCATTCACGCAAGCGAGGCGCTATGCCTCGGCAGCAGGGACAGGGTTGGGGTGTGTGTCGAAGGGGAGTGGGGAGGGATGCTTTGACTTAATCCCGCGAACGCCTAGAGAGTAGTTCCTTGCTGTTTTTAACTTTCTTTCCTTTGGACGTAACTGTACCGGGCCCAACGATGTCCATCGTTGAGGTAGCCTGCATAACAGGCGCTTTAAGAGCCAAGCGAGGCGAACGCGGTATTTTGCGCGAAGCTCAAGACGAGGGGAGGAGGAAAAGTAGCGTTTGCCTCGCTCGGCTCATAAAGCGCCTTTTATGCAGGCTATCTTTAAGCTTCCTGCTTCATGCCGGTGAACGCCACAAGGCATGTAGGGCAGCAACAAAGGATCACCATTCCTGTCTGTTCTGGGCCAGCTTTTGTGTGGTTCCGAGTATCTTCCGATGACTCTAGAACCCATCACACCCAGGAGCGTCGATTTCCTTTGTTGCCGTTTCCGTAACAAGAGTGTTTTTACGGAACAGGATTGTTAGTCCTGTGTCCAACCCCCAACCTGGAGGACAAGCGGATCTTATTTACTAGAATACTTGCCGCGGCGCATATTTTAAGAAATTTTCGCGACTCAAATGCGGTGCTTATTGAAGGTTGGCGATTTTTAGGGGTAGCCTTTAGAGAGAATGTATGAAAACCGCTAAAATTGGGCCTGATCTCAGGTTAGAGGAAATAAGACTCGTTAAATTTTGTTTTCCTAGAATGGTATAGCCAGAGGGAAAATCATTCTATTCCTAGTTTTTTTTTCTTTTCTATTATTTGATCAGACAGTCAAGTTAGTCAAGCGCTGGGACCCCCTGGGTGAGAAGTTGTTGAACGTGATGGTAACGTAAAAGACGCTCGCGCTCGCACCTCGCGCCATTGTTGCTATAGTCGTTATTTGCTTATTTATTGCGTCATGTGCGAGCCTTGAGAGTCACTTTCATTCGTGAGGATTGTTTGATAAGCAGTTGTGCAACGTGAAAACTTCTTAAAAACTTGTGGAGAGTGCACGAAAGAAGATGAGAAGATCATTGTTCTGCTTTTATTGTGTTTTGATCAGCTATTTTTTGGCGTCTGCAACTGATAAGGAAGGTATGGCTTGAAGTAAAATTTTGGAATGTAAGTTTACTTTTGTTTGACTTGGAGCTGACGAAATTTGAAACTAACACGATTTCAACGCTCATGCAGACGTTTTCAGTAAAAGCAAAATCACTTGACTTTCGTTAAATCTTTCTTTAGAGTGTCATTTTAGACTAATACTGACTTGCTAAAGTACTCCAAGTCAACGAATTAATAATTATTTTCAGAATTTTATTTATCTAATTCTGATCTCATACCTATGTTTCAGGACAAAAGGTGCGGAAGTCTGCCCAGTGTCCGGACATTAATGAGGTGCAGGTTCAGATGCTAGACGAAGATATTCTTAGAGATCCTGAAAAGAGAATTGACCTGCACGTAAGCATTATATTTTCAGCCTTTTTTATCCTATGCTTCTTTAGACGGTTCGACATGAGTCGACCTACAAAGGACAGGGTTGAATTTTTGTTTCTAGCAAGTCGGAGGTTTATGCCGCTACAACCTTTCCCTAAAATCCATGGAAAAGTTAAACCCTTTATGTACCTATCTAAATTGGGTTCAGCAGCTCATCTCAGAGTTCTAACAGTGTCCCCCTAAACCCTAACTTCGGTTTATCTACGGCTGTTGGGTTTCCGTGGTTTAACCGTGAAGCGTGTGTTTGACACTCACCTCGAAGCATTTCTTTACAGATGAGTTTTGAGACCTTTACCCCAAGTGAAAAGTCGACTTACAACGAACAGGGTAACCAGGATTGGTCACGGCATTCTATTAGACTCCTCCTATCATCACTGAAGCTGCATCTTATGTTGAGAGTGGATGTCAGGTGTAAAATCGAGAATTGTAGCGGATTTGAAGGGCGTGGTACGAAGTTATTAACCGGCAAGGTAATGTATACGGCTATCATGGAGGTTAGAAAAAGATAGAAAAGATTTATCTTGTTACAAGCAGCAGTCTATATGTAAACGATTAAATTCATGATTAACAAAAAGAATCTAAATACCCTTTTGTCCCTGTTTAAAAGAAAGTGATAACTGGTTTCTAGTCGCTGTACGCTTCGCTTGAATTTATAGAAGCCCATCTTAAACCTCGTCCCTAGGGCTTAGGCTTTTGGAACGAGGTTGGCCTTTACGGAAAGAAGATAAAAGTTTATCCAATTATCAATGCAATGGTATTTTGAAAAAACTGTTTAAGTTTTGGCACAATCAGTCGTAACACCGAATTGTCCACAGTAGGCGATTTTCATGTCAGCCAGCAAAAACAGCTGTCTCTCCTGGCCAGCTCCTTGCTGCAGCGAGAAGACACGGCTGCCTGCGCGGGCTAGCGATCTTTACGATGATGTCATGTTACTATGACTGCAAGACTGAAATTTGTTTTGCGTCCTATATTTACATTTAGCCTAGGGTATGTTCATTGATCTTTTTCTGACGAATAGGAAAAATCTCATTGAGGTTTCGCCCGACCGTTTATATGGCCTGTTCTGATTGATTATTTTATAAGTTTGATTGCTTGTGTTTTTACTTTTCAGAATGGTATTGAGATTTATCTCGAGTGCGGCAGCTCAACTTCAGCCAAATACGACTCAGTCAAACGGATGACATCGGTAACACTCGACTGGATAACAAGGCCATTCAAAAGCCTTAACAACATAACAGTGAGCTCTTATGAATATTTGGTAGACAAGAGAGCGAAGAGGATCGCGTTGCAACTAAGGAGACTGAAAGATAAGTTTGAGGGGAGCATTCACAGTTATTTCAAGCCAACACTTGACAACCCGATAACAGTGATCGAAGCGGTCCTGGAAGTGATATGGACGGCAGTCAGACCTCTTCTGCGAACTTTACAGTTGCTGTGTGATTTTATTGCTGTTGTTATTAAACAGGCCAAGGTAGGCAACAAACTGAGATTCCTGTACGCCTCTCCTCACTGCTTAAAATGTGTATACAACTATTGGCGTTTTCAAAAAGAGAAAAACGACTACTTTTCTTGGCTGATTTGTAACTAGGTCCATGCGGCTTACACGAACACATGTTTGACTAGACGGTGGCTAAAAATGAAAAGGGAAAAAGAAAGGAAGGAAATTTAAAAAAAAGTTGCAGAGGAAGGGGGGAAAGTGGTATGATAGAGCAACTCCGATCAAGTTTGACGCAAAAATACTCAAAATTGCTTAGTCGTCGTCTGCGATGTTCTAGTACTGAAGATCACTGCTACATAAGACAAAAAAAAATCTGTTTCTCCTTTCCATTTAAGAAGTGTTAAATCCAACCAGACTTCCTTTTTGTTTTCTAAGGTTAAGACTGCAGAGTTCCTCAAGAAATATTCAGCTGTAGTGTATTGCTTTAAAAACTTTCAGGTCATAGGAGGTAAGCTATTATGACTAATAAAGATGAGATTAACTCGGTGACGTCAACGTGGCTTATTTAACGGGGATGCTGTTAAATGGTCTTGTGACTGACAAACCAAGGTCCGTTTGTGTCTCCCTTGCCGACTGATCTCAAGCTCCCTGTCCAAGTTCGAGAGGCCACTACCAGAACTAAAAAAAAAAAAACTGGGAAGGGTAAAGATTACCCGTGGGGACAGGGGTTGGGGGCGGCAGAGGACTATGGAGACTCTATTTCAGTTCCGCCCCCAAAACCTCCAACCAGGAAATCAAGATGGCGGCTTCTCGAATTTTGGTGATCTTCCTGGACGATTACGCGAAAATCAAGGGCACTATAAAAACACTCTAGAAACCGGTTCAAATTTCGAGTTCAAAATGCTGACTGACATCTATCTATTGAGCAAAAAAAAAACCAGAACGTTTCCTTTGACATGAGAAATATGCCAGTTTTTCTGACAAACGAAAGTTGACACAGATAACGACTTAGTTAGAGAGGTGAATACTCTCATACTCAGAAATCCGTGAACTTCCGAAATATTTCTGGAATACTTATTCTGCTCATTATGTTATGATCAGTCACGGCAAATATCAGGACAAGCGACAAAAACACAAGTTAAGCGCGAACGTTCTTAAACTTTTCTTTACTCGAGCAGGTCACGTGTTTTCAGTGGTTGAGCAGTGGCCTTTGGGATGGCAGGACTCCATAGAGTTCATTGGCTTTTCATGGGTTATTACTTACTTCATGTTTAACCTCATCAAATTCTCTGCTATGGACGAAAGCAAACTACACAGGTAATGTTTAAAATAAGCAACAATGCGGAACCAACAGTGAGCTGACTACCCACGAGTCTAAACAAGGAAAACTTAGTGATAGATAAATCGGCATTAGCCCCTGGGTAACAATCTTTTGGATTTCATAATAGTTTATAGTTTGATCATACGCACGCACTAACCAACTTACCGTAAATCCTCTATTAAGCCCCTCTTTTAATGTCCCCCCTGCCCTCTCCCTTATTTTTAAATGATTTACTGTATTTTAAAACAGTAAATCATTAAAACTAATCACGCTTATAGCACAATACATGGACTGATCCGGTATGGTTTATTCATGTGCAGGAAATTAAAGTACGCATTTGTTTTTGAAGTTCGGCTGCACTACCTCTAACTTCACACGAGCCTGACCCTTTCCAATTTGCTTTCTAGTTCTTCATGAAGAATTAATACCATAATCTTCTCGAAATTCGGGGGCGGTCTCCTCCAAAATTTTTTTAACCCTTCGGGCCTCAGTTTGGTGCAAGAATGGTGAAGAAGGGGAGGGGGGGCGGGCCCCCTGGGCCCCTCCCATGGATCCGCCACTGGACATTGCAACACTTTTAGACATAACTGAGAATCAGGTTCGACAACGTACGCGGATAAATCTCTGAAGTCTCTACCCCTAACCCTGGACAAATGTCGATATCCTTTAAATTTTAGGCAGCAGAGTTAGTGGTAGAGTATTTTCTCGATTGTTCCTCAATAGAAAATGTAATTTGCTTCTCTTTATTCTCTTTCATAGAACCACAAGACGGCAAGACAACATTCGTTATCCTCCGAAAAAGAAAGACAGTAATAAAGAGCTGATTTTGTAAATGTTACAGCGTGTGTGTTCATATCACCAATCCCAATTGTAAATCGCCATTTTTTGTTATAAATTTTGCCATTTTTTTGTGATCTCATGATTGGTGTTCTTCCTTGAGGTCCGGTTGCGGTGTTGACACCGCCCTTAACTAAACGCCGCATTGAAAATGCTAAAAATTTAATAAACGCTTAATCGAATAAATACGATATTTAACAAGGCCTAATAGTTTCTCATGAATATATTGCAAGGAAGGCATTACATCTGTATGCGACTTGAAAGTCAGTTGCTGGCTATAGAACGCAAGTAAAGAAACGTTGTCTCACCTTTCACAAACTCTACCCGGCTCTCTGGCTTTAATCCAGTCTTCTCCATAGTTGGATGATACTGAACCGGATCCAATAGTATTCTCCACTTAATAAGACCCAAAGCAGATTCCTGTTAGCAAGCTAATGACACTATCTCTGTCCTTCGTGGAGGCGTGCCTCTTTGTGTCGTAGGGGTAGGGAGCTTGGGAAGAGGGGAAAAAAGGGGGAACGATGGAAGGAGGGAGAGAGAAACTGAGAAAGAGAGGCTCCCGCTCCTTCCCTCTTCCCATCATCCACCGCTCGCTTGCTATTTTTCGATTATTGCCATTTTTATTGGAATACCCAATGGGAGTGTCTCTACGGAGAAGACAGTGACACTATCGATTCCAATCGCCAAAATCGCTACCCTGCTTTATCAATCCCATGGCCTTTCTAACTGGAACCCAGTAGTTGCAGTGGAAAATTTTAGCCTCAACTCTTGACGTCTCTTAAGACGTCACAGAATGGTATGTGTTTGGTGGCAGACGAACAACTGACTGCTGAGTGAGGATTATATACATGTATACGAAGTGAGATCGTGAGCCGGTTGTTAGTTTATAAATCGTCACTTGTTCGCTTATCGATCCTTAAATTAATGGAGTATGTTTGCGTGTGATGTACTTGATTTTTCCCGTCCCTTTCGAATAATAATAATAATAATAATAATAATAATAATAATAATTCATTACTTATATAGCGTAAAAAGTCAAGTGCATATGGTCTAACGCCCTGTCTATTGATTGCTTTAGATGAGGGGGGCCAAGGCAGAGGTTTGCAACAACATCCGTGTAATTGTCCATTTGCAGGATGGCGTCAGTTTACTACTACGACCAGATTTCTTTTCGTTTTATAATAATAATAATAATAATACACTTTATTTAAAGAGGGTAGCACGGAATAGTTACAGAAACTAGTAAACTTGTGGCCCTCGTTTTACCTTTCATATTTATATTTTGATAATCCCAGTGAGGTTTGAATAACAAAAGATCTAATTTGCACAAGAAAGTAAAACCGTGAAGAATTCGCAGTATGACGTCATCGTGCAAACGGCAATTGTCAAATGAAACCAGGAGATTAAAACTCGGTCGTCTGGGATGGGAAGGGTCAGTTGGGGTAGTGTAGAACAGGAACTGACAAAGGGTAGGGGTTAGTAGCGGTAGCCTCGCTTTCTGACTCGCTTAGCCACTAGGAACAACGGACACCAACAACAAAAAAAGGCTACCATCGTTAAAACAAGATTTTTTGCTACCATCAATATATTCTCTCTTTACAGCGTTTTCAGTGTCACTTTGGCTGAAGTTTATGTTAAGAAATATTTTCAAAATAAATCAGTGATTGAATCCATTGTAGGCCATTTTGTATCAAAACTTTCTTCGCTTGCTCGAACCCAGTTTGACCTGTTCCGTTCTTATCTTATGAGTTCTTTACTGGGACTTTCATAGTCACCTATAAAAAGGAGACAAAGAAGTTAACAGAGCTGCTAAAACGAGCACAAAGCAGCAAGTTATGTATAGACAACACCCTGGTTCTACTGAGGAGAAAGAGCCGTTTCAGGTCAGATCAGGTCCCGAGATAAACAGTTGTGTTTTTCTGTGAGTTGGCTAACAGCAAATTCACTTGTAATTCTGAAAAAATTTTCGTTAGATTCGCTCCTGCCAGAAAATCCCCCTGCGTTAAAGTTCACCTTTTCCTGGCTGTGCGATGCGAAATTCACTAGTTCTTTAGGTTAACTTCGTAGAGGAACGCTAGAAAAGTAGCAACGGTATTTTTTATTGCTTTGGCTTTGAATTTTCTACTACCAGCTGCTGTATCTTTAAATTAGATCTTTTCGAAACACGTTGCTTTTAGCTCGAGGCTCCGTGTTTCTGTATGGTTGTGTTCATTTAGGAAAGCGAAAACTGGCAGTGTTTTTCACACCACTTTGCACGATGCTTTGATCACGTGTTGTATCTTGAACGGGGAGCGGGGTACAATTGCAGACAGTTTATCCGCCCTGATTGCAGAATAGGCCCTTTCCGTCTTCCTAAAACTCTCATTTTCAAAACGAGGCTAAGCGCAAAACCTTGTTTTCTTTTTTTTAATGGCTTCGCACTTAGCCTTCCTTCGAAATAGGGGCTTGGGATAACCAACAATCCCTGTGTAGTTGACTGAAACTCTAGGAACATAACAGTACTTACTGTTTTGACTTCCAAGTAGGGAAGAAGGCCTTGTTCACCCCTAAAGAAAGTAGCGAAACGATACTTAAAGATAGGGTAGGCAAACACAACTCAGCATGGGGCTGAGTTGTTTATACACGCTTGCTTGAGGCATGTTAGCACGAATAAGCTTCATACATGGTTTAATTCTACCTGCAACATCCCCCGACGTTTGCACCTTTTGTGTTACTTGTAAACCCCCTCCCAAGCACATACAAGGAGGCATTCCTCCACCTTCGGGGCTCTTGATGGTCAACTAGCAATACTTTAGAGGTATCAGTATCAAATATCTTTAATCTGGCATAGCGAAAACTAGCGGAATTTGAGGCTTACACAGGTTTGGAGGTTCAATTAAGCCACCCTGCCAGAAGAACATTTCCTTCGATTACTCGATTTTGGCACAAGCTCTCCATCGAACAAAGAGGAGACAAAAGAAGGTTCTAATCGCAGGGTCGGCACGAGCACGCCCCAAAACCCGCATGAGCGTCCTCAACAACGCATGTTGTACAGGCTGTGAAAACCTATAAAGAACTACGTTCTACAGTTGAACAAATGGTACTAAACTTAAACTAAAAGCTGATGGAAAACACCTACATCAATTTTCACAAGATCAAAATAATAGAATGTAATATTATTACAAAGGTTTGACCGCTACGAACACCACATTTTAGCAGGAAAAAAGCACTCTACCTCGGGAACAGTTATTTTACACTGAAATCTGTAATAGTCATTTAATCTACTTGTATAAAAGAACGGCTGAAATCATATACGGTATAAAATTCGAATAAAAATTCTTTGGTCACACTCTCGGAAGCTCAAGTTCTTCCTACATCACGAGTGGTCAGTAGAACGATGGCAGTTACTAAAAGCAGATTTCCGACCAACTAACTTTACTGTTTTGCTAAACAATGAAGAGTGTGTTTTAACTAGACTGACTTACCATTCTCTGCCTTGCCCAGACATTTTAAAACCTCCAAAAGGTGACTGAGGTAAGCCGCCCATATAACAGTTCACCCTGCACGAAATAAAATTGTTCCCATCAGTAAGTACTTGAAAACTGAAGGTAGGGACTAGTTACAGTTTGCTGCTGCGTTCTAAATTTCAAACGCAAACGCTACTGAAAAAAGTAAAATCACCGCCCCTGTAAATGAACATTCCATATTGAGCATATGGTCAATTATTATAATAAACTGGGGGTCGTCTGAGGGGGGCAAGTGTACTCCCTACAATAGCCTATACGAATGCTCAGCCCGAAAGGGGTTTCTTTTGTACTTTGTTTGCTTTATTCCTCCCAACCTGGGGGCATGCTGTGAATTTTGAAATTTAGTCCAAACTGGCCTGTAGAACCATTTCAAATTTAAATGAAGATATGATCGTTGCAGAGGTAATTGAAACTAAAACAATTGCAAATTAACCCCGCAGAAAATTTCGGGACTTCAACGGGATTCGAACCCATGGCGTCTGCGTTAGCGCTGCAGTGCTCTAACCAATTGAGCTATGAAGACCCATACATTGAGAGCAGGCCAATTTGTTGAGTTCATCTTAGCCCGTGAAAGGAATGAAACATAGGATGATGATGTGAACTGCGGAAATACAAATTTAAATGAACATGTGATCGTAATACACTGGAAAAGACATTTTGCAATAAAGCGCTGTGGTACTTGTCAGTAGCAGATCGGAGTGATGGGTTCCCGATAAATAACAATTTATGAATGAGGCTGAGCATCTTATGAGATCGAGGAGGGTGTTATCCGTCGAGGCCGTAAATAGGAGGCCGAGGCTGATTAACACCCACCGAGATCTCCATAATTCTTCATATGATATGAAAGCCGAATTCAATAATTGTTTTACTATTCATTCAAAATAATTCCAAGTTTAAAAACATAGCTAAAACATGCTTACCTCCATCGATGTTAAGTTCATCTTCGATGGTGCGCGTTTAGGGTTGTTCAGCTCCGCAAATATTCTCCAAATAGCAGATGTCGCCCTTCGAGTTGTCTTCTTGCTGTTCTTGCCATGTTTTTAGCTATTATTTCGCCTAGTTCTTACTATTGAAACGAGTGAAATGTCCGCCCTTTTTGATTTCACAACCAAAACAACACAACCTCGTCCCCAGGTTTTCTCGGTTAACGGTGCATTAACCTGCAAGAAAGCTGCACTTTTGACGTAATCGGTTCATTAATCGCAAAATTCTTCCAAATTTGCCCATCAGTAACTGGTTATGGTGAATTATGCATGCGCTTTTAGCCAATCGGAATCGGGGAAATATTTTGAATGAATCATAAAACCAATAAGGAACCCTTCCTCTATCCAAAGTTTGAATCGCAGGAATAACCATACCTTACAAGAAGTCGGTGTGTTAATAATGTACTTACCATACTGTTCCAGCCTGCAAACTGTGAGAAATGGTTGTTGCTTTCTCAATGTCCTTGGTAAATACCGCTGCTGCCAATCCATAAGTTGTCTTATTTGCCCTCTCAATAACCTCATTGACATCACTGAATTTTATTATCTGCTGCACTGGGCCAAATATCTAATAGAAGGAAGAGCAAAGCCATCAATTTAAGTGCAGCAGTGGATCTCAAGGTGAGAAAATACCGTAACTGACGAAATAGACTCGATCCGGGGGCGTCTATTCAATTTTAGGGGTCCGATAGGAGGAGTTTAAAATAGAGATGCGTTTATTATCATAACTGTAACAAGCTCAACAAAAGTACTATGCTTTCGGCGAAGAAATCAAGAGAGTGAAACGTGTTTAAAATAGCTAGAGGAATATCCATTCCATCAATTGATAGGTCTAGGCCGTCCAGAGATCCAATAAGTTGTCTTATTTGCCCTCTCAATAACCTCATTGACATCACTGAATTTTATTATCTGCTGTACTGGGCCAAATATCTAATAGAAGGAAGAGCAAAGCCATCAATTTAAGTGCAGCAGTGGATCTCAAGGTGAGAAAATACCGTAACTGACGAAATAGACTCGATCCGGGGGCGTCTATTCAATTTTAGGGGTCCGATAGGAGGAGTTTAAAATAGAGATGCGTTTATTATCATAACTGTAACAAGCTCAACAAAAGTACTATGCTTTCGGCGAAGAAATCAAGAGAGTGAAACGTGTTTAAAATAGCTAGAGGAATATCCATTCCATCAATTGATAGGTCTAGGCCGTCCAGAGATCCATATCGTTCTTTGAAATCTCAACATCGATATCAGAATCCTCGCTCAGGGTCATTGTGTTGCTATCGTTAATCTACCTTTCTTTGAACTTGCCAAGAAACTGAATCAGTTGAAAGATTTTGCTCCTATTTGCTAATTCGTAGTAGCTTGGAGTAATTCTCTCAGGGGGCGTTTACTAGAAAGGGGCATCTAATGAAAAAAAAAAACAATATAGAGGGAGAGTTTATTAGAAAAGAGGCGTTTATTAGCGAGTAGGCGTCTAACGGTTATCTCGGAACTACACCCAGCAACCAGGGTCAATCATCACATGTCAGGTGGTTTTGTGTGATGACTGTGCTAATAAGGCTAATAAGCAGATTCTACGAACGATGGTGTCAATTCCATTTGTATTCCCTAACTTTCATAACAGATTTGTTGAATCACCATGTTTTCACAATTATTTGATCTCTGCAAATGAGAATAAACATTCCAATGCCGATAGACTTCTCCCGGTTTGCGCCCCTAGAAAACACTCATGTTATTTAGTTTCCTATGAAGTCGCACGCGCTGTTCGCTCATACTTACCTACGAGACACTGTTTTTACGGTTCGAAAATTCTCTCACTATCTCTAAGAGTCCTCTACGCCATTAACTCTCGTATTTTTCAATTGACAAGCAGAGAACAATAACAACTGCGCCTTTTTACCATTGTGACCATGTTTGACGTTATCAAGAAATCGAGCTTATCGCTTATCGCAATTTAAAAAAACATGGGCCAAACTTCTTTAGATATGTGAATGCTAGTGTCATTTCCATAATACTTATTCCTTGAAGCTACACTTAACTGCTGTACTGTTTCACTTATTAGGTTTGCGTCTTTTTCCTTTTAATTTAGTTTCTTTCCTTTACAAATTTAGTTTTTTTATCTATATATCTATATATATTATTTTCAGCCCGCTGCGAAAGTAGAAAATTGTTTTGAATAGTTAAAAGAACGCGTATTTGTAATTATTACCATTTTTGGTAAATAAATAAATAATTTTAAAAAATTAAAAACAAAAAAAAGAAATCGAGCAAACTTAGGCTCATTTCTCAATACTCCCGGTAATTTTTCGGGCCCAAAATCAAATATTCAAATCAAAAACTTAAAGAAAAATGGTATGTGCTTCTTAGGTAACAAAGCCGTCCATTTTGCTCTGTTAAATGATGATGACGAAATTTGTATTTGTCACTGAGGTAGACATGAATGAAAAATGGGTGTTTTACTTTATACATCTTTAAGAAGCATGGGAGCAGGTACCTCTTCCTTGGCAATTCTCATGTCATCTTTGACGTCGGAGAAAACAGTCGGTTGTATGAAGTATCCCTTGTCTCCATGACGACCACCACCACATTCCAGCTTTGCACCTTCTTTCTTTCCACTTTCAATCAAACCCAGCACTTTTGAAAACTGTTCATTGTCCACCTACAAAGCAAACGAAACAAGGTATAATGAAATTCAGGCTAGATACAGCTGTTAAACAGAAATTTTAGGAATAACCACAAGAAGGCCTATTAAAAGGTATTAGTTGAAAAATTAGCTTAAGTGTCTGCTGCTAAAGGAAAAGCAATTGCAACTGCTGGTTTCCAGAACTAAGTCATTTAAAGTGAATAGTCCAAAGTCTGCGTGCAATTGCTGGTGCATCAGCAATGCCATTTGTATAGGAAATAGCATGATTTGTAGTGATATTTGGCATAAATACCACGAGTGATATTTCGAAATTGTCATACGTAAGTTCACGAGCAGTTAGGCGAGTGAAATTTGAGACAATTTTGAAATATCACAAGTGGTATTTATACCAATATTACATACAAATCACGCTATTATTTGTTTATAGGGGTCTTTATACTACTACCCACAAAAGGTTTGTAATTTTCACATGTAGGTACTTCAAAGCTGAAATACCACTGCTCTAAGCCAATCAAATTGCTGGAATTTCTCATATAGTAGTATAAGCTGAAATACAGTCCATGTCTGATGAAACCCCTTCAGTGTATTAGTTTTGTACCTGTGGACCCTGTTCAATGTTTTCACTAAACGGATCTCCAACAGTACGCTTTTTAGCTCTTTCCACGCTCCTCTTCACAAACTCATCATAAATGGTGTCTTGAACAAATGTACGACTTGCTGCAAGGCAACACTGTCCCTGATTGAAGAACAGCCCACGGTGGGCAGTCTGCACAGCAAGGTCCATGTCACTGTCAGCAAATATTATCATAGGACTCTTTCCTCCAAGTTCAAGGGTCACACGCTTCAAGTTGGAATTTCCAGCTGCAGTTTCAATGATTTGTCCAACCTTTGAAAAGATCATTGTAAAGGTAAATCACGATAAGCCTGACCGAAGCTATCAAGTGAAGTATTTGAGAAAAAAGTTGCTATGATCAATAATACAGTCACCTCTCGCCTTGCGGACACTTCGCTATAACGGACACCCCGATAAAACAGACAGCAACTAAATCCCAGGAAAAACCAAATTACAGACGTTTCACTGAAATAAACTCCCGCTATCACGGACTCTCGCTAATGAGGACACTAACTTGAGGTCCCTACAGTGTCCGCTATAAAGGGAGTTGACTGTAATGAGCCATCAAGCTGAACAATTAAATATTAATTAAAAGAGGACAAACAGAAAATTGTTCTTGCTGGAAACATCTAAACGTCGTAACTGCATGTTGATCAGTAGGATGCCTGAAATGTGTGCAGTTCCACAAACATGGAATACTAAAGAGGAGAACCTTGAAGAATAGCCTTGACTGATAAACCTCTACTCTCCAACAACATTGATTGGTGTAATATTGTGAGGAAAGGTAAGAATTTGAAGGCTGTGTATAAAAGTGGGACGGGGACAAGGGGACGGGGACATCGGGACGCGTGTGTGGGGACTTGGGACTTGGGACTTGGGGACGCGAGACGAGGGACTTGAGCACATTAAGTATGGGACGAGGGGACGTGTGGGACGCGGGGACGTCAAAAACAGGGACGCAGGGGACGCGGGATGTCAATAATTATTGCAAAAGTCGGAGGTAAATGCGATATCAGTCACTTTCCTCGTGAACATGTCTTGGTGAAGGCAACCCACCCTGCCCTCCTTAGGGTTCCTCCATGCCTGTTTACGAAGCGAAGACTCGGCAAAGACCCCTGCATTGAAGAAAGTGAAACCGTTGTCCTTGCCTTCTTGCTGATGGAATATTGGAACCCAAAGCAGGGTAGGGTGGGTTGCGTTCGCCAAACTTTTAGTAGAATAACAGCATTCGATTCCAAATAAATAAAAAGTTCAGTGGCATAAGCGAGCTTCGAACCCCGAAGTGCTAGCTCCGAAATCTATCGCCTGTACCACTAATCCACGGGGGATTAAACTATTGTAGCAATATTTATTTTGTTCTACATATTTTTACTGGCAACCCTAACAGTAAATGCCTGCTAACAGTATTTAAGGGTTGATTTTCACTGACGCGTTTTTGGCTATGCACGTTAACGCAAGTAAATTTTAATTACGTAATTAAAATAGAGGCAGGATATAAATTGTTGAGATTAAACGTGAAGTTGAGCGAGATTCTACTTTTATGCTTACGTGCGACCTTTCAGACATTGCCTCTATTTTATTTGCGAACGTAAATTTTACGCACGTAGGCATGGAAAAATTACGCGAAAGTGGAAATCAACCCTAACCCTAATCACGATAGTCAGTGCGCTTACTCCTATTATAAAGAAATATTTTGTGTAAACATCATAAGGTGTCCAATGTGGTTTTGGAAGATGGAATCTAATGTTGACCATAAATAACACATTTTCACAAAGAAAGAGATATCGCATTTACCTCCGACTTTTGCCATAATCATTCACATCCCGCGTCCCCTGCGTCCCTGTTTTTGACGTCCCCGCGTCCCATACTTGATGTCCTCAAGTCCCTCGTCTCGCGTCCCCAAGTCCCAAGTCCCCACACACGCGTCCCGAGGTCCCCGTCCCACTTTTATACACAGCCGAATTTGAAACAGGTTCAAGATTTGCTTAAGGCCTTTATCCATGAACCTTCAAAAATTTTTTGCAACCTGCAGATACAGGGTTTTTGGTTGCATTTGGAAGTACCAGATGCTGAGGAGAGGTTCAAGCCGATCAAAGGACAGTGCAGTGGCCTGGCAGTTCAGCAGGCAGTTTAGCAAAGCAGTTCAGGGGGCAGCATGGCCAAGGAGTTTAAGCAGCAGCGTGACCAAGCAGTTCAGGAGGTAGAATGGCTGCATGGCTAGTCAGTTATGCTTGCAATTAAGTGGCCACAAGGTCAAGCCCCACCCTCACCCTTATAGCTGAATTTCTTATAGCCACTCTCAAAATTAGCCAACTTTGTTTGCCTATAGTGGACCAGTTGGAATTTATTGTCACCTTAACTCTATTTCATTATTCCTTTTGCTCCCTAAGGAGAAAGGATTATTAATATCAAGAAAAATGAAAATAAAATATCTTCTTTTTACAAGGGCAGTTCAAACAGTTCAGCCGTTGGTGGGGGTCATGCTAAATACATTTTGACAAAATTTTATCAAAGAGAGAGTCAGGCTTAATGGAGAGGGAAACGTATAGATGATTATGGCATTGTATCTATATGAATATTATTCTGTGCACCTCTGTTGAGCCAGTGAATGAGACTTTGCTGATGTCCATGTGTTCAGAAATGGCAGCACCTGCAGTGGGACCATAACCAGGGATGATATTCACCACACCAGGTGGAAAGCCAGCCTGCAAACAACAAGATATTCAGAACATGTTACAGTTCATAAATAACATAGTCCACACTAAAAAGCTAAGACAACCGTAAATCGTATTACAGTATACACTTGCAAATCTGCATTTCCAGTGGATTCAAGTGCTTAAGCTAACAGGTCACCCCATGCAGGTTTGAGTTAAAGCCTTACACAGCGTCATCTTGCTGTATTTTTAAAGACCTGTGGCCTGCTAAAATAGTTGCAAAGTACACGTAATAGAAGTATAGGCACCTTAATTTAGTTTGCTAAAGCAAAACATGCAAACTGGTCATATCATCCTAGTCTTTGGTCTATTTTGTTGGTTGCTTTTTGAACATTCTAAAAGCTGTTTTTTGCTTCTGCTGAAGTTTGTTTGACAATAACCTGGAACAAAGGAAGCTAATGCTCCTTAATATTGATACAGATCTGCAAAATTCGTTTGGAAAATCACGATTAAAGTTTAACATATTCATAATCCTCACTTACCTCTTTCAAAAGAGAGCCAAGGTAAAGAGCTGTTAATGGAGTCTGCTCTGCAGGTTTAAGCACAACAACATTGCCACAAGCCAAGGCAGGACCAAGCTTTAAGCTAACCATAAGCAAAGGGAAATTCCAAGGTGTAATCCCTTGTAGAACCAGACATATGCAAAACCTATGCTCATGCTATTTGTTTACTATGTTGGACTATGTTTCAGCTATGTTATGTTCACTACTGCCTATGTATTAACTATGTAACACACCAAACAACATAGTCCAAAGTATGCAAAATGTATGTTGAAACTATGTTTAGGCTATTTGAAAAGCACATAGCTTTTGAATACCTATGCAAATACTATTCAAAATCTTTTCATAGTCTTGACATAGCTATGTATTTACTATGCAATAGAAAGCTCTGCTTTTCCTTCTGATTAGCATCCTATGTATTCACTATGCATCAAAGTAAAATAGCTTTTACATAGTGCTATGTATATTCTATGCTATGTGATGAAACATATTTGCAGCCTATGTATTCACTATGTGACATTTTCATTTAGCTTTATCATGAGATAAAGGCTACATAGCTTTTACATAAACATATTTTTTCCTATGTCACTCATATGAAAAATATATGTAGTCTATGCGTTTCCTATGTGATATTCCAACATAGCTTTTAAGTGACTAGGCATGTTGATGGTAGCGCTTACAGAAGGCTAAGCATACTTCCAAAGTAAAAAGCAGTGTTTTAAACTAAAACACTGAAAAATCGTGTACTATAATTTTTTTTGTGCTTGCAGATAGTTTCTTAGTGAGAAGACTTAATTTTGTTAAGCATTGAATCGCTACATCCATCATCCCTGTCTTAACTTTCCTTTCTAGCTTTTCCCTAGAGTTCTTCACTTGAAATGATACTTCCATGCATCATTTTCTTCTTTTACATTGGGTTCGATCCTTCGTCTTGATTGTGGACGTCTCCTGAATATAACTGCATGGTCAAAACTGCCTGCCTCGGTGGATGTTTGTCAACCATTTTGTTTCCACTAGTTCCCAGGGAAGCCCGTGAGTTCAACACATGCGTATTTTGCGTTTCATCGTCACGTGGGCCTTTTCAACCAATGAAAAGGTGTGAAAATTGTCTGTTTCCACGCGGGCGCTTTCAAGTCAAAGAAGACGAGCTGTAAGCGTGCGTTTTTACAAGAAGACGCTTCTTTTTACTTCAATTTACAGACTTTTTCCTGCCAGGTTCAACAAAAAGTATTCCTAACGTTGGTAAGTGACGTTTTTCTCAATTAAGTTTCGATTTGCCTGTGTTGTCTCCCCTTTTCGCGTATCTGAACAAGGATCGGTCGATCACGCTTTGATACTCCTTCGTTTCAATTCTAAAACGTCAGGTTGTTTTTATGTTCATTTGCCTTAAAATCTCCACTTTTCTGTTTGCAGATACTTATTCGTTGCAGTGAAAAGGAAACTGTATGGCACTGAAGAGCACGACATCAGCAAAAAGTCTACACGATAAGCAAACTTAAACTTGGGGTTTCGATTCTGAAACCTCCATGAAAATACTGCATTTGTGTTACTATTAGTGTTCGTGGTATTATATTGCCATAGTTTTTCAATTTTTCGTTTCAAAACCTATTTCTTACCAATGTAAAAGGTATTCTAATTCATATTTTTATACTATTTTTACTATTTTGGTGATTTTTACGAACGTATTTTAAACACTACATTTGCTTAAGCAGATCGAAACCTACATACACAAGAGACTATGTCAATTCTATGTAATTTCTGTTTGAACCCTAGTTAAAGCTTGTGTATGTGATATGTTTTACCTATTCAAATACTATTAAAATCCTATTTCAAACCTATGCAAAGACTATTTGTTCTGTGTTTTCCCTATTTTAATGCTATGCAAAGTATATGTCACCTTTAAAAAGGCTATGTTTTTCATATGTTTTTTCTATTTCTAGGCTATCTAAATTCTAAGCAAACCCTATTCAAAAGCTATTTAATCAACTATTCCCTGTTCCATTTTACTATGTAAACTCTATTTCAGTCCTATGTGAAGGCTATTTATTTTCTATGATTTTTCTATGAGGTTGACTATGAAGTCTAAAATCTCTTTCCACAAGCTAAGTAAACTGTATGTATAGGCTATGTGGAAACTATGTCATTTCTTCCTTTATTCCTACCTTTAAAAACTGCATAGCTTTTAAGTAGGTTCCGTTTGACTAGCGAAAACATAGCATTTTCGATACAAAAAACATAGTCCTGGCATAGAAACAACATAGGATCTGGTTAAAGCAATGTATGAGTGATTAACATAGGTTTTGCATAGCTTTGTGACATAGCATTTGCATAGATTCTACATAGTGTCTGATTCTACAAGGGATAGCACCCACAATACCAACTGGTTCATGCCGAGTGTACACAAAAAAAGGACCATCTGCAAATTATATAATTAATTTAAAAAACGACATTTATTATTTAAACTCTTTAAAACCCCTGAGAGTGAACAACATTAACTTTTTACAGTCAACTGCTCAATCAAACACAGAGGATGAGAAAAAAAAAAGATCAACTAGTAAAAGTGGTATTAATGATTTTTTATTCAACAAACTCTCCTATCCATATTAAAGGAAACGTTCAGAGAAGAGTTTGGAAAATATGCATGCTGATATTAGGGTTTTAAAGAGGTTGAACAGGGAACTTTTAGCATTAATAATCAAGGTAACTTTCAAGTACAACCTGTCAAACAATTTTGTTACATCTCACTAATCTTCTTGTTAAAAGAAAACTGGAACATTCACAGGGTTGTCAAAAGCAGCCGGCTGCTGGTGCAAATCGCCTCAAACTTTCTGACAACCCTGACTCAATAAATCAAACTAATTGTTTGCACCCATGCACCAGGAGGGTTCTAAATGTAGATTCAAGGAGGAACAACCTTTCAGAGAGGGGGAAGGGGGAGGGGGAGAATTTGCATTTCTCCCCCTCCCCCTTCCCTGTTTTTCACATGACACACAGCTGGCTACCTCAAATCAGCTATACTGAGATCACAGGCTCCTAGTTTTTTTTCACTTGGTTAAAACATCTGGGCCCAGTTGTTCGAAAGCCGATTAGCGCTTAACCCGGGGTTAAATTTAATCCTGCAGGTATCCTTTTCTTGTGTTCAAAAGCATTTTCTCAGATAATTTTCTCTTTTATTTTAAGAGCTAGCTTCCAATCATCAACTTGTAGGCAAAAAGAATTAAAACTGAAATGCTTTTTAAGCTTTAAAATCTTAATTCAAATCTCGCACTAACCCTGACGGCAAGGCGAAAAAAAAGTGCAACACATAAGAGAGAATGATGTGCAAAAGCTACCAAATTTAAAATTGGTCCTGATCTCAGGTTACCTCAAACAGACAAAAGAGACCAACAACTAGGGGTGAGGGGGAATTCTACAAACAAAAAATTACTTGAGTAAGACAATTAATTGTTCATAACAATTTCTAATAATAAAAAGCACATTTCCTTTTAATTTTTGCCCAGTCACTTTTTGTAGGCAAGTCCCCCCCCCCCACCACCCCCCTGCTGCAGTTCCCATTTTATCCCTTTTACTGACCTGCCGAGATGGTCTGTCCTGTGATCTTATCAGCCCACCCAGCATAATATCTCAAGCACTTCATGACACCATGGACATCCCCTAAAGCATCAGGAAAAATTTTGCCATTGTCCAGTGTTTCCAAAGACTAGCAAATAACAAACACAAAACTTGTTTAAAAAAGTAAACTGTTACAAGTTAATGCTCAAATAAACCTAAGCCACTGCACTTACTTCAGCTTGCTACTTACTTAAAATAAGACACTTCTCTTAATTTCATTGAATTTTATATTTCATTTGAAGTGCTATATTATTTGGAACAAATATTGCACTAATTCTTTTGCTAACTTAAAGGTAGTTTTTCAATCTATAGCTAAGAGAGGCGCCATTAAAAAGTAAAAAGTCAAAAGAATTTTATATACCTATAAATCCACTGTTTTTAAATTTACGTTGTTGATCATGTTTTGTTCTTGATCCACTTTGTCATACATTGACAACTATGTACATAGAGTTGTTTCTTAACTTACAATAATATTATTAATTCAGATACTGCTATATGAAACACTAGCCATCAAACAAAGGCCTGTTAAACTACTTTGAAGTTGCTCTGATTTAGGCTTGAATATTGACCAAAAGTGCAGCAAAATTTTGAAATTTTCAAGGATTCATCTCACATTGTAGCCTTATGACATCATGCATTCAAAATGAAATGTATATTAACTATGCTGAGAAATCTGCAATAATATTGCTTATAAGAAGGCCAGAGTTTGCTTTCGACCCTTTTTCATCCTCAGTTACTTGATTTTCCTGTAATCTGATTGGTCAACTTTGCCCAGGTGGCCCCAGTTACAGTAGTCTTACTGTAAAATCATCGCACTTACAGCCAAATAATTCAAATCTCGCTCTACAAGGTCAGCAAGTTTATACAGCAGTCGCCCCCTTTCAGAAGCATCCATTGTTCTCCAAGGACTTCCCAGTTTAAAAGCAGCAGCAGCTGCTTCTACAGCCTTGTCTACATCAGCCTGGAACAGCATACAAAAATGGATGTTATTGTTTGTACAAACAAAGTAAAGTGGCATGTTAAACTGGTCAATTAAGTGAGTTTCTTTTAATTTTTATTAGTGCAAATAATAATAATTATTATTACTATATTATATTATTATTATTAATAATATTAATGCAAACTGCAGAAAACACCTTGATCCTGACCAACAAGGTGAAAGTCAATTGTATGTGGTTGATAAGTATATTAATAATAATTTGAAGCCTAAGAATAACCCTTTAAATTATGCTCAGTTAGTTATTCATATTTGCCTTTATATTATCACTAAAGTAAAAGAACACCCAGAACACCCTAAGTGAGACCAAAATCCGAAATTTACACCCCTAAGCGAGATGAAAAGCATCCCCACCTCTTTCATATGCGGAGTCTCCCGGGACTGTAGCTACTCGGCGGGGTGTGATCAATGAAAAACACTTTCATGGTAAGTAACTTAAAATTTACACCAACTAAAATAAATATAAGAAGCTCTTATCCAGTTGTAGAGGCCCTAGGGGTGTTACGTATGTGCCTAATCTGAATTTTAAAACCTGCTATTCACATATTGAGGAGGCCATGTCACTTTTGGTATTTTGCACTATTGTATTTTGCTCTTTTCTCTGTTGCTGTCGCAGTTAGTTTCAGGCTATCTTTCTTTTTAATTGCCGCCATTTCTGCTGTCATATGTCACTGTTTCAAGGCCATGTCGCTAGTCTGAATTTTACCCTAACAGGGCAATGTTCCTCCTTTTAAGGCCCTTCAAAGCCAACAGATCAGTCCCAGAGGCTGCACTCAAAATTGAGCGTTCTAATTCAATTTTGAATTTTTAAGAGCACTTTCTGTGATTTTTATCAATTATTATTGCCTTACAACTATTTTTAGCATCAATAAGACTGCAAGATTGACTGTTAAATTATCTCTAAAATTTCAGCGGTGAGTTTACAAGTTTTGTTAGCACATTATTTTACTTACTTTGTCACCCTCAGCCACATCGCAGATCTTTTCCTCTGTCACTGGATTTATAGTCGGAAATGTCTTTCCACTAACAGAATCCACGAATTCATTATTGATAAAAACCTGTTTGATCAAGGAGAAGTTTTTTATCATCAAATTACCCGCCATTCTTTCTACTTACATTAAAAGTCAGTTTTTTTAACTAACAAAAAAGTCGGTTGCTTCAACAAAATACCTCTCAAGAAACTCCGCTGACCCCCATAGCAGCTGACTGCTTTCCAAGTTATGAAAACATTGTTTCTCGGGGCCTAGCACCCGTTACCAGCTCCAACCTAGGCCCCAGTGTCTTCTTGTTGCCACCATATTGCAAAATGAGAAGACGCTGCAGGAGACTAATTACCTCCAGCCGAGCATAATTTTCAGTGATCCTATTTGGTGATGCCGTGTTATGTCAAGCATACCTGAGGGGAGGGGTACTCCCTTATACAAGCCATATAGGTATGTGCCAGCCAAATCTGTGTGTTTTTTGGTCTGGAATGGGGTATAGTTTTTGGGGAACTACAGTAACGCATGATTTCTTGCCGTTTCCATTCCGTGTGAATAAGAGAGAAAGAATAATATGTGAATTGGAAAAGGATTTTAAGAAATCGTTTTGTTGGTGTTCTTATCCCAGTAATGCATGAATGACATAATTTCTGTCTTTGTAAACATGACTAGGTTGCGTTTTGTGACCTCCTCCAGGTCTGAAAACGGGTAAGGATTATAGATGCTAGGTCTGAAAATGGGTGTGGAAAATGACATTTTTTGGTCTGAAGTAGGATCAGGATTTGGAGAACCAGGCAGCACACCCCCACCAAGAATTCCCAGGAGTACCCCACTCCTGGTAAGCATTGATCTTGTGAGTCGGTGGCCGTAGTCAAAACCTCAGGCACAGTATTTTTCTTCCTATACCTACCGATCTAGCCTGGCAAATAATGTACATATACCCAAGTAGTAGGAGTAACTACACCGATCAATAACCATGATCAGTGTAGCCTCCCACGCAGGCATTTTTAGGGGAGGCATTTGTGGGGAGGGACGAAAGACAAGCTGCTCAACCGAGTACAACATTCCTTCCAAAGCTTAGCCAATCACAATGTACTTTCCAACTTCTGGAAAGTTGACCTTAACCGCAGGGTAATGTGATAATTACTCGATCTGCATGAAACACTGGGAAATCTTTCTGACCTCTCATAAATATTAGATTCTGAGCAGCAAAAATAAGATTTAGTCAAATTTTAGAATACTCCATGCACTGCATAACCTTAGCAAAGGAAAGAAAAGAAGGAAAACGGGGTAGGGTCACGTTTTAGTCGTGTTTAGCCTCTCAACACTTTATTGCACAACTGTTGATTGGTCACGTACTACGCAAATAAAACCATGGGAAAGAAATGTTTTCGGTTGAACAGGCGTTTGTAGGGAGGGATGAAAAACGAGCTCTACTAAAAACGCCTGCGTGGGAGGCTATGATCAGTACGTGGTGATATATAATTGCATTTCAAAAAGACCTAACTATGAACCAATTATTTAAGTAATAAGAAACGCTGATATATATTTAAGCTTATTTGCAGGAGGTAAGCTAGAGTTACCTTTGTAAACTTGATTTCCGGAGTCCGTAAGGCCTTCGACATTATGGGCTGTATAATTCGTGGAAAATCTGGAAGGAAACTGATGAGAAACTCCTAAAAAAAGAGCTATTTGGCACCTACGCAAAAGAAACACGACCACTTCGCTGGAAATCGAGAAGCTAACGGCGCATTACATGTCGCGTGATTCGGATTTATCTCAGTTTGGGACAGGCTTGGGACCCAGAGTGCTCTGGCTCTTTAGGCAGCAGGTTTAAAGCCGGTTTGTGAAAGTAGAGGGTCGGGTGAGGGTCGGGTACTTGGGGCACTTGCCATTTAGGGACGGACCATTAGAAAAGTTATGGGTGGGGGAGGGGGAGGGGAATTTTCGAGCTGAAGGAATTTTTTTCGCTATCAAATTCCTTGTATGAATGTTTTTTAGGCCATAGCATGAATACTTTTTAGGATTAATTGGCGTGCAAGAATTTTTTTCATTTAATTTTCCCTTGCGCGAATTATTTTTTGTACTTCCTGCCCCCCCCCCCGCTCCAATAAGTTTTCTAATGGTCCGTCCCTTACAGTCGTTACGTGGGAAATCCGGAAATTCTGGTTGGAAAACCAAATGGTTCGTGCCATTGCGTTTGGGAAGCTTCAGAAAACTTGGGATGTGATTTGAGGGGATGCAACTGTTTTTCACTTTACGTCTGTACACCACGTTCAATTGTATATTTTTATGTTTATGCATAAGATTTCGATCCGGGTGGCTTGTGTAAATGGTGAGCTCGCAGTGATTCTCCCTGCTGGGGCGGAGTTGATGAATGTGTGTGTTGGAAGTGAGGGGGAGGTACTGAGTGAGGAGGAGGCAGGGTTAGCCCAAGGGTAATATATGAGAGTTTGAATGGGAAATAAAACTAATAAAACTAATAATAATAAAAAATAACAACAAATAAATAAACTAAAATGCAGAAAAGTTATCAATTAAATATAGATATTGTTACCTGGTGTCGTTGTCTTTCTTTCTACGACGTTTGATCAGCGCAATTTGAGCAGTATAACATCAAGTAACAACAATAAAAATGGAAGCGATGAAAAATGTTCGTAGTGCGCATGTGTTTGACTTAAAATGATTAAAGGAATTTTATTTGGTGTTTGGGATTTATTACAAAATTCATTCGATTGTTTTCACATGACGTCACGGCGGCCATATTAGTGTCCCAAAACAATGAAACGGCGGCCATGTTTGTGTCCTAAACTAGTCCTGTGGGAGTTGAACTCTTTTCTCAGTTATGCAAATGCTTTCTTTTGTTCTAATAAACTTGAACAGATGCTGGCCACGTGAGTGAAAACACTCTATAAAAGCAAATTGACCTATCTTACTTGGTGCTCAATTCCTACGCATCAACACTGATCAAATGACATCCTCTCCCGAAATGAGAAAATGATTTCTGTTGATTCATTCTCCTTGGTCTTGCTGAAGGAAAATGTTGATCGAAGAGTTACGTTAGCCACTTGAGGCATTTACTACGATATATGTTTGTAGTGGAGTTGTTGTAAGCGTTCTTGTTGATTGATTTGAGTAAGCTATTTCACTACTAATAGTTTTGGTTTTTAAGTTAATTGATGATCGATAGAATGTTTCTCCTGACATGAATTCGGTGCAAAGGAGATGTACTAATTTGGTGCATCGACTCCGCGGTAACACTTCTGTTCATTAAATATGTTTTAAAATTAGAGCCTTTGAGAGTTTAACATTTTTGACCTTAATCTGATCTTCCGTCGACCAGGAAATGACTACCTCACTTGTTTTTAACAGTTTTAACGGTGTTTTTTTGAGTTTTTAACCGAATTCACGGCAATGGATAACTTTAATTAGATTTAAGTGATTTTATAGGTGTTTTTGTGGTTAAACAACTGTTGTTCTAAATTCTGCCCTGTACCTTGAACTTCGTTCGTGGTTAATTTATGGAAAAGTTTAGCCAATCATCTAATTTTAGTACTTTCCTATCCGTGTTGTTATGAAAATTTTGAGTATGACTAGATACTATTAGTTTTTGTATTGTTCTCCTTGTTTTGTATTGGCCAGTTAATAAACCTAAGCTTAATAGTGAAAACTTAGGTAGAAAAACCATTTTGACAAAGTAATATCTCGAAGGTTTCATACTAATAAGGCTGTCTCAACCAATCAGATTAAACTTACGTCGTGAAAACTTAGGTAGAAAAACCACTTTGACAAAGTAATATCTCGAAGGTTTCATGCTATTAATAAGACTGTCTCAACCAATCAGATTAGACTTATGTCAGCATTAGTTTACACTTAGCAGATGATTTTCTGGCTGGTATAAAAATGGATGCAACACTAATTTACCATAGAGTGAATAGAGAATTGAGAGAGAATTGTAACTCACAATCAACAAACGAATAAACGTCCTGAGTCAAACAAGTTTTAACGGTTTGTGAAAAGGCTTCAGCTAGTCCCCGTCAGAAAAGTCTTTGAACAAAGTCATACAAGTGTGATAATGAACGAAGGTTTTAAAAATGTAGGTAAAGTTACACCAGCATTGAAAGTTACACAGAGCTTCTGGAACTCTGACAGGATGCCTTCATCAAGGACACTTACTGTCACTCTGCTCGGAGGTTGGTTTCCAGACGTATGGATTATCGACAGCACAATGGCAAGCTAGAACACTGGAACCCAAATTCAATGAGTTTATCATAATGATACCATCTTTGTGACCTGGATTCCGGGCTACGGGGTTACTCCAATATATGGATTAGACAGGTTTGAGCTAACCGAAGGGGTATGGGTTTTTTTAGCGGTCTTCATCCTTACTTAGGGTATTTTCTATTTTTTTATATATAGCGTGTTTTCTTCTTTAAGCTTAACCAGGAGTCCAGATATAACAAGGGAGTCCAGTTTCAAAAAAACGGAAAAAGTCTATTTTGTAGAATTCCGGTCATCGTTAAAGTCATACTGAAATAACAGCTGATACAATTATAAAATTAATTTCAGTAAACGTTGTCGGAAAACCTAAGCGACGAGACTGCAAAACAGCAAAGCTTCGGTAAAACAAGCAACAAAAACGTGCAACTTGTTTCGAAACATTGCTGCAAAACGACTGAGTTGAAAAGCGATGTTCTGCGTTTCACCATCCACTACAACATATACAGATCAGGTTGCTTTGTAAAGTTGACTTCTGATTGAATAAAAGTGGATAGAATTAGAATAGATAGAATTCTTATTCCATTCTATGACACTGACAACCTTGAAGTACAGTGGAACCCAGGTAATACGGACAGTAAGTGAACACGGCCTGGAGTCAGTATAAGTGGGTCCCGTATTAAGCGGTTATCCGTAGGGCGGAATTGTACTGTATTACAATAACGACATGTGCAAGCTACCCACATGACCTTGCGGTCTTGTCTTACCTCACAAGCTAACAATGCCTGTTGTTTAAAATTTTATTTCCGTTTGCTTTGGGGTATGGTAATGTACGATAATGAGATTAAAACAAAGGGAAATAAAATTTAAACCAAGGATAAAATTGAACCACAACATACATATCGGCCTGGCATCTTAATGTTGGCCATCATGGCCATCTAGTTTTGTTATTTGCTGTTCGATCAGATCAAATAACAGTGACTTGCCCTGTTAAAATTAGTCTGAAATGTCATACGTCGAAATTGCACCGATCCCAGAGATTTATGCACAGTCTGCCTACTAGCATTACCAACCAGCCACGATATCGACGGCAATAATTAACATGAGAACACCAGAATAGCAATGGCGTAGGTTTAATGAGCTAAACAACAACTCTACACGACCGTTAACAGAGTTGGGTGCATTTCTTTGACCCATCCATCTCCCATCCTTGCACGACTGTCGCCTTTCCCGAGGCGTTCTCAGTATCGAAAACGAACCAACGTTTTTTTTTTTAATTTGGACGTCATCCCTAAGATTCATCTCCACGCGGCAAAATTCGCTTTATACTTATAATTAAAAAATTGGACAAGGTTGAAATAAAAGAAATGAAGCTTAAAGAACACTAATGATTGCAGTTAACAAGTGATCAATTTTACTGCGGTTGCCGTCGTAGTTGCTTACCATACATCACGACAAGAAGGAGAGTTTCTCAGTAAATTTTGCCGCTTACTGGAAATGAACAGCTAATATAAAACATTATCCTCTAACGATAATTCCAATTGCCCCAAGGGATTTAATATATGAAGACTAGGAAATCTACACGATAACTGATTTCAATTTACCGTTCAAGTTGAGGTTAAGTCCCCTGAGGCGTTGTTCAATGTTTGGAGATTATAGTTACTGAATAACGCGGCTCAAAACAAATTTTACTTGGGAGTGTAGGAGACCGAATTGACGACGCCCACTACTGATTCTTGTTTTTTTTTTTAAACAATCCCCGTCACGCAGACTTTGTAATGTTTAGTTATTTGGCGATGACAACGCTTAAGTCCTGAATTCGCCTTAAAAATTCGCTGGATAGAGCCACGAATATCTTATCAATATCAAAGGCAACACTAATTTCGTTCAATTTGTAAGAATATGGCCGAATCAGGTCGTATTATTATGAGCCCAAATTCATTCGTGATAGCGAAATACGAGGTTCTAATGACTAACAGGGTTAATAAGTGCCTTATTGCTCAATTGGAAGAATATCTTCCCTAAAATGCAGAATTAGGTTTTTTAAATTAAAAAAAAACTGTTGTCCTCTTAAAACATTCAAATGACATGATTAATTGCTCATTGCCGGGATAATATTTCCAAAACACCTTTTCGTCCATTTCCCGTCACTTTCTATGACAACCGACAACATCGTTAAGTGCGAAATAAATTCAATGTCAATATTGTATACTTTTCACACCTTGGAAGTCGATGTCAGTCGGTGTCGTAGTTGGGTATCGTCATTACTTCAAGTCCGTCCGTCACTACAGTGAATATTACTCTTTATCTCATCCCGTTATTAGGCCCCGAAGCAAGGCACAATATCTTGACGTAGATCTAAAAAATAATACTCACTTCCTCTCTTTTTTAATGCACAATTTTAACACATAAGAGTTAAGCTCCTGTCAACCGTGAAAACACTGTTCTCATGCAGCACGGTCCCTCAGTCCTGTCAGTCTTAAGGGTAAATATATTTCTCAAGCACACAAAAAGGAAAATCGCTTTATCTTTCTTTAACTCTAAGTAATTGTTTTATATTTGTTTAGGAATGACATAGACTTCCTTAGAAATCAAATACAGCTGACGATGGAGTGCATGATATTATTTCTGCTGCTTAAACAGAGGCAATCGCATAAAAAGCGCCTTTTCACCTAAACTCGATTTCAGCTGTCTCCCGGGTCCAGTCTTTGACTTTGAGGGTGTAGTTATCTCTCTGTGTTGCCTTACAAAAATTAATAATTTAACTTTTTCAGCAAGCCAATGCTTTCGTGGTGAGTTATTTTCATTTGTGCTGTTTGATTTGGTTGATGTTTTTTTCGGTAACCTTCGCACGTAGTCGCGAAAAAAATTGCGCGAAGCAGGACTGGTATAGGGACTTAGGCCCAGTTCAAACGTCGAATTTCACATGTGCCGAACTTAATTGCTATTTTAGTCGACTAAAATAGTTAAATACGGCATTTGATTCAAACGTCGAATTTAACTCACTGAACTCTGTTGAATTTAACTCTCTTCGCTGTCAATATTCCCAGTAATATAATAATAATTTACTAAAATTCATTCATTAAGTTCGGCACATGTGAAATGCGACGTTTGAATCAAAAGTCGAACCTAAGTCGAATCTTCGATTGTTTCAGTCGCAGATACGGCAAACGTTGCATTTAATTTAAACAGTCGCACTTCACATGCATTGAACTCTCGCGTTAAGTTCGGCACATGTGAAATTCGACGTTTGAACTGGGCCTAAGGTTACAAAATGTCATTAACAGTAGTTATTATTTTCCTTATTTGCAGATAACATTCAGAAAAATGAAAGGACTTGAGATGTGTGCAACTTAATGGTTAGAGATGTCTTCCACGGAAGAAAACAAAACCTGCTTTATAGTAAACAATTCGCCGGATTTTGTAACGGGGATCTTTATCACGCTCTCAGTTACCGGAATATTAACAGCGATTTTGGGAAACTCTCTGATATTTCTTGCCGTGTACAAAACATACTCACTCAGAACTCCATCTAACTACCTACTTGCTAGTCTGTCCTTAGCAAGTCTACTGTTCGTCCCGGTTCTGGCGAGTTGCACTGTTTCGCTAACAATGAGCGAATGCCATGCAATAATGCCAATTTTGTGTTCATGGACTTCAAAAGTGGATTTTGCATTATTCTGTGTTGTCATGGCTCATCTGGCTATGATCTCCTTGGATCGACTTGTAGCTATCAAAAGACCAATGAGGTATGTTTTTAAAACAATTTCCAGCTCTGGTATTCAATCACAGAAAATTAAAAATTAAAAATTTTAACCTTTTTGTTCTTGAAGTTTGTAAAACCGATCAAATTTGTGGATAAAGTATAATTGTATGAAACTCTCAGGCAGTTCTTCACGGTTCATGACAGCTTTTCAAGAATTTATCAAATGAAATTGGAAGCGAACCTTCTTTGTCTGCTTTATTTCGATTTATGTCGCTGTTGCTTAAGGGGCTCTCACACTATATCACAAGTTATTTTCTGCGACTTCTATCATTTCCATGAAACTTCTAATGTTTGTTAATTAATACTTTGTAAGTTCGATAGCATTTCATGTGTTTTTGTCCTCGATTAGAGAGAACTGCTTATACAAGCTTTAACGGCAGGTGCAATATAAGGGATGCACCATCGTTGCCAATGATAAGATGAGATAATATATAAAAAATACATGATATTAAAAAATGTGCACTTATATTCAAGACAGTTACTGTTTTGGCAGTCCGCAAAAATCCAATATTATTCAAATGTCTAAGAAAAGATGAAACATGAGGTACGTTCTTTTTCATCTCCACGTCGGCAGCTGCTTCCAAATACATGACGTCACATGACGTCATGGCAGCCATATTGATGTTCCAAAACAATGAAACGGTGGCCAACCAATCCTCTGCGAGTTCAACTCTTTACCTTTGTAAATGTTTTCTTTTGTTCCAATAAATTTGCATAGACGATGGTCACGTGAGTGAAAACGCTCTATACCTGATTCAATAAAGATTGCTTTGGGCATTGGCAATTGCGTACCTTGGAAGTATTGTTTGGCAGTAGCTGACAGTCACTCACTGTTCCGTATGCCTATAAATGCCCAATGCCCAATTGCCAAAGCAGCCTTTACTGAATTGGGTGTAAAAGAACTATAAAGAAACGGCTTTCTAGAATTGTGTTCTATCAATAATAATAATAATAATAATAATAATAATAATTGGGGAAAAAAGACAGAAACTGTGCCAGTTATTGTCGGCGCGCTAGGACTCATTAAAAAGGGAATGGACCTGAATTTAGGAAGATCTCTGGAGCTATTAACATCAATGAGCTGCAAAAGATCATTCACTTCAGTCCAACTAATAAAATACCCCTCCAGCAGATCAGGACCAAGGAATTGGCCCGGTTCTACGAAGCAATTTATTGCACTATGAAAAATAATAACAATCATAATCATCTTCATCATCATCATCATCATCATCATCATCATTTCTTTTTTAAATTTTTAGTCCTAGTCCCAAAGAGAATTGAAACCCATAGTTTCTCACTACATTACGCGCAACTAGATTCTTCACTAGATCAACTTGAGTAGGTAAGATAGTTAAATAGTGAAACAGTCAACTGGTGATAGAAGAGGTAGATGAGGGAGATAGCTGTGAGTTTTTCGGGTGTAGCTAAATATGCTTATCACAAGTTCTTGTCCTGTTGTTATTACTCTACCCATGGAGATTAAAACTGTTAACGATGACTTTAATTCTGAAAAACATTTTTCTCACCTGCAGATACTCAACAATGATGACAAAGAGGAGGACCCTAGTTATAATAACAATAGTCTGGATTGCTGGCGGAATTGGAGGAGCTATTCCAGGCTTTTTTCGTCTCATTCTTCGAAATCAAGGCAGAATACTACTTCAACTGATGTATGGTTGCATTCAAAATAACGTAATCCCTACTCAACGTCAATTAAAATCCATAATTCCTCATTTCCTCTTCTTGATGTCGTTAACAGTCCTTTTACCAAGCGGTATTATGCTCTTCACGCATGCGTGGATTTTTACCATCTCTCGCAGTCAGTTACGAAGAATCCGCGTGCTGGAAGACGCCGTATCAAAACGACGGTCTAGTGAAATGCGCGCCGCTAAAACGGTGGCAGTCACCGTGTTTTCAGCATTAGCGTGCTTTACTCCTCTGGTTGTTGTAAATTTCATCACAGCATTAGATCCACCAAGTGGGAAGAAGTTAACTCCCACTCAAATCAACATCAAGTATATTCTTTTTCCGAGTCTCAAGATTTTGTATCTGTTGGCGGTAACTTTAAACCCTTTTATTTGTGCTTTAAAAACCAGACCCTTTAAAGAGAAGTTCAAGAACTATTTAAAACCTTTGCAAATAAGACTAAGCGTTCCTTTGCCTACTACATTAAAACACTCCGGGGCCAAGAATATCGAATTAACAACAACAAAAAACTGGAACATTGAGATTGCGAGATCAACGGTTTTGTAAATAATCAAATGATCGATCTGTAATTAATCCGCGTATTCTTCAAGTTTTTACCAGACCCAACGATAACATGGAAAAAACGACTTCCTAGTAAGACTTGAGAAGAAAACAAATCCAGAAGCCGTGACAATAAAACGGCGCATGAAGCGAACGAAGTGACCCAGACGGGATATTGCCTTCATGGCATTACAACCACACAGAAACACAAATAGGTAAACTGAGCAATCAAGAAGCGCAAAAGGCGACACTCGATAAACACCTTTAGTGAAGATATCAGAGATAAGAGCCTTTTATTCCTGACAAATTTAGGGAGTGCTTCTTGGCTTCACAGGGCCACTTAGTGGCGAGAAAAATTAAAAGCGCCGCTGAAACACCAGGCGCGCCGAGTAGGAGCAAGGATGGTAGCATGGATACAAAAAAGCAAAGCTTCGTAGAGATAATAAGGGTCATTATCTGAAAGTTCTGTTGTGAAGCTACGGCAAGGCGGGCAAGAAAAACGTGCAACGTGTTTTAGAACACTGCTGCAAAAAGAGTTGAAAAGCGATCCTGCGCGTTTTACCACCCACGTTCAAACCTGTCTTACAGCAAAGCAGGTTGTTGCAAGTTACGTGAATACTGACTTCTGATTGGCCACAATTACGCAGGAGCCACGCCATATACAGAAATTACGCCTCTTGCTACAAGAGTTGCCTTGGGTCGGTAAAACACGCAACATGTACAGACTGTGTTGCAAAAGTAGAATTACAATCTCTTCTCTGCAACAACTTTTCGCAACCTGCAACAAGCTGATTTGTTGCAAGGCAGGTTTGATTCAAAGGTGGTAAAACGCGCAACATCGCTATTTAAATCGCTTCGGAGGAATGTTACAAAACAAGTTGTACGTTTTTGTTGCCCGTTTTACCCTACCTTTACTTTCATTATGGTCTTGCAGTTCAAAGTAAAGTGTCAGAGTAACGCCCAACACGATTTGCGAAACGAAATTGTAAATTGACTCATTTATTGTATTTTGCATTTATTTGTAGAAAGGAAGCCAATATATAATGAATACAATGATCGTAGCACTCAGTGTAGACAGGATTTATATTACTTGCTAATTTTAATGCTTTAAAAAACGCCTTCAGGAGAGTGTGTTTCAGGCTGAGTTGGAGAAGGGGATAAAAAAAGGCGGGGAGGGGGAGCCCTGAGGATTTTTATCAAAGCCTCTTCAGCCCGCTCTCTCCCCAGTCCTCGCCCATTTTTTCTTGCCACCTGGTTGCTTTTGGCTCGTTCAGACTAAATGAGGGCCTGGGAAAGAAAAGTTTGTAAAAGGATGGGAGAATTGCATCTCCATCATTGTTTATTTGACTATGGTTGCTTAGTTTTCATATTAGATACTGGCCTTGGAAGAAGCTCACATAAGATGGAAAAGTTCTGTTAAAAATGAAAGAAAGAAAGCAATAAAAAATTAAAAACTCTTTTTGGTATCACGGCCTTCACCAGCTAGTTTGCAACTTCGAAAGAATACCCTAAAATATCCAAAGCGTAACTGTACGTCACTTTCGCACTCAGTGGATACAGGTTTTAACACGTGTTTGAGAGGCGAGACCAATCAGAGTTTGCCAACCGTACGTGGGATCATCTTCTACTGTCATGTGTTTTCGAAGCACGTGACAATAAGAGGAATTGAACCTGGCATCATTCCTCATAGTAATCAAGGCTCGAGTATAGTAGTTTTGAAAGTTTTTTAAGTTTATTAGCACTTCTAGCGGTAATAGACCCTTTCACAGTTCTTTTAACTAACTAACTGACTGTTGTCAACACCACTGGAAATAAAAAATATGGCAAAGAGTGTTTTGTATTTTACAGAAGTTTGTTTGGTGGGGGTAGCCGAGTTTTTTAATCATGCGTTTTCATTTAGATCATTTGTTTGTGTTTCGCTGCTTCGGAAACGAAGGGATCTGGAGCCAAAATGTGTCCCGCAATTGTTTCTGGGATAGTTACTGGGGACTCACCGGTCAGCTATTGGTTAATGTTTATTCCCTCTTAGCCTACGTGTAGCCGCACCCTCCCCTCGACAAAGGAAAAACAGTTTTTCTTTGTTGAGGGGAGGGTGCGGCTACACGTAGGATAATTCCCTGTTTTCCTAGTAACAGTCCCAGAAGTCTCTGAACAGTTAACTCGATCCCGTTTCGAAGTGGCGATGTCACAGTGATATGGGCATTCCCGCGTTTTGGTCATCACCATTCCCAAAACCTTAGTGATATGTGCATCCCCTTCTCATGTTACCTTGGCGATTTGGATTGAGGTTAAGGTTGGGGTTACAACGGATGCCTATATCACTAGGGTTTTGGAAATGGGGATGCCCATAACACTGTGACAGCGATATGAACGGAGTGCCTGTAAACTTGTTAAAGTAGCTAGATGTGCTTCTACTATAAACCATTATTGTACAATAATTTGTTTTAATAGTTAACTTACCACAAGCGCTAGGTAGAACAGTCCAAGATAAGATGCAATACCAAGAGCCAGGAATAAGTCGAAGACGGCTGGTTTTACTCTGCCACAAATAAATAAAAATAACCCTCTGATTAATGCTCTTGCATATCGTATTGGCAAAACTCCTAGTAGTGCCGAATCAGAAGTTGGGAATACGATATCCTAGGTATTTTTTAAACAAAAACAACATTTCAGTCAAGTAGTAAAGCATATACTTGAATTTTAAGAAAACGAAATCACTTTGGTTGTCTGCAAAAGCAAGTAAAGGTGAAATGACACTCACAAATTTGCCAATCAGCGAGAAGGCAACTGGTTCCGAAATGTGCCCCGCAATTGTTTCTGGGATAGTTAATGGGGGGACACGCCATGCTACTGGATATTGGCTATATTTTTCCCCTGACCCTGATAACAGTCCCACAAATTTGCGAAAGTTAACTCGGCCCAGTTCCCCTCTCGTTTTTAAAGTGACGAATGGGGTTCTCACAATCACCAATAAAGTGTGACTGAATATGTTGATCCCCTGCTCTGGTGAATACTAATTAAACATTTTCTGATTAAGATGAGCCTGAGTAACAGGCCTTCCTTTATAGTGGTTAGGGGAGGCTTATTACCCAGGCTAAATTTACAATAAAGTTTACACATCCGTATATTTCTCTCTTAAGATTTCCGTAACCACCAGATCAAGTGATCTCAACGGTGAATTGCTGTTTTAGAATCGCTGATGAACGGAAGGAGGATACAGGTATTTTTGTTCGGTGGAAGGGGTCCATCTTGTGCGTCCAGCTGACGCCAATGATTCCAATAATTCCTCGCCGTTCCAGGTACGTCACGATAGGCACAGTGCCTGTGACATTCTACTCGTAAAGGATCGATTTTTGAAACAATCGTCCTTCAGGTTAAGTTAATGACTTGGTCCAATGTCCAGATTCAATCCAATTCATAAAAGGGCATGGTTGACAGACAACGTGAAAAGCAATTTTTCTTTTAAGTTGTATGTGATAATTCAGGACCATTTAGTGATAATTATTTCATTCTCATAGCAGTTAGCAAAGTACTTTTGAAAATTCTCGGATTGACGGCGATGTTAAGGGGGTCCGGACCCCTACAACACCCCATTATTTTGTTGCAAAATAAACATACTTCACTCGCTGAAAATGGTGAAATTTTAATAAGCGCCCAGCCTCGAATAAGCGCCCACCTCGAATAAGCACCCACTCTCAAGGTCCAAAAATTTAATATGCGCCCAGGGCGGTTAATCGAATAAATACGGTATTTTAAGAAAACAGCAAATAGCGCGACATAGCCCCTTTGAAACCTTGTCCAGAGACAGCTAGTTTTTATTCTCAAGTCCAAACAGGACGCCCTGACAGATATGCAAGTTGAAGATTCACAGTGACACAGCAAACAGTCCTTACCTATAGGCAAACATAGTTGTGTCTGGTCTGTCATAAAAGACAAATTCAGGGTCCCTGAAATAAAAGATAGAAAGAGAATAAGTCTACATCCTGATAGACGGGGTTTTACAGACCCAACAATTACCTGTTTACACTGGGGGGCTAATAAGTGATTGATTCACTGACAGACCAAAGGATAGGATAGGATAGAATAAGTGCTATACTATCCTATCCTTTGGTCTGACTATCGGCCTGGCTGAAGCCGGGTTAGTTCTGGAAGAAATTGTGATGCTGCTTGGTATTGTATTGAATGGTGGATTTGAAAAAAACGAGAATGAATTAGATGGATAAAAATCGTCAAGGAGTGGGGAAAGGTTTAGAGTGCCTGACTACCTAGTTGACACAAAACAAACGAAAAAAACGAGAATGAATTACCGGTAGATGGATAAAAATCGTCAAGGAGTGGGGGAGGGTTTAGAGTGCCTGACTACCTAGTTGACACAAAACAAACGACCGTCTGAATACAGATCAAAGGCTAGCTCAGGGGTAGATCTAGGGGAGGGTGCACAGGATGTTCCCCCTCCCCGACATGAACTCCAGTTTTCTAATACAGCTGGTATTCTGCAAAATATGCAGATATGTATGATATGTATTTTCAGCAGTTGACATTATGTTATTGACTAGTCCAAAGCCTTTGTATTCGCTTTTACATTGTAAAATTTAAGTCAGCAGTCAGTTACACCATTCCTTAGAGGTCTACCCACCTCCCAAGAAACATCCTGAATCTGCCCCCTGTAGCAAGTTGGTTGACACATTGGCAGAAACAGCGACTGGCCGAATGACAGAGTGATTAACTGACTGGCTGGCTCGATAGACAAACTGTATTCCTGAGCGACTGATTGTCTGGTACACGGATTATTGACCGCAACAAAGACTAACTGAGTGACTAATGAAATCACACTGATATGTCACCTTCTATCAGCTTTGGCTGTGAATCTCTTCACATCCTTCACAAACTTTGAGAAACTCTAAGTAAAGACAAGAAATAGAGAAATGTAGTTCATATAATGGACAATGAGTTCACTTGTCAGTTTTTGGCCAATCATTGAAGCACATCAAAACATGTTCTCAAACCAAAATGAGTGACACATTAAAGCATATTGAAGTGAACTGCTGCAATTATATTGTTATAAAATGATTGGCTAATGTTATCAGCTTTGCATTTTTAAGATATGAAGCTTTTGGGAAGTTTCAAAAGCACGAAGGAGGCTAGAGCTGCTCTCAACTGCACTTTTTCTAACCTATTCTTTTTTAATTTCTTTTTTATATCATAAAATGATTAAAAAAGCTGACGTTTTGAGTGTTGCTATGGTTTTACCTGCTCTAGTCCAGTAAAAAATGGATGGTCTTTTGTCAGGAGCTGGGCTGCCCGTGCTTGTGAGCCAAGATAATCCATCCACGTTTTTACAAAATTTGAATCTACTGCCTAAAATTGGGGAATAAAGTAAGAAAGCCAAAGCTTTGTAACACAAAAATACCAATATCATTTAGCATGGTACACTACTGAAAAGCACCTTACAAATTGGGAATTAGGGGTACACCAGGATTGGGTTTTAGTTGTTTTGTTTACTAAGACTTGGCAGCTTATCTGACAGTGATAGATCCACTGAAAACTGTACCAGAAGATGATAACAAGGAAAATAACTACATGGTAACTATTAAACATGTCTACAGCTATGTTTTGAAGGTAATACAAAAAGTTACAGCCTTAGTCTTCAAAGATGGCTGTTATAAGTTTATGGGTTGTATAGAATTTTTAACAACCAGAAACTGTGCTCTAGCAGAGCAATTAGTTCTGACTTTTTAAGAGTTTCAGTTTGAGTAAGACTTGTTTGGGAACAAACTATATCCACAATCCAAGACTGTCATACAAAGACTAGGTGTTTAAATGACATGTCATGGCAAAGTCTACCAGTTGGTTTTATATATGCCACACACAAAGAAAATAAAAGTGATAAGTAAGATACAGTATTGCATAGTGTATACATAGAAGACATCGTCTGTCTATTTTACCCCACATTATAGAAGAAAAAATTGATAAAACATAACTTAAAAGCCTTACTTTTCATTAATTTTACTTTTGAATTAACTTATATAAGAAACTATAGTTCATATATGAATCAGGTATGTTAAATGTCCACTCCTTTGAGATTCTGAGATTTTGGTCAGCAATAGAGGAGGCAAGACCACAGGGCCTGATGGGATGGGACAGGGTGATGTCACAGCACTAAGAAAGCCTCACAGGACAGGTAGTTAAAACAATAAACAACATTAACAGTGGAACCAAGTCCTAGACATAGAAGCTGCCACATACAGAGGTCCAATAAGTTAACATAAAAGGTTAAAAAGAGCTGCAATACAACTGAAGGAACAGTGAAACATCAATGAAGATGCAACAGCTTTCTTGTATTCTAACTGTCTGTACATCCCACATTGCAGTACAAATAGAGGAACTGTAAGCTACCCACCATGGAACCACTGAAGATTCTCATATTTCTTGGATACCCCTGAAAAATACAAGACAACATTACTTCCTGAGGGCACTGTATATAACCTCACTTTAGATTAAGTGAGTAAAATATGTTGCTATCCACAGGTCACTGCTAGGGTCTCTTTATAAGATAATTCTGTTAAGGGAAATGCTGCCACTTTCATTGGCATGTCTGTTATTAGTAGCTAACAGCTGACTTTTTGTAGCAAAGATCTGCTCGCTACACTAGGTTTGAAAAGTCAAACAAAACAAATATTGGAGGATTTGCAGGATTATTAAAATGACAGACTAGCTCCTCTTAGAGACCAGCTCCTTAAAACCTTAATGACAGCCCTGATTGGCAAATTCCACCAATCCCATGCCTAGACACCATAATGGAGAGACACAAAGATGCAGGTTATTATGGGATGTTTGATGAGTCTTGGATCATTTTTGCTGCCCATTTCAGGGCTCGAAATAATGGCCAGTCAAGGTAACCATTTTGTCCAAAAAAAACTTTCAATTCGCCGACCATTTTGACTGGATGCATAAACAAGTGACCAGAAAAAAAAACATATTCATACCATTATGTTTCAAGAGGACAAGCATTGTTTTTTTACTATATGTTTTTGCTTGTTAGGCTAGTACCTTCAAGCAATATTTACTATTGACTATCATGTTATTTTTAACATTTTGATTGATCAGAAGAGAGATATGACCAAGCTAAAATTTCTTTGGTCCATCAACACAACTGGCAACAATCCCAAATTTTGAGCCCTGCCACCCAGGGCTGTGCCCTACTGGTGCCCTGGTGCCAATATAATAATGTATTCTGCTCTTAGTAGCCATCTGCTGACGTCATAAAGTATGAACTGATTGAACATAACTTGAGTCATATAACTCACCTTTGTTGTGAAGTTGAAAATATGCCTAGCAAGAACTTCTGCAATAAATGCTATATTCCGCTCCAGTTTAATATCACTTTCAGGTGATCTGACAGAGGAAAGAAAAAATTCGCCGAAAATTTAGTAAGCTCAAAACTGTCAGGTGTACTAGCAAAAATAACCAACCTTTGGGGCCTCTTTTTGGAGGTATTAGTCCATAAAATTAATGCCACAAATAAGTATGCAGATAAGAGATACAGGGTATGGTTCAGACTATTGATTCAGATCGATTTGTGAATGTGGCCTTTGACTTATGTTTCTCTTTCTTGATTTTGAGAGTGAGGTCCTATACGTTTTTTTTTTCTTATACAAACTATATTGGCCACTACAAGGTGTATAAGGATTGAAAGAATTAAGTAACAATGCAGCAACAAATTAACCCACCTGACATCAAAGATTGATGATCGTCCAAGAACCTGAGGGTCAACATAGTGAGAAAGAGTCCCCGCAGGTAGACGCTGGGTGTGAAGAGAGAATCGCTCGTGTTCCCACGATAATGTATCTTCGGCCAAATTTATTTTCTTGTGGATCGTTGTGAAGTTCATTTCCTTAAAAGTAGCCTCTGCGACCTACAAGAGGATTTTAAAACAAATTTACTGTCACAAATCCTAACAGAAACAAGTAACCAAAGAGCAGGAATGCAAAAACAGGAATGGTTGAAAACTTACCCCTTTAAATTCCTGTAAGGGGAAAAAAGAAAAGAAGGAATTCACATTAGCACTAGTTGAAAGTGTCATAAATCAACACTCCAGGTTATAGCGGAACAGCTTTCACAGAAAGGTTGTATTTCAACATTTTTCATCAGGAATAAACATTGTTTCAAACACTAACACAAGAATAAAAATTAATTACTAGTGGACAAAACATTTCCTCCTGTGCAACTCCCTGAACATCACCATTGAGGGAAATTTGATTCATTCAAAGGCCTTCATACAACATCTCAACTCAGAAAAACTTTTATCTCTGTGAACCGCAGCAGTACAGGAGCCTTCCCAGATTGACAAATTAGTCTTGAGTGAGTTGATGTACAGGGATACACACTGTACTTGTTTTTTAACTACTACTATTATTACTTTATGTTTTCCTCTGCCTGCCTCGATTAGCCAAGCTATTTTCGAGTAGAGGATGTTTATGTTACTGCACCCATCACAAGCAAAGTGTGGACAAAGGGTAGGCGAGGTCAGTTCCCAAGGTAAAATTAAATTTCTTTCATCTCTTACGAATAACAAGCGTTTATAATTATACAACAAGGTGTTCGAAATCAAATACTCGTCTAACCTGAAAATGGATTTTACCTACAACATACAGTACATACCTCAACTAAAGAAAATGCAAGAGTGCCCTCTTTTGGAGGTTTCGAAACATGGAGAAATAAATTATCTGTTTTTCCAATGCTGTCCAGACACAACACATAATCCACATCACTAAGCACACTTGTTTCTGTAAAGGGCAAGGGAAAAATATCAAAAATAAGTCTAAGAGAACTAAAAACAGAAGTGCCTCAAGGATGTGTTTCTTGAGTATGCTGGAGATGTCAAAGTCATATTATTATCATATTTCTGGATGGTTGAGCATGCAGCCAAATAAATGTTTGCTCGGATAAGTCTTGTCCTGTCAAAATAGTGGGAAAACTAATTCATGTGGAATTTCCTATTATTTTGTACTCTTACCAAGAGACAAAAATTTAAGATTTAATACAAGCGATGATTTAGTTGTTTGTTCAGGTATGAAAGTCTAAATGCCTAGTCCACAGTCATGAATGGCGAGTGAAGTTTTTGGCCAGACAAGTCACCATTCTGGTTGGACATATATAGTCCACTGACTGGCTGTCATTCTCAGCCTTGTGTTGCCCAGTCACTATGCTTCACAGTGCAAACTTGTCACCACAGCTAATTATAAACAATCATTGGATGAGATTTTTGTGATATCCAGAAGAATCAAGGTTGAGGTAGGGGTACTCTTATTGAGACCTTGATTCTTCTGGATATCACAAAAACTGAATCCAATAATAATATTGTTTTATTATACACTGAACAAACTCTTTCTTTCTTGCTTCAACATTAAATGTTTTCAAAGTTTGTGTCAACTCTTTCTTTTCCTCAGGTTCAGGTTCTTTTCCTCAGACAGAAAATCCCGAAGGGACCGCTCAGGTAGATTTTGTGACATTTATTGTGCAGTCATACTTCGATACTCTTACGCAGTGACATTCTGTGGAGCAGTTGTTTTGAAAGTTATGGACCAAAAGACACTCGTTAAGCACAGGGGAGGTTATAAGGTCCGTTTAACTGTGCAGGGTTGTCACTAAGATTTCAAGTTGCCGGGTAAATACAACAAGTAGGTGGGGAATCAAATGGCTAGGGATTTCTTTTGCTTCTCTTTTTGTTGTATTTTCCAATGAAAGTAGCCGGGGGCCACTCTCTTAGTAGCCGGGGAAAATCCCCGGCCCCCGGCTCTTAATGACAACCCTGACTGTGTATATATAAACACTTGGAGAGTTTGCCAGACACGAGTTCACAAATCTTTGATTTATACTGGAAACCTTGTCAGACATTCTTTCTCTCTCTTTGACCGGAATAAGATTCACCCCCAAACAAGCAAGACAAGTGATCAACGGCCAGCTTATCACTAGCAGATTGATGGACATTTACAGAAATTCGCCGACAATCAAATTCTGTGCTGACTTATTCCCTGCTCACAGATGTCCTTCCGTTATAAAGTTTCAAATAAGACTAGAATGCGCTAGCGTGAATTGATCAATTGAATTGAATTGATCCTTTTAATTTCTAAGGCTTACTTTCCGGGAAATAGAATCAACTGAATGTAAAAAGGGAAAGAGAAATAGGGAACAATTCAACTTCTAATTAAATCTTTTCTTATGGTTTAGAACAAACTATTCTCGAAACTGAGAATGTTTTGATTAAAGTTGTGTAAATCGAGCTGAAACTGTGCATGGAACCTTGCGTTTCCTGTATTTATCTCACCTGTTGTATGGAATATGTGTGAAAATCTTCATTATGAATTGGTATACTTCAAAGAGCTACACAACCAGCAAGAATACTATTGACCGACAATAAACAGAACGGGGGCAGCTGTAGTGTCAACTATTACTAGTTGTATAATCTGCTGGTAGATGACGTCCCAGGCACTGATTTCAAAAATTCACTGAGTGTACACTTTCGGCCAATCAGAAAAGAGATGGTGAGTTGAATGTATAATAATACCACTAACCTGGATTATCCAGATTGTCCTCAAGCCATTTCTTGGTACCCTGATAATTAAACTTTCCAGCCCCAGACAGGAAGAAAACTAAATTGTATCTGTACAGTGTTAAGACAGTCAACAAAGAAAACTCTTTGAATTAGTCCAGTGTTTTTTTAGCCTATTGATGTACAATGACAAAACAAACTTTTTATAGGGAAACTACTTATTAATAACTGGGTACATGTATTTACACAAAATGCCCAACTATGACAGCAATACAACAAGTCTGTACTATGGTAAAAAAAATGTCTGAAGTTGGCCACACTTCTGATGCAACTTACATCATTCAAATGGAAATAACTTGAAGTTTAATTTACGTACATGCACAGGAAATAATATATCAAAATAATATTATGATATAATTGGAAGGAACTTGCTAAAAAAAACATGTATTGCTAATTCAACAACAGAAACATAATCACACACGATTGTTTGCCCAAAATGGTTATACCCTTTAGCAAAGTGCTCCTGTTAAGTTTGATTTATGGATAAATTTTTCAAATACATGTAATTCAAGCCTTACACCTCAATATTGTTACTATTCTTGCTTTGCCTTAATACAGTGTACTTAGGTGTTTTTTGTTTTGTTTTTCCTTGACTTGGAATAAGGGGTTGGTACAATGTAGGATAGTTTCTCCTTTTAAGTTCTTGGGGGGTTGGTTTTGGATGGTTTAACCTTGTAGGTGGCTTTGCATCCTATTACTTCTCTATCTTGTTCATACATTTTTATATGTACATGTATACTTAATCTGCAAAATAAATAATTAAATGTGTCTCCTAAACTAGTAAGGATACCTTGCTTGCATTCTAGAGTCTGAGTATAACCTGAAAACAGACACAACAGATGCAGTAAAAAAAAAATTATATTTCACTTCAAGGAAAATGGTGGTGAAGGGTAGCTAGCCCTGCATTCCATACATTGTATCTGAGCAGATTAGTTCACTCACTGTTGCACTAGCACAACACCCTGCATACTCTTTGTACAAATTATGCAGTAGAGTATAATGTTATATTATCATCTCATAGAGACTGTGGAAAAATGTTGCAGAGTTCTCTTCCACTCACTTAGCAACAGAGATGCATAGGGGTGGCTTTTAACAAAGCTGTCAATCTCCTTTCTCTTCTCGGCTCAGGTTAGGTATGCATAAACCAAACTGAGTGCGATTCATGAAGAAAGGGAATGCAATACGTGGGCAAGAGGAGATCCTCTGTAAACAGAGTTGAAACCCCATCATAAATAGCAATACTTATAACTACAGCATGCAAAAAATTCATTCATACTCATTCTTACCTTGAAAATAATCTTGCCAGTTCTAGAAGGGCAACAACACCACTTCCATTGTCATCAGCCCCAAAAGAGAGACTCTACAAAAATACAAATGTAGTACATTGGCCTTTACACACTGGCCATGACTGATAGCACAAAGAAAAACCATTTTGTTTAAATATTTGTAAACGCAGTTGAACCACCATTAAGCAGCCACCCCCTATTAAGCGGCCAGAAATTAAAGTCCTGAAATAACAATTGTTGAAGAAATAATATTGTAAATGAAACCATCACCATTGGACATCCAACAAGAGTTTCCCAAGTCTTGTCATCTCTGTAACGCAGCCAATCAGGTACTTTTAATTACTTTTAAAATATGATGAACAAAAGTACAACCCAAAATTATGGGTGGTGACTGTTTTTGGACCAGTTATGCCACTTCCGTCCCTGTTTGATTATGCTAATTTATGACACACCTCTATTGATCACGAGAAGCCACCCTCTACAGAGTGGTTGCTTGCCAGCACCCCATAATAATGGAGGTTCAACTGTAACTGTCTCTGGTAATCAAAGTTTTCATTTTATCTCATTCATGTATACATGCATTCAGCCATTATCAACCTACACCATACATGTATGACCTTACCGGTGCAATCCCGAAAGCATCATAGTGGGTGACAATGGCAATGGTAGGAAGTTGTTCATCAATTCCTCTTCCAACTAACTTCCCCTACAAAGCAGAATTATTAAACACAAAATCTCAGTTAGATGAGTTATTTCAGTCTTTACCAATATTATTACGCCAAGACCAGAAAAGTAAGCTGGGTCACCTCAACATGGGCATACATACTGTAATGGCAAATGCAGTAGATGTTCACCAGACAATAATGTATACACAGAGAATGAATGTATGTGTAGTGCACATGTACCCTGTATACATTCACTCTTGCCAAGCTTCACATGCTAAATAAACCATAGATTTTCAAAACAATAAATTGCCATATGGGTGGCTAAAATACCTGAAAGAGAAAGACTTTGGAAAAATGTTGCAGAGTTCTCTTCCACTCAAGCAACAGAGATACACATGAGTGGCTTTTTACAAAGCCATTGATCTCCTTTCTCCTCTTGGCTCAGGTAAGGTATGAAGAAACCAAACTGAGTGCAACAATTCACGGAGAAAGGAATTGAGTAATAACCAGGCAACATCGAAAGGTATGCTCAGCTGTGGGCCTCAATGACTGACAAGTGTATTGCGATAAGATTTTTTTCTTTATATATTAAGCCTGTTTTGTTGTCACAACATTTTACCCAAAGGTACAAACTTTAACAGTGTCTGATCTAGGATTGCCAGCTAGGGGGGCAATGTGTCCCAGTCAACAATTTTCAGAGGGACATTTCTTTTCTCGGGGGGGTCACTATACATTTTTTTATTCTAATATCCTGAGGTTTACGTTATCAACAAATGTGATGTTCAAGAGAGAATTGAACATACAGTTGTTATCTAGAACTAGTGTTGAAGTCCTGTAGTTTGCCCAACCAGTGGTAAAACAATTTTGTTTCTTTGATTTTTGGCAAAGCAAGCAGCACATACCCTTTGGTGGATCGAACTTCAGCCATTTGTACTTCTAATCGTAAACCAAAATATTCTTTTCAGAAGATTTTGCACACAAAGAAATAACATTTTCTTGTTTCTTTTTCTTTTCAAAGACAATTATTTGAAGTGAGCCAGAATGACCCAGACACAGAACAGGTATTTGAAGGGGACATCTTTCCTCAAACTTCGGCAATCCTGCAATGGCACGCTCTAGATCAAACACTGTTTTACAGGAAGTTTATTATCAAAAGGTTTTACCTGCAAACTAGAAATAGCCATATCTTTAATCTGCTTAGTTTCTCCTACATTCACAACCATTTGATAGCCACTAGTTGATGTCACCCCAAGTAGCGCTATATAAATGGAAGAAGACAAAAGAAAATACATGACTCAGTTGTAAGAAACCAGTCTCTACCATAATCATTCTCATTAACCTCATCATCTCCACCACCATTATATTACCACCAACAAAATGAAAACCAAGATCATAACACAGGAAAAAATAACAGATTCCCATTTTTGGATATTTTAGGGTATTTGAAGAATACCCATAAAAATCCCAAATTTGGAAGAGTGAGACAAGTCCCAATCAGGGAACTTGGTTGGGAATTCCCTGGTTGGGACTTGTCTCACTTTGCCAAATTTGGGATTTTTATGGGTATTCTTTAAATACCCTAAAATATCCAAAAATGGGAATCCGTTATTTTTTCCTGTGTAATCTATTAACATAGAAAATCAATAGCTTCCTCCTTCATTTACAAAAATTCAAATCCCCTCCTTCTGATCACCATCTAGTAGCAGTGTCACAGTGGCTATCACAATCATCATTTGTCATCATTATCCAATAGAATGACACCAAAACCAGTATTATCATTATTATTATTATTACTAGTATTAATAATATCTTCATTATCATTATTATTATAGTCTTATGGGACAGAATCACAATTGGCAGTTATCATCTCCACACAGTATGTAACAGAATTTACTTTCAGGTTAACTTTGAGTTAACCTCAGTTGATTCTTACCAAGAACACTCTTAAAACTGGCATTAAGTCTCACTTGCTTGGAGACTAGATAAGAAATGCGGAGGAGATTCATATCATTCTACACGAAACAGGATTTACTCTCTAAAGGTTTTTCACTTTCTACTTTATTTTATTGACGGTTGAGTATTTCAGGATATTTACTTATCAAATTGTATTCGACAAAATGTTTCTAAATTGATTTAGTACGTGTGATAGCAAGGGCCTCGATTTGAGAGAAATTACATCATTGCTGAAGATAAAGAAACATGATGAGAACATGGTGCATCATTTCAATCATCGCTGAAAATAAACCGCATGCTCATCAAGACTCATTCGAACACAATGAAAGTTTACAACACCTGATCAGGTAGTTTTTTGCTATAAGATTCTTTTTTTTTCCAGCCACCTAAGAGTTCACTTGTTCCAAACTAATTAACGCTTTCAAGCGATAGAATTTTTGGAGAGACCCATTTCAGAGGAGCACTAAACCTAAGCTTTCTTCACAAAACATGCATGGCTTCGTTCGGTCACACAATGATTCTTATTCCCAGTTTCCACGGTCTCCGCTAGGAACACCTGGGACCACAACCACGTTTCGTGTACTAAATAAGAAGAAAAAAAAACGCCTTGCAGATTATGAGTCTCGCTGCATACGCAAGTAAGAGTAATAAAATTTAATCATTAACTCCCTTTGTATTCTACCCCTGGGAGACAAAAAAAAATTGAGAATTGTTCTCTTGGCGACAAACCATGATATGTAAGATAATAGAGAACATGCAGGGTTGTCTGAAAGTTTTGAAGTAAACGGCTGAGTTGTCAAAGTAAGCGGCCAGTCCAGGGATGTTTTATTTAAAAAACACCATCCGTAAAGAAATGCCAAGCAGAGTACTCAGCCAATACTAAACAAGTAGGAGGTGATTTTTGCCAGCAGCCGGCTACCTTGCCAACCCTGAACATGTCATGATCTCTGTTGCCTCAATTTCCAGATAATATCACAAACTAACTGAAAGATTGACTACACTTTATTAATCTGTGTATATTTTGTACATGTAATTACCATATAAAAACTAGCAGTCATTAGGGGTAATGCTAGTCTTTATTTCTACATTGATAATACCTTTTTACCTTCAAAAGCAGAACCAGCCTGATCACTAGTTACAGCTGTTTCAATGTCTTTATAAATCTCAGTCAGTTCCTTGTCTTCATAAGCAAAATAAACAGCAACTGGTACCTCAACAGTTAACAAATCTCTTTCCAGCTGCTGCCACTCCTAAAGCAAAATACACAAATTAAACTAGAGTTAAACCTGATGGTCAGTGATCATTTCTTACATTACCTTTGAGCACACATTGTAAAAAATGAAAGGAAAAATGGGCTACGCATAACATTGACAAAACCTGGATCAAATCAATCACTGTAATCCTGTACCTTACCGAACACAATCTCTCCAACACTCGTACTCTCCTTAAATGAAGAGATTACAGTAAAGTAGCTCTAGTCACTTGCAATAATAATAATATTATTACTACTATTGTAAAAAAAGGAGAATTTAATTCTTGTTGCAGAGTTCTCTTCCACTCAAGGCAACAGAGATGCCCATGAGTAGCTTTTAACAGAGCTGTCAATCTCCTTTCTCCTCTCGGCTCAGGTAAGGTATAAATAAACCAAACTGAGTGCGATTCATAGAGAAAGGGAAGTTTACAAAAATATAATTATGCCTGTTTCCTGTTTAATTTTGCCCTTTCTTTTTTCATTTTTTAATAATTTTACAGGGGGGGCAGGATACCATAGGATGACACACAAACCCTTCCCCTGAAGTATATGTGTACCATAAAATACAGTCTTTTAAATCACATCAGGGTGTGAAAGTGAATGAAGCCAAAACAATGGTTACAAGATTTGTATTATCATCTTGTTTCATGGTGTTGAAAAATATTTCAGATGTTTCTCTGCACGGCCATGTAATATATACTTCATTGGCTTTGTTTCTCCCTCCAATATTCAGGAAAATATTATAGGAAGTCCCTAGAATACACTTATTTTGCACAGCATTTTCGTGTACATTATAGTCAGTAGATTTACCTCTTTTTGTTCAAGAGCAGCGATAGAAGTGTTTTTTGGTAGCAGTATTAGTATAGCCCCTGCTCCTAAGGTTTGTACTGCTTCTTTGAATCTCTCAATAGTGAGATCAGATAATCTTGTAACCACACAGCGCCTTGTCAGCATGTCAGAAGTCAGGGGCCTTGCCTCCATATTCACCAATGAACTGCGGGAACCTGAAAAATGCCAGTAACATAGAATATTGATAAACATTTGGAAGTAAATTTTTTGACACCATAACTAAACTTGAACCATGCACACATTTTCCAACACGTAATGGAACAGGGCCTGCTGTAATTTTTTTGTCAATCAAATGCTCTCCTTGTCATCCCTAGGATTTTGGGAAGGCCAGGGGGTATTCTGACTGTGATTTTCAACAGCTGGTGTTTGGATGAAGCCTGAATAATAACAGAGACAGCGAAATATGATCAGTTCTCAAGACTCTTTGACTGAAGCTGTATTTTTGTTTCACACATCTTGGGTTGATTAAGTTCTCCATTTTGACACTCCTGCGATTTTCGTTTAGTAATACATGTAATCTCCGTGATGGACCTTGGGACAATTTCAAGATGGCTGCCTTTAAGCCAAATGACAGATTTGAACATGTTCATCCAAAGGTAAAACACTTTTATAATCAAATAATTGCAAGAAAACAAAAAAATAAAAACACCAGACAAGGTTTCACCAAATTTCTTAAGTGATTTCATCTTTGAAATACCTGGTTCTAAATGTCAACATAAGCTTCCACTCTGTTAGATTTTTGGTTTTGAAGCCAGGCATTGCTGATTTTCGCATGAACTAAGCCAGCGCTTAGCCTTAAATACCTGGGGAGAACACTGGCTCTCCTCTGCGCATCTAAAATTTGCAGGCAGACACTAGCAGAATGGCAATATCAAGCTTTGTCAACAGTCTCTGATATCCATATCACATTCTCTTCTTGCCTGTTACCTATTACTAGGGAGCCTTGTGATATAACAATCATAGATTATAATCAACCACTGATCAAAAACCTTACAAAATGGTAAGTGACCAGATAACTTATTATGGACACTGTTTAACTGAATAAACATTGTTGACAATTCAAAAGAAATAAGGTTACTGGTCGTATTGATACAAATTTGTTTCCATTCAAGTTGTTTCGATACAAGTTTATAGATACACATCAGGTTAAGTGTAAACATTCTTGGCTCAAAGAACAAAGAATATTCACCCAAAATGTTTTTCTTGTTTATGCCGAAACTATACTTTAAGTGATTTTGTGCAAATTTCACTGTAATGTCTTGGTTTAAACCATTTTTCTGTCATAATAAGGTCAATGCTAATTTAAGCCTGGTTTCCATATGATTGCCGAGATCGTCCTGATTGTCCCAGTCGTTTCAAACAATGCAATGTTCACATGATGGAAACGATCACATGGAAAGCTGCCAAGACGATTGCAAAGGACCAGCCAGAAAGGTGTCCGGTTGCTCTCTTTAAGTATTTTTTTGAGCAAAGACCTCTATTAAAACACTGGCCATGTGATCGTCTCTTTTTTCTACCTCAGTAGCAAACGAAACTGAAAATACCATAACTAACATAATGAAAGTATCCGTAACTGGTACTAGCCTTAAAGAAAGTGAGAAAAAAGTTTACGAATCATAGTACAAGAAAAACAATAGTCAGCAAGCTGAAGAAAGCAAAAATTGTAAGTTTAGAATATATTGCCAAATGTCTGAGGCCACAGAGGTATAAATTTCCTAAACAACTACAATGAAGCCGACCAAGAAGAGTGAAGATGACTCTCTCTTGCAATAGGCCAAGGACAAATGCAATAATGAAAACCTCAGCACTGAGAAAATGCAAATAGTTATTTGATTAATACTGGCAGTTTCCAACATCACAACATTTGTGGCTCCTCTCACCCATCCATGGCAGCAGCGTCAAAAGAAAACAAATTGCCTCTTTCATTTTCAGGTTGTAAATCTCAAAAATTTCTTTATGAATCCAGCTGTGATGGGGTCTCAGGAACAGACAATGATGTAAAGTCATTAAACAACTCAGCAAGTGTCTTTTATCTTTGGCTGCTCAAAGCGTTTTCCTGATTTCAAAACAGCAGTATACTTCTTGTAAAAACTTCTTGTAAACGCCGAGCTCTTGTAATCGAGGATGAATTCAAAAACCCTTACTTTTACTGATTATTGTAAACCGAGTTATTTTTAACAGGCTGGTGACCATGTAAAATCAATCCTTGCACATTTCCAAGTTCTTAGCTGAATGATTTGAAAGCATTGGTCTTGAAAAAGTTTGAATTTGTCAAAGGTAGTAGTCTGTTTCAGCCAGTTGATTGAATGAACTAAAAATGTGCGCACTGTCAAAGTTTGTTGTTGTAGTTATGTTTTTTGTGTATATTATTAATAAGTAATCACACGATTTTTCTCGTCTAATTTGGAATAAAATTAATAATCACTTGTAAATTTTTCTAAGACCACAAAGTGCACTCGCCCTACAGGATTGTGCACTTTTGTTGGTCTTTGAAAAATTTACTCGTGCTTATTTATTCCAACTTCCACTCGAAATCATGTGATTATTATACTAATCGCTGGTGAACCCGCCCTGCTTGCCGCTGAGGTGATTGAGACGTTCATATGAAAACTGCCAATTTTTACTGTCCCAGTCAACCGGATCATCTTGAAATTTTCTGAAACGACTGGGGCAATTGGGATGATCCAGATGATTATATGGAAACCAGGTTTTCCTCTATAAAAACTGGGAGATATTGCCCCTAACTAAGTCAGTATCTAATTACTATCACGAGCTCATTTGTACCTTCTTGGAAAGGATTTGTTTGGTTTACTGGAAAACGAAGATAAGAAAAACGACCTTCGGAGATTCATAGGAATTTAAGAACATTGCGAATAAAGAGGGAAAAGCGATGTTAGCTTAAAACCGCTGGAAAATAATATTTAAGCTTAAGTTTAGCATAACATTTTTTTACACACGAAACATCTTTGCAAAATTCTTTGTAACAAAGAAACCAAAGTCTTGCCATCAGGACTTTGTTTGCAAGCAAATACACGATTCAGGAACGAGTTCGTTGTTTAACGATGGAAACTGATGTAGACTTACCAACTTGAGTTTGATGAAGATCATATTGCTGCATTCTAAACACGGGAAACTCGTGCGCGGCCATGACAGTTGACGAGGGGCCACTTAAAAGTACCACTGGGACCACGAACAACACTGATATTGAAACAGGAAAGTTTCTGAACAACTCAAGAAAATCAGGCACGTTCTCCCACATTTTGTTCTCGAACAAACAGCAAAAACTTAACTAGATAGCTTAAGTCACCAAAGAGTCAGACAGAACGCCTATAAATTGCCCGAACACGTGTTGTCAAAGGTAAGCGGTTTCCGACTGGGCCCCAGTCTTCTGTTACCTTAGAATCTTGCCCCGGTCACGGCCCAGAAAGCCACAAGACTCTGGGTGCAAGACGGGGTTAAAATATGGACACCAAGGGGACATGCCATAGTGTGCGTATTATTTGGGTGTCTGTATTAAGCGGGCGCTCAGAAAACATGTCGTGGACACATGATTTATTGATATAAAGACTAAGGGGCTGTTTACAAGGAAATGGGGGACCCCAACCCATTTAGATGGAGTAACCACCTGTCCATATAATCTCTCATTTTAATTTGGTCACATTTACCTGGGGTCCCCCACCTTCATGTAAACAGACCCTAAACCACAGGTAACCCAGGCTCACTGCTTGTGTCACGTACTGGTGTTAAAACATGAATAAATATAGGGAATGTATGGGGAGAAGTTTAGGTCTGAAAATTTGCAAGAAAATGGAAATAAAAATCGATGAAACTTTGACTCTTGTTCCTCATTCTTTGCTCCTAAAAGACACGCTTGCTACACAGGCTAAAACTTACCATGTGGCGAGTTGTTGTTGTCCTTAATATGCACGCAAAGTTTCGAGAAAAATCGTCTGCCTCATCTTTCCTGCATAGGAAAGATGAAACAGACTATTTTTTGCTCCTTTTTTTGAAGTAATAAAATTGTATTAACTCATAGAAGTCTGTCATGCATTATTCAACCAGTGTACAATTATGTCCGATGATTAGCACATGATTTTGTGAGAAAATAGACACTGTGCAGGTAACCAGTGTCTGCAAGGTTGATGATATCTGAGAGTGTGACCCAGGACACAGAAAACTGTCTGTTGTCTGTATACCATATTTATTTGATTAACCACCCTGGGTGCTTATTAAATTCTTGGACCTTGAGAGCGGGTGCTAATTCGAGGTGGGCGCTTATTCGCAGTCACTTGTTAAATTTTCACTTTTTTTCAGCAAGTGTAGTAATAATTGTTTATTCAGCAACAAACCAATAAATGGTAATAACAAAACAGGAACATGTAACAAAGCAAGGTTTCTATAAAATACTCTGAAAATAAACTCTGTCTTTGGTAGGGTCTCTTATTTGAGTCTGAGTGTTTCTGCCTTAAGGATAAGGTTGGGCACTTATTCAAATAAATACAGTAAGCAGGGGTCAGAAGGTCTGAAGTGAGGTAATGTCTTATCTTGTCTATCAGGAAGATGGTAATGCAACAGACACAGTCTCCTAATTCTAGCTCTCTTAGTTCATAATTTTTTCTTATTGTTTTTACAAAAACCGATTACAATCCTAATTGTTTTTTCATATGTTTAGGTTTTCTAAGGCATTTTGACATCTTCATTCATAACATTTGTAATCCTTAAAGCCATGTTGGCTTTAAGACAAAAGGATCCAAACCTTGCCATAGGACCCATAGCAACTTTGTAAACTTTCACATGTGAAATTATTAACACTGAGGCGTTGTAAGCCGTAATTAATTTGAAACAAACTTGTTGTTGTTCTTATGCAAACATATCGCATGTATACAACGCTTTGTGTGTGTGTGTGTTTTTTCTGTCTTAAATTCAGAACAATGTCATCTCGAGCTCTTCAGAAGAGGAAGAAGAAGTCATCCAGCCTAGGTAAGGTCTAGGGTAATCTCGTACCCAGATCTCAAGACAGAATGAGATCGGGGCCACGCGCGGCCGCCGCCTTACCTGTTTTGTTTTGTTTTTTTGTAAGTGGGTGTTGGTTTTTTTTTTTTTTTTTGGGGAAGGGGGAGGGGGCTGTCTATCTCCATTTTTTTCATTGCCTATTTTATGAATGAAAAGTTCCAAGAGTCAAATTCGACGGTTACACGAGCTACACGCGTGCGGTAGCTCTTGTGTTAAATGTCACAAATAAATCCACCCGCCCCTTGTAAGCCAACTTGCCGCATCCCACTCTTTTACCATTTCAGAAAAATACGAATTGTTGAAAGAAAAGCTGACGACATTAGTACATATGATTGTTTTCTTTAAGCATGATCAGTTGATACAAACAGAAGGTTAAATTGAGACTCTTACGCTCGCTCTGAATTTTGCTAACTGCTATGTTGAATTTACGTGCTCAACTTTATTGTCGCCCCGGTGTATGCATTAGCATTTCAGTTTCACCCCGGCTCTTCTGAACTTGGGTCACTAAAACTGACTAATATTCAAATTCAATCCTACTTGTACTTGTTTATGCGAACTTGATAGCCGTGATATCCGTCATTCCTTTAGAATATTTAAAGACAACCTGGAGACGAGAAAGCCGGGATCAGGGAGACTACTCTACAGGTCAATCCAAAATAACTAAGAAATATCAAATGCAGATTTGACTTCTGTTCGTTTTGATAGGCCACTCGAGTAAGTGAAATTTCGACCTTTATGCTCCGCAAACTTAACAGACAAAAGGTTTGGGCGCGATGCTGCCACTTCCTTATCAGTGGCGATGAACAGTCGACTCTCGTTATTGCGGACACCCTCGGGGAGAAAATTTATGAAATAATATGTAAAAGTCCCAGAAGCATTGTAGTTTCGACAATTCTTTACTTTTTTAAACTATGGACCATAAAAGAAAAGATACTAAGATTGTAAATAGTTCTAAATATGCTGTATTATCACTTCCAAGCTCCTGCAATGACATGGGATAAATCAGGAGAGAAGAAAGGGCTTAAAAACCAAACAGAAACTCCTCCAGTAACGTGAATGACTCAAATGCTAACTTGATGTCAAATATAATGTTTGTTATTGTTCTTGGCAGCTCTTTTATCGCAGAAATGCTGCAAAGTATACTCATAACTGAAACCTCTCTAGCGACTTTTACTACTAGTTCGACCCCTTTTGGGACGGACCATTAGAAAAGTTATGGGGGGGGGGGAATTTTCGAGATTTTTTAGGCCGTAGCATGAATATTTTTTAGGGTTAATTGGCGTGCATCAATGTTTTTCATTTTATTTTCCCTTGCGCGAATATTTTTTTGTACGTCGCCCCCCACTCCCCATAAGTTTTCTAATGGTCCGTCCCTTAGACTGGAACGGTAACCTGAGATCAGGCCCAATCTTAGCGGTTCTCATACTTTCTCTCTAACGGCTACCGCTAAAGTTGCCTTGCCCGCCGGAATGTAATTTTCAAAGCGAAACGAAAATAGAGCCTGATCTCAGGTTAGGAACGGTAGTAAATTAATTATAATCCATTGTATCTCAGTTTAGAGCGTTGCGTGACGAGACAAAAGGGAGACTATGATGTACAAAATAGATAGTTGAGTTATGTTGTATTTTTTAAGCTTGTTTTCATGATCTTCAGCTTTATCCTTATGTGTGACTATAATTCGGAACCTGCTTATTCTTAGAATTAGTTTCAAATAAAAACAAACATAGAGCAGAATGCAAGCAATGAATTTCCAAAGATTTTTTTAAAATAAACGCTGCATAATGAAAGGTAGCCTGCGAAAACATCCGCAGGGCGAAGAGCGAGGAGAAACGGATGTTTTCACAGGCTAAATGAAAGGTTGTATATAAATGCATACTCCAAAATCGGTTTGGATTGTTACTGACAAATTACACAATAAAGACATACGTATTTAAAAGGTTTCAGAAAGCATCTTCGATTTAGTGAATTGTAACTGAACTGTACGTATTCGTTTTTGTTGTATTCATTGTTTTTATTTCATGAGATCAATACAAATAAGTATTTTAAATAAACAGCAAAACCTTAATTCATTTTGCCCACCTCGGTAAGCAAATCGCTTGTTTCATTCTGATTCGCCTCTTTTCCAGGGCAAATTAATTTGACCTCATTTGTAATTCTGTTTGTTCGTCTCGTTGCTCCATTCACCTCCTTAGAAAAAGTAGTAAACTGCAGCAGGAAGGTTATCTGCTAAAAACGATTCTGCTGAGTTGATTGTTTAGGGCGCTTTGAAACTAATTGTCTCCTCGTGACAATATTTCATCGATTGGGTTCGTCATTCACATTGATCCACAGCTGGGGGGCTGGCTCTTGTCCGCATTAACGGGGTGTCCGTAATAGCAAGGTGTCCGCAAGATGAGAGTAGACTGTATGTAGCAGAACCGGCCGTGTCTTGTTTGAACAACCGATAACTCAGTTGTCTCAGTTTTCAGTCAATTTTGCAAATGCTGGGCCAATTATAACCTGTGTACAGACTTCCCTCCTCCCTGAGGAAAAATCGGGAGAGGAGACTCTCCCGATGTTTCTTGAGGGAGGGGGGACGTCTGTACACAGGCTAGGCTAATTAATAAAAGTATAAATGGAAAGTATTATAACCGGAGAAAGAGCCGAACAAAATGTGAGAGACGAAGAACCAACTCCTGGGAAATCTTGGTTGGAGCTCACGGTGCCGCTCGGTTCTCCAAATCCTGACCCTGTTTTAGACCAAAAAATGCCATTTTCTACACTCGTTTTCAGACCTGGCCTCCAAGAAATTATATCATCATTACTTAGCCGTAAGAACACCTAAAGAAAAGATTTATAAAAAATCCATTTCGAATTTGCATATTACTCTTTCTTTCTTATTCATTTGGCATTGAAACGATAAGTACGTTCATGCACTCCCTTAGTTCCCTCGAAAACCGTACCAGGTCTATAACCGTTTTCAGACCAAACCGGCGCAAATACCCTACCCTTTGGGGCGATACATTTCTATATGACTCCTATATGGCTTATATAAGGGAGGACCCCAGGCACAAGTATCGGTCCTTTTTTTTCTTAGTATGCCCGTCCTACACGACCTACACTCATCGCGAATTAATATACTACCGCCCGGGCCTTTGTCTGGTAAATTTACGCTGTGTTAAGGTAGAAATTTTACCAACACGGGTGGTCTATTCGTGCAACAGTAAGCGAAATCTTGGCCGATATTTTTATCATCTTTATACAGGA